GCGCGGCGGAAGGAAACTTGCCCCCCCTCCCCCTGCTACCACAGGGGGGGCTCCCGATGTCTACCGACGGAAATCCACTCAGGAGCACCCAAAGAACCACTGTTGTAAAAATGAGCTTTCTATACCAAAGTGGAGGGGTTCTTGCACTAAATTCCCTACTATAGTGGGCGATATAACTTTTTACTACTCTTCTAACTACTTTCTACATGCGATCTCCCAGAAGTAAGTTATAGCATTTGGTGCAACAGATTGCAAAACAGGTCATCGACCGAGGCAGACGCGTTTTCACTGCAGTGTTTTAGCGTACACGTTGCCATGGTGATCGCAATGCAGAAAGCATGTACCGGCAATAGCACATACACATTTTTGTCGCGAAGTCGCACCAATTAGAAGTACCTACAAACGATTCAGCAGTGTTTGGTGGAAAATAATAAGAAAATAGATTTCCACAAAGCACGGGAGAGCGGTGCCCGCAAAAATCATACCCTTAATCGGTATAAAGTCCTGCCAAAAGGCAGCGTAGATTGGCCCAAACTTTTGGCCAACACAAATCGTTTGAGATCGTTAACAATACAGTTAGTACACCTGCGCACACGCATAACAGCCTTTGTAGTTGCGACAAAACCATTTGAAGAGCAAGAGTAATTTTGAGGCGGGTTTGGGCACTATGATGTAGATAAAGATTAACGATAAAGTTTAGAATGTTCGTTATACAATTTAGAACTTGTCAAATTTTCTAAACCACTTCTATTTAATCCTCTTTGAAGTTAGAGGATGGATCTTGTAAAATTATCACCTTTAAAACCTTTCTATCAGGATTTCTCTACATGTAACGAAAATGAATAACATAATTTAATTTCTATCTTTGATGTGTAGCTCTACCTACAACACCACGATGTACGTACTTTGCTTATCTATCGCTGAACGTGTTTTCGTACGCATACACTTCGTAGCTTTTAGACGCGGCATTTAAAAAAATGGAATTTGCTATGGCGGGTCTAGTTCCAGTCACTCTGTCTGTAAAACCAAATTCATCTACGTTCACTCTTCTGTGATACGTATAGTTGCCGATTTAATAAGCTTTTATGGATTCTGCAGGCAACTTACTTTCAAATACTTCTCCGGTTAAAAATATGTATGTCCGTATCACGATCGCTGTCATCAAAATAGATGACATAAATATGCAAAGCGAGTTCGGAAGTCGTCGACATTTCACGACTTTCGCTTTCGCATGAATAATGTAGTTAAAAATGTGCAGGATTGAGCCAATTAGAAGCTTCGTTATAATTAAAGAGATGCTGATATCGTTACTCATTGTCCTGCGCGGCGTAAAATGTGAAATCACAATTCGTTAGCGTCAATCGTACGACAGAATGTTGACACAACGTCAGTTCTAATAATGAATTGTTTCAAATAATTAATGCTTTTTCTGTCAAACAGTGAATTTCGCTGTGATGAAAGAAAGGTTTTGCGTTAAAATTGTTATCAGGCGGTTTCAATTTCTTACTGACTTACTTCCGTATTCACAAACATTACTATGAGGTCTCACAGTGCGCGTGGACACGTGTCACCTGTATACACGAACCAATAGAACACGAGCTCTATTCAAAGCTGTGCATTCGATTTGCTGCTTCACATAAGCAAGCATCGTTTGTGAATACGGGCGTTATTCAATACCCGAGTACTTTAGGACCCAAGTAATTTGATTAAACAACGACCACGTCAAACGTTTTATACGTTCGCGTTGATTTCTGAACAGAATATGCGCAATCCAATTGGGAATCCCGAAAAAGTTTGGGTTCAACGCGACATCGTATCAATACCCTCGCAAAATTAATTAAAACCGAAGGACACAGCCGAGGTCCGAGGGCAAACAAACGAGCCCTAGCCTTTAATAATAATATTGGTATCAAATATAGCATCGACAATACGACCTTCGCATTGCGGTGGGCGAATATCGTTTATACGTACGATAAAGTATATTTATCTCGTGATGTTGAGATACAAAGTGTTAGAACGAAACGATAGAAGATAAAAAAAGATAGAGAAAAGAATTTGAGCTAAACAAAGGTAATGCAAACCAAAGAGGAACGATCAATCAAAAGATACATCGTGTTAGAAAACGTGACTGATATGAATGGCAAGTAATGTGAATGATATTTATAGAAAAAAGGTTTTATACATTTATATGGTTCAACTTTATGGTAGTTATTACAAACGATATCTATACTTATAATAAATCTGTAGAGAGGTCAATTCTGTACATGAAATATATTTTCAAAATAACTATCAGGGGGTGATTAGTGATCGATACTGATGCCAAAAATGCAATCAGTAAAATTTTTGTCTGTCTGTATGTTCCTTATAGAAACAAAAACTACTCGACGGATTTTAACGAAACTTGGTACAATTATTCTTCATACTCCTGGGCAGGTTATAGGATACTTAGGAATTCCCACGGGAACGGGAATTAGCGAGAAAAAACATTTGTATGAAAAAATCTAAGCCACGTAAGATAGACGCTTGAAATTTGGCATGCAGGTACCTTAGTAAATTTAAAGCTTAGTTACAACAGGATATTGCAAAATTCTCACGGGAACGGGAGTTAGCAGGAAAAAACATCTGTATGAAAAAATTTAAACCGCGTAAGTTAGACGCTTAAAATTTGGCATGCAGGTACCTTAGTAAACTTAAAGCTTAGTTACAACAGGATATTGCAAAATTCCCACGGGAACAGGAATTAGCGGGAAATTCCTTTTGTATGACTGACTCACTGACATACCCACGCACAGCCTAAACGGCTAAACGTAGGCACTTGAAATTTATAAGGGACGTAGCTTAGGTACCGTAGAGGTGCACTAAGAAAGGAATTCCCGAAATTCCCACAGGAATAGGAATTACCGGGAAAATCCTTTTGTATGAAAAATCTAAACTGCTTAAGTTAGACGCTTGAAATTTGGCATGCAGGTCCCTTTGTAAACTTAAAGCTTAGTTACAACAGGATATTGCGAAATTCCAACGGGAACGGGAGTTAGCGGGAAAAAACATTTGTATAAAAAAATCTAACCCGCGTAAGATAGATGAAGGGGATAAAACGGGATCCACGCGTACGAAGTCGCGGGCGGCCGCTAGTGTATTAATAAAAATAAACGATAATGCCTTTAATGATTCCACGAAATGAGAATAACAAAAATGTTTTGTGAAATTAAGCTTATGCCTAATAATAGAAGCCCAAGGCTTAACAAAGGGTCTGTTTTTGCTTGGGATCTTTATCATTAATTTCATCTACAGAGAGCAAACATTAATAAAACTCGGGTCAAATACCTCACACAATATAATAGACGTAAACGCTGTTGGATATGTAGTCGGACGGTATATTTTCAATCGTCCAACTAACGTGTTCAGTAGTGTATTAGTGCATCGGCAATTTTGCCCACTTAACGCTTCGATGGACGGCTAAACAAATGAATCATCGAACATCGTACCTAAACACCGAACAAGGGCATGAAAAATTAGCGAGCATTTTTAACAAGGCCCATCTGTGTATATGACATGTACTGGAGCGATAACTGAGCATAACATTAGCATAAGGAATACTAAAGGAGCAAATAATGATCCTTGGGCGACACCAAAGAAAATTAAACGAATGATTGTGGTTTTGTTTCACAAGTACGGTCACAATAAGAGCTCTTTAGGGTATAGTAGTTGCACAAGTATGGCTACAATAAGAAATCTTCAGGGAACATGCAGAGAGAAAAAAGTACCGGATTATTAGATACTGAATGCATATCTGAAATCGATAAGTGCAATTTATTGGCATTTTTGATGAACGACGTCAGTACACGGGTATCGTAACATGCGAGGGTTTCGTAAGCCGCATGATTTATTGCATTTTCTAACAATTTCAAAGAGTTTTTACCGACACGCATTGTAGGCATCGTACATTTGAACAAAAGATTGGATTTCGATTACGGATGGATCTCTCTATCCTTAGTCATCTTCATAGTCATCAATTTACTTTAGATTTTCCTGTAAAAATCTCGTATCGTCGGTTTCTGTCTAACAGAGGACTTAAATTTTTGCAAACCAAACCTATTTTTAAACAATATTGCATGGTTGGATGGTTTAGAAATAAACCACACTCCATAGTACTCTACTCCATTAAGCAATCGGTAGAGTAGCTCCGCACTTGGCAGTTAAATATCCCAGGAGGAACCAGCCTCATGGTCTTAACCAAGAGAAAATTACAAATTAAAAAAACGTAGTATCTAAGTATTTCTTAATTGGTTTTTCGGCGTGTCTATTGATTTATGATCATAATGAGTTTAAAATCAAATAGAAAGACAATTTAATAGACGACTCGATACCGCGAAATGGTTTCCAAACGTAATTGACTATACTGATCGATCGCTCTCCGGAAAAAATATTTGGACACGTTCAAATAAATTAACTTAATTGATATTAAATCTAAGGCTGAGATTGATTTCTTGTGATGTTTATTTTAAAGCAAAACGTTCGGAACGGTCGTAATTCTAGGCCAGATGCTACAAAAATGTCTAAACGCACCTGTTTAAGCTCACGAGTACAGCTAGACTGCTAAATTATTTAGATATCAACTATTATAACACAGTTTTGGGCATAAATACAATGGAAATGATAGGTTCCATGTTATGGATATGATATGAACCAAAAAGAAGACAAATGCCACTTTCGTACAGAATTCCATACGATTAAAATATATTATGTAGATATGTTGATGAAACATGTCCGTTCAAGGAATTACCGCCAATAAAGCTATTGTGAGAGTAGAAGAGCTATTTTGAGCTCAAATCCCTTTAAATAACTCTAAAAAACACTTTGTTATGTTGATAAGATAGTTTAAAATGCATCGCCTTTTGGATCCGCTGTCTTGCTACTAAATGAAAATTTAAACAGACAGTAGCAAAATCATTGCAGTTACATTTTGAGCTTTATGATAATGGATTAAAAACTAGACTCACCTATCGCGGCTACTGGTAAGCAGTTGAAGCAGTCTGTGAACGTTTTCCATAACTTGATGTTGTACCTCCGTTTGCACTCGTCGTAGAACCTGTAGGAAGAAACGTACCTCTTAGAAAAAACAAGTTCTTAAGATAAATTCCATTACATAAACCAGTACTCATGTCGGCTGTCTCCGTGATAGAAAGATTTCGACAATGGAGTAGTGTAAAGATGTTCGCATTTTAGAAGTTACTACATCATCATAAAATGAAGTAAGGAAGGATAGATGGAACAGAAACACCCGTGGATGTCATGGAGCGACTAATGGAAAAATATGCGCCGTCAGGCCAGCGTGGGAAATGTATGACAAATCCTCCATTTACTTCTGGTAAAATGGAGAATTGGAGAGAGTAGTGTTCGTGCAATGGAGACTAATTGATCACATAAACACGAACATTTTGTAAAAGTATCTTTTTTAAAACTTTATTAGGTATTCAGCTTCATCCAGCCAGAAAACGGTAACTGCAGTTTACATTTATTTTAACCTCATTGAAGTGTCAGTGAACGTTATCCCACAAATTAGTGTCAACTACACAACTCCAGTCATGTCACATGTGCGTTATAAAACAACATAACACTCGCACAATACATTACATAAGAACATAAATATTCATGATATACGACAAATGTTTGCGATAAAACGTGGAAACGTAAAAGACCCGTCGCTATGTATAAATGGTTCAAACTGTCTGTTTATGTAACTATATTTGCATATAATGGGCTAGGTTATGATGAACTGTGTCAACTTATCGGACGATTGTATGAACAAGTGTTCGTTGTTCGCGTTTTCCGAAATATTGAGGGTAATTTAGTAGTTTGAAATATTGAGATATGTAGGTAAAAAGTAGACTGAAGTTTTGTGAACTTTCAATCCTGTGTCCTCATTAACAGCTGGTCCTCAGACCTCATAAAGGTGGCAGGAAGGCACTGGATGCAGGCCGCTACCAACCGGGCGATGTGGAAATTATTGGGGGAGGCCTATGTTCAGCTGGACGTCCTGTGGCTGAAATAATGATGATGATAATAAATCCTGTGTCTCTTTTATCAAAATTGAAATAGTTTGAAAAACAATTTAAGAAGAATTACAAACATATTCTACTGGCGCACTCATGTTTAGTTTTCATTTCATTGGTATTCCAAACTTTGAAAGTGGAATCTTAAACACCCAGACTATATCAAAAGATAATTTGGCTCATCACATCGAGATTATTATAATGATAGTGAGAGACAAAATATGGCGTCGATATTATAGTTCTTTGACCCCGAACGTCTGTGCGACAGATTATTTGTTATTGCTATATGAATTGCCGAATCTTGGGCGACAGCTTATGCAGATTTTGCCTTGAGCTTAAGCTTGGTAAAAGGTATTTTCCTTCTTTAGGCATAGAAGATCTCACTTTGGGGTGGTGAATTGTAAAAATTCTAGTAGAGAACTCGACCAACTGTTGCCACTTCATGATGATTATAAGGGTCTACGACAGGGAAGGAGAAAACTACCTAATGCATGCTCTGTATTTGCTTGCAATCCTACACATCCAGAAAAGGAGCTGCTGTCTCGTGAAAGACCCGAAAACCTGATCCGAACCAGACCAAAAAATACGGAAACCACATAATAGAGGAACACCCTAAGCTAGCATGAGTTTGGTACTTTTATGACCCAACTCAGCCAAGAAATAAAAAATATTCGCATTACCCGAAAGTATCAAACTTCAAAAGAGAAGGTCTCCTTTCGTTGATAAGTCATTGCACTTTGACCACACCACACACACACGTACAGCTTAACCAACCAACTTCATAATCCTTAATGACTCGAGCAGATCACTCGCAAAAAAGAGGTACAAACAAAGTATCAACTTGAAGTTAGATAAAGGACAATGACCAAAAATGTATGGAGTGTGGTCCAAATGTCCACCACTAACGAGACCTATGTAGTAAAATAGTCTACTAAATACTGATTCATTATAACCAAACAGCAATCAGAAATATGCTGTCAGTAAAAAGTTATGACTGAATGAAAAGTCATGTTTTTCACCTTTTCATCCGAAAAATGTTCTTGATATCATTCTATCCATCGCACATTTTGGACTAATCTATGCATGTTATGTCATGTCGCTTATCATCTCGCATGCCGTGTTAGGTTTTCGCGAAAAGAAAAAAAAAAAAGCTCAGAAGAAAGACAACAATATTGGAATACTTGGAATAATGCGAACGGGGTAAAATAGTATTTTTTCTAACTGGTGCGGGGTTATAGATGAATTATAATACTAGCTGTGCCTACTACTTTGTACGCGTGAAAATAGTTTGAATAATATTTCCCATTTTTAAAACATTTGTCTTTACCGCTCCGCCCCTATTGGTTGTAGGGTGATGTTATATAACCTAAAACCATCCTTGATGAATGGGCTATCCATAACAAAAAATATTTTTTCAAATCGGACCAGCAGTTCCTGAGATTAGCGCGTAAACTACTACAATTTTTCAAACAGTCATAACTTTTTACTGACAGCTTATTTTTTTTTCATCTCATACTGAAAGTTAATCTCTATTTAATGGACTATAAGCCAATATAGGTCTCATTAGTGGTGGACATTTGGACCACTTTTGGTCATTGTCCTTTATTTTATGCACAATGAGGAAGCTTTTGGCCTGCATCTCATCTGATAGAAAATGATAATCTGGCAAAGTAGAAGCGAACTTCATCCAGAAGCCTCAACCAAAAGAGTTGTCGATATTTAAAGTAAAATTACAAGTAATTTATAAGACAAAAATAAATATAGCATCAAAAATTAAAATAACGCCAATGGATGGATATGGGTATTTTTGAAACGCATTTCACTGTATCGTCGACCGCAATCAATATAGGACTCAAATGATTCATATGGCGTGAGTCATATGTGTTTACGGTGTAATCAGATGCACGCACCCAAGAAGGGCTGATCACATAACTGTGGTTTGTCTAAGGATGTTGCCTTCTACGGATTTTGAATCACATTCGGCCAAAACTTACAATGACGAGCAGAGATTTAGGTCCGTATGTCCTTCTAAAGTACTCAGTTAGCCCTAGCTAAGGCACAATACATGACCAGTTTAGACCTACACAATACTTAATGGTATAGTACCTAAGTAATAAAAAGGGCTCCTGGGTTTGGCAGGCATTGTAATCTGCCGGTCTTTGTCACAAAGCCTTGGTAATGGTCAATAAACATCGCTATTTGCGGCACTTTTAGGGCTTTCGGAACCATGAACACCGACCTTCGTTCTTTCATTATTATTATGAGGCGATTGTTTTGCTTAGGTTTAGTATATTTGACTTATAAAACTACCACGTCAAGATAAGAAGACGCTTCTTAAAAAAATCCACGGAGTTACGGTATTGCTGACCAATAATCTCGGGATCTACTGAACCGATTTTGAAAATTCTTTCACCAATAGAAAGTCACATTATTGCAGAGTGTCATAAGTTATATAAAAAACCGAAAAATTCCACGCGGGCGAAGCCGCGGGCGGAAAGCTAGTCATAAATAAATTGAGAGTTTCAGAGTCTCTTATCAATCTGGCTAGACCTATTTCTGACTTTAGTACTGGAAATGGAAGATAATATGAAGAAGGTCGCTGAACTAAGCCAACAGAAAGGGTACATGAAAAACAGGCTCTACTAAACATGATAAAAGGTATTTGAGACATCACAGGATACAGTTACATAAAAAAGGTCGATGCTATCGACCAAGCCCACAAAAGATAAAAATACTACGACAAATAGCGACTGAAATCGTGATGTTTGTATGATTCGTGACTACGTACGAAGGAAATATTATTAACACATTAACAACTCCATGAATGATATCGATACAGATTTAGAAAATTGATTTTACGTGAACTCACATACGCACTAAGTACACAAGCATAAAATTAACACATTCTAACCCCCCTAGCGAGTCTAGAGGCAATCGTTGCGCAATTACTAGATACCTACTATCTAGATTTTTGTGGTAAGAAAAAATGGCTAGTAAAAAATTAAAAATAGCAGTAAAGGTAGCAGGGAAGCGCTGGACGCAGGCCGCTACCAATCGATCAACGTGGAGTTAACCTTGTGGCCCTAAAACTCAGACCAAAGACTGAGTCATAAAATATCAAGATAAACGCTGGCTTCTTAATGGATTTATGTGTCACAAAAATATTTATGTATTATGTGCTGCGGACTGTACAGTATAAGCCTTCATGAAGTATTTACAAATATGAGATAAGCTACTTATCATCAACCTGATCCTGAGAGCAAGACGTATCTAAGCAAAGACAAGTTATAAATAACTCAGAATCTGCTGTAGAGCCATTTAAAATAAAAGTAAGCTGGCTGTAGGGATTAATAAAGGAGCTAATGGTAAAACATGAAAGCAGTAAAGCTAGGATTTACCCATAAAGGTGATTCTTAGTTATCATTCTGACATGTGGAGCACAACATGTATGAAAAAGCTGAAAGAGCGACCATTTGTATGGAATAGAGGCACCAGCACCAGGCCTACAGCGTTGCCAGACGTCCCGATTTTGGCGGGACGTCCCGATTTTTAAATAAAATTAATTGTCCCGCGCGGGACAGGCTCGGTCCCGCTTTTCGGAGAGAGACACTCACTTCACCAGACTATTGTTTGAAACGTCATATTAATCTAAAGAATAAAACTTTTTATTTTTTCTTCTTTTTTTATTCTAAAGACGAATTTAACGATAGAGTAAATCTGATTTAAAATATTATTTTTTTACTCAAATACATTTTCTATGGCTACTTCTGCTATCTATTGTCACGTAAACGTAATTTTAAAGCAAATAAAAAGATAAATATTTGAAAACCTTTGATTATACACGTTTTTTTACTATGTCCCGCTTCTGACGGAAGAATCCCGCTATTTTCACTCAAAAAGTACCAAAGTCCCGACTTGGCGAAAAAAAAAAATGGCAACGCTGCAGGCCTATCTCTTTGAGCGACACCAACGGTCGTATTCACAAACTATGCTTGCTTAAGTGAAGGAGCAAATCGAACACACAGCGTTGAATAGACCTCTGTGATTGGTTCGTGTGTAACCTTGTCGTCCATGCGCACTGTGAGACCTCATAGTAATGTTTGTGAATACGGGCGCAAAAGTCGAAACAGAACGTGGTGAGCGGACCCTCAGATCGTGTATTAAACCCTTCAGTATTGAATTAACTTTAGGTCAATATTAACCATCAATTACCATAATTATTCTTTCAATATTTCGAGGGCCTTCCTAAGGGAATGTAAACAAAAACAAACCCACAAAGGCAAGCCTGCGTGAACCGCATGACGCGTGTTAAGCTCCCATGACGGACGCGACGGCTTTTTGTTGAAATTCGAAACTGGGGCCCTACTCTGCAAAACTAGTCGATGGTACACCGGACCATAGATTTTTGTTGCAAAATTCGAAACTGGGGGCTTATTCTGCAAAACTACAGTTGAGAGCACATTGGAATAAACTTAATTATTGCAAAAATGCACTTTTATTAACTGTAACTGGGCCCTACTCTGCAAAACTAGTCAACAGTACAGCAGTCTACATTTTTGTTGCAAAATTGCATCTTTATCAAATACATTTAGGTGCAACGTTTAAATTGATGTGCTGGCATCTGTACATATTTTTGACTCAGATAGATTTGGACATTTAAAGTACTTCTTTATAGGCCTTAAATACTATAAAAGAGGTATTATTGGTGATACAGATTTTTATACTTTATAATCAATATGTTTATCAAATCATAGTTTACTGATAAGCAGGATACCTAACTACATTATGTAAATCTAATAAAACATAAATTGACTTTAGTGCAAAATGTGTCTAGGTCTTTACTTTACTTTGATACACATAGATTATGATATCAACATTATTGTCCTTCTAAAGTATAATAAAAAAATAAGATTGACTTACCCATAAATTCTGTTAATGCTAGCACACTCGTGGTTGCCCCGTAATAAGAAGAAGTTCTCTGGGTATTTGATCTTGTACGCAAGTAGCAGACATATAGTCTCCAACGACTGTTTGCCACGGTCTACGTAATCTCCGAGGAAGAGGTAGTTGGATTCCGGAGGGAAGCCTCCATATTCGAACAGCCTTAGTAAGTCGTAGTATTGTCCGTGGATGTCACCTGCGGAGTGAAGAAATTATGACGTAAACAATTTCTTAAATAAACAAGATTTTCAATAAACAAAAGAATTAAAGTTATTAATGTATTTGTATTCCTTGACAATAATGAATTATCATTTAAGATTTTCTAAGATCTACTGCAGTATAAATGGTAAATAGCTCAACGAACATAATAACAAGAATAATAAAAATAAACTTTTTTAAAAACAAGCTTTTATTCTGAATTTCGAAAGCTTGTATCGCGCATTAAATTAATTCCTCTTTTTCTCTGTTTGCGCTACTTGCAAGCTTTCGAAATTCAGAATAAAAGCTTGTTTTTAAAAAAGTTTATTTTTATTTTATTTTATTATAATTTTATTTTACACTTTTTAGTTATATCTTAATCTCAGACCCTGAACATTATCTAACACTAAAGTGCTCGAAAAGACTAATCCAACGAACCCAAACTCGATGAGTTTCCGCCGTTTTGTTTCGGAGTTCCTATGGCCACCTCCCGACTCCATCATCAGACCAGCTCAATGGTACCATAATATTGCATTGTCATCGTACTTACATAAGTATACCAAATTTCAGCTCAATCGGTTGAGGAGAACTGGTCTTAAATTCAGTTGCAAGATTTGTCCCACACATACTAACAAGTGAAGTCAATATAAAGCTTGTAATAAAAATAGCACCCAGGTATGAAATTGTACAGAAAATACAAAGCATCTGATGCATTACATTTCTCTCAAGGTTTACGATGCCTATGCCATCTCCATTTGAGACAATGAAATGTTTATTAGGGAAGTAGTTTTCTTATTTCCTTTGCAATACAATAGTCTTCAAAACAGCATTGTTTTGTACATTCTCTATGCCTATGGTAACATTGATTTATAAGTTTTCTTGTTCATAGTTAGGAATGAGTTACTTCCTGACTACTATGTTAAGCAGGTTTCATGGATTAAAAAAATGAGAGGAATGATTAGTTTCTTATGTATACAACGTGTCCCAAAATTCAAGGATAAGCCGGCGCCGCAGGATGGACATAGTCATGACTACTTTAGGAAAAATAAGAAAAAAAATCTATCTCAATTATTTTTTAAGTTACACAATAAATTATGAAATTCGTCGAAAATTGACACCCCTTATGATATTTTACATTACCACGACTACAATTTTTCAAATACTTCTGTTTTTTTGTTTGTATTGGCAACTTAAGTAGTGCTGCTGTCCACTCCACTTCTTAAAACCCCCAGAATCCTTGCAGTTTTTACACAAAAGTTAATCAAAATATGATATTTCCTTAAAATTTTAAACGATTTTTACTTTCACTCCACTTTGACTCGTCGTTTTGTAAAAAAACAGTATGAACACTACTTCGGCAAGTTTATTATAAAGTTGACGCAACTATTCGGGCACTTGGGCCATGAGATTGAGAAACAACTAAAAAGTTTAAAATAAAGTTATAATCGCGCATGGAATTTATTCTTCTTTTTTTCTGTTTGCGCTACAAACTTTTGAAATTATTTGAACCTTGCATACAATTATTTTAATCGTTAAATTCTTTCGTAAAATTTCGCATTAATGCTTGTTTTTAAAAAAGTTTTTTTTATTATAACTTTATTTTACACTTTTTAGTTGTTTCTCAATCTTATGGTCCAAGTGCTCGGGAAGTCAAATCCAACGAACCCAAACTCGATAATCTTCCGCCATTTCAATTAGGAGTTCCTTTGGCCAGCTCCTGGCCACCTCTTGACTTCATCATCAGGACCCTGGACATCATCTAGCACTAAAGTGCTCGAAAAGATATCCAACGAACCCAAATTAGATGCGATTCCGCAGTTTCGTTTAGAAGTTCCTATGACCACCTCCAGACTCCATCCAGCTCAATGATACCATAATATTGCAATGTCATCGTACTTACATAAGTATACCAAATTTCAGCTCAATTGGTTGAGGAGAACTGGTTTTAAATTTAATTGCAAGATTTATCCCATACTAACAAGCGAAGTGCTTGTAAAAATGGTACGCATATCTTTATTGCGACTAGTTTTCTTAGAGTATTATACCATTTTGGAATCTTGGATAGTTGCGGCAACTTTATAAATAACTTGCCGCAGTAGTGTTCATACTGTTTTATTACAAAACGACGAGTCAAAGTGGAGTGAAAGTAAAAATCGTTCAAAATTTTAAGGAAATATCATATTTTGATTAACTTTTGTGTAAAAACTGCAAGGATTCTGAGGGTTTTAAGAATTGGAGAGGACAGCAGCACTACTTAAGTTGCCGATACAAACAAAAAAACAGAAGTATTTGAAAAATTGTGGTCGTGGTAAGGTAAAATATCATAAGGGGTGTCAATTTTCGACGAATTTCATAATTTATTGTGTAACTTAAAAATTTTAGAGATAGATTTTTTTCTTATTTTTCCTAAAGTAGTCATGACTATGTCCATCCTGCGGCGCCGGCTTATCCTTGAATTTTGGGACACGTTGTATGTTGTTTACTTGTTTTGTTTGTCAATAAAGAATTTTGAATTTTATATTTATTCAAGTATCTGCTAAAGAAATAAAACAAGTCTTGTTCAATAAACTTCCTCATTAAACCACTGATCTTAATCATGATTCATTGGTGATACAATTTGACAAAATCGGACATAATAACTTATCATTATAGTTTTAACAATATTTTTTACTACATAAAAAGTTGTTAATTAAATATGTAGGTGCTGATAATGAATGCAAGATAAGGTTCGAGATATGCCAAGAAAGTAAAAAACATTGATTCATGCTATGACAACATGAGATACACAGTTGACTGAATACTGCTAGACCACACAGCTTATTTATTTATGGGCGATTCTCTGTAAGCTCGTAATCGGCTGTCCCGGCCGATTTTTTCAAAAAGCAATTAAAATATTTAAAAAAAACACACTCGTAATGAAACTTTAACCCCAAAACTTTACGGGCCCTTTGTTTTTAGAACCATAACTATTTTTAGTTTTTTTCTAGACTCGATTGAAGCCCGAAAAATACAGTCCCCTGGCTGTCCCCATCACTGCATTTCCGCCTAGAAATGATATTTACGAAGAAAATATTGAAACTACATACATCTGGCAGCTCATAGCATAAAGAATAATAATGAAATTATGATATTTACGTGAAACAAGCTCTCATTACCAATTTTATTTATTTAGTAAACTCCTGTAAACTTTGTCCCCAGAATTTAAATACAGTCCCCTGCCAAAAAGTTAAATTCATAATATAAAAAAACTAAAATAGCTACAATGTTTTTTTTGAGTGAAATGAAATGCAATTGCTATAAAATAGACAACCTTGCCGAATGCGGCGTTGAGATGCCTATTTTTTTAGTGTCAGAGCGTCATTTGTGAGGTGAACACGCGCTTGAATCGCCACCACACACAGTCCTCTGGTAAGTCATAATATGCATGTTAATTACTTAATAATCTCTAAATAAAGTATAAATTGATATAATATTTATGTCTCAATTGATCGGTAGATTCTTAAAACACTATTTAACATCATTTTCGTAAATATTGTGAAATCTAGCCGAAATACACAGTCCCCTGGCAACAGTCCTCTGCCTGAAATTGCACAAATATGTGCATCAGGTCGCAAGTATTTATTCCTGGTCCATCCTCGGCTTTCCAAATAAATATAAAACACTAACAATGAGGCAGCAAGGTTCTGGAGTAGAGGCCATGTACAGGAAAACGCAGCGAGAGACAAGCGACACCGAGCCACCTTGTGGGTGGACCGACGACCTCATAAAGGTAGCAGGAAGGCGTTGGATGCAGGCCGCTCTACCAACAGTGCGATGTGGAAGTCATTGGGGGAGGGCGGGAGGCCTATGTTCAGCAGTGGACGTCCAGTGCTGAAATGATGTTGATGACTAACAATGAAAAGTGTCAGCTGCTTTTGCAACAGTGGTTCTTGTGAGCATAATAACGGAAAATCTTTAATCTGATGAACCTGAATTGACCACAAATTCCCCTCAAAGATTTGACGATGAAATAGCAGGAACGGGTGGTACTCGGAATTCAGTGCCTCAGAGGTTAAGGTTAATTTTTGATATGAATGTTTATTAAGGAAAGTTGTTATTTCTGTTAATTTTTTATAAAGACATTTTATTTACTATTGATTTGCTATAAAATAATAAGTAATTGATCAATTTAAAATGACTTTTTCTTAAAGTATAACAGTCCTCTGTCTCAATTAACAGTCCCCTGTCATGATTTCTTGGAAAATCGCTAATAACTCGGAAAATATTAATAATTTCAGTGGGACTCCTTATCTAACTAAAATAATAGTCAATTTTCTTTGAAATTGATCACAGTTTTTTGGAAAATGTTAAAAATAATTGCCAGGACAGCATTTGTATGGGACCTGTACGAGCTTACAGAGAAATGCCCTTATTAATTCAGTTTTTGTTTTAAAAAATGGAATGATACACAAACGAAACATGTAGTAAAATACGTCTACAAAAAATACATGACAAACCTTGCCTAGCAGTTTTAAAATGCGTTCTCAGATACCCTCCTTCTCGAGGTTGAATTTTCAAAAACCGTAACGTACGTTGAGCGACACCAATGCGAAGGGAAAGATGACGATTTCATATTTCGAAAGTGGACAGGAAATGCAGCGTTCTTTTGAAGTAGGTATACTGGTTCGTTCACTTACCGCATATTTTTAGGGGAGCTTCCAACTCAAGTAATATCGGTTGCGACAAGAATATTTCCCGAGATTTTAAGCATAAACCTTTGATCTCAATTTCTGTTAACTGAACATTCATACCAGGCTTCTCGCCCCGTACTGAAAACAACCAAATAAAAACATGACACCGACACAATCAAAAACACCAAGTTTTCACTGAGTATTCGCACTATTTTTCACCAAATAAACACATATCACTATATTTCACAAAAAACACAAATATTTCAGTTTACATCGGAATTTATCAACATTTACCTTTTAGTAATTTTTTTATTACGTTATCGATGTTCAACTCATCTGTATCTCTGTCTGCCATTGGATATAATGTTTGTGCACGGAATATGACTTAATAGAATAAGTAAAAGAAGGAAGATTGTGAAGATATTTGCCGATTTATGAAAGGTACAACCTATTTCAATTCTCGGCTAAAATGAATTTCAATGGCGGAGACATAACTTACACACACAAACAAGGGAAACACATCATCAGTGTGCCCAGCTCTAAAGTAAAAAATACCACAGAGTTGACGTGAATAATCCTGTTTTTTTATCACTCAACAGAACAGATTTATCATACTGTAAGTAATAATTTCTGTATTAAAATTATGATTTTAAATCATATCTTTAATGTAAAAATCATTATAATTATTGTCTTGGCATTAAACCAAGTATTATTATGATGATGCATTTCCTAAAAAATATGTAAAGCTGAAATAATCTTTAAGAAGTTTTTTTTTTCATTTTACACGACTTCAGTCAGAGACTCAGAGTATTTAATATTATATTTAAAAGTTCGAATCAACATTTTATGATGTGTATGAAATAGAAATGGAAGTGATTACCTTTATAAATTTTCACCCGAGTTTTAGGGTAAATTGTGATAGTGACAACCCTGAGTTTGACATTAATGTTGCCATTTAAAAAACCTAAAAACTACTAATATTACCGGCACTAATAACGATAACGTTATTTCTATGAAATTGTTATCCGATAATGGTGATCGGCTTCGAGTATGTGTGTCGTTTATATGGAGATGGCCTATTTCCCGCCGAAAAATAGTTTGTTAGAAAAAAAAAACAATGTTCAACTTAAATGCCAAAATAATGAAGGGTTTTGATGCGGTTTTACCTGTATTTTTTAAATTCATGCACGAAGCATATAACGACACAATGAAATCTTTATTCTGGGTTACACAAAGAATAGAACAAAAATTTAATAAAAGTTCAAATATTTTTATTTATCACAACAACAAAGAAACAAGTAAGTAGGTAGGTACATAATAAAAATTAATTTACTAAATAATCCGTTCACATTATAATCAGTCTTCAGGTTAGTCCTTCTTCCCGCCACGATATGGGTGTCGTTTACTGAAAAAATAACAATGTAAGTGTTATTCAGCTGTTTTGTTAAAAAAAGATGCCATAGTATAATAATGAGTGCCAGTTCATCAAATGGCGACCATGGACCAGAGTTTCGGAAGACGTAGCGTGGAAGCATCTGGATTCGGGCAGCGCAGGACCGCTCATTGTGGGAATCAACCATGTGTGTCGACCATGGATTCCCACAATGACCGGTCCTGCGCTAAAGGCCTTTGTCCAGCCGTGGGCGTTTTTTTGAAACGCTACTTACGCTGGGATAGTCAGCGTGTATATTCCAAACTTGGTGTTGACGTCCTCGAGGCGGAAGATGCCCTCCACGTACTCCTTGTCAGCTGGGACTGCCGGCGTCTCGAACACTAGGTTCATGATGTAGTCTTCAACGCAACTGGAAAATAGGCATATTACTTTTTAGTAGTAAATTATATCATAGCATAGCAATAGTATAGAGAAGAAGCATGGTATCGATAATATTGATCTTAATGATCATGAATTCACTTTTTTTCTTCTAAAGAAGAATATTACTAAATCCTATTGCACAAATTACTAATACTTCCTTTAGCCCCTCGTACTAAGCTAAATATGCTTGTATCACGACGAGTGAGCTCACCACAATAGTCGAGCGACAGCGCGGTTAGAACCCGCGTTCCTCGGATCACGAGTTGGCCAACCCGATCCCTTCACCGGTCGGCTATCATCATCATCATCATCATCTCAGCCATAGGACGTCCACTGCTGAACATAGGATGCCAATGCTTTCCTTGTTGCCCCGTTAGTAGCTTCCTGCTACCTTTACGATGTCGTTCGGCTATCGTGGCTTTTAAATAGGGATGATGAATGGGTAATGAAATCGAAATTCTATTTAGTTCAGACTGTTAATAAAAAAATTTTGGACACATATTTTTTTTTTTTCATAATCGAATAATTACAGTATTGAGTTGAAATTTCGCGTGACTTCACTTTTGAGTAAAAAATCTACTCAAGCGTGACGTAACGCGCCATTTCAACTCGATGTAGCACTGTTATTATTTAATTATGAAAGAAAATAAAAAATATGAGTCTAATATTTTCTAATTATCTGTCTGACGAACAAATAATTGAAATTTTGTCATCTGCCTATTACTAATAAAGCAGGACTTACTAAGCGCAAGGCTGGTAGGGCACCAGTTTCTCAATCCTGTTGGGCCGCAGCGGTTCCACGTACGGATCAGCCACCAGCTTCGTTGGGGCCGGGCCGGCGGGTCCTTTGCGGGCCTTGGGCGTTGGCGCTGGAGGCTGGATATTGAAGGAGATAATGACAGAGAGATGGTGCTTTAGGTTTTTTTATATAGCTAAGTAGTTTTTGTCTGGCTTTTATAATAACTTGGCATTCCAAGCTGGAGACCCGGCTTAAGGTGTGTCTAAAAGCCTTTGAATACTTACTTACGCAGTCCTAAAATTACTTATACATTCTGTCGATTTCGCTATGGTCACCAAGCGCTAAGTGATAACTAAAATGGTGTTTTATAAAAGGTCTTTATAAAATCTGCAAACTGCCTAGGGACATAGTCCATCCATATTGCTTTTTTTGGGAAGTTCTTGCAAAATATTATTGATTATGCTTACCTTGACAGCTCCGTATGCTACTTCAATCAGGCTCTTGACCTCTGTCTCCAGCAGCCTGAGGAACTTGGGCACGTTCCACTTGGTGACCTCCTTGTGGTTCCCGAGGAGGGACAGCAGCGGGTTGCAGTCACATTTTGCAAGTCTGAAAATTGCAAATTATTTATAGCCATTTCACTTTTGACATGTTAGGAATATGAATATAAAAACCTAAAAGAAATGTGAATGTAACATCATACCATGACCATGATCGTCTCTGACAAAAAGATAACGGATATTTGTTTAGATAACGATCAATAAATCATAACCGTTTGTAACCACTGACTGACGCTTTTATTTAAGCGCGTGCGCGATGGCAATGGCGATGGCGATCATTAGTAATCAGCAGGATCGCTATCGTTATCGCCATCGCCATCGTGCTCGCGGGCTCGAATCTCGAATCTAATCGAATCTTAAGTATCATAAATGACAGTTTGGATCCAAGACTGCTTTGGTATCTGACGAGGTCGTCAATGCCCTTCAGCACCCTGCCTATGGTGGCGTCGGCCTGGTTGTTGAGGTCCTGCATGTGCTACGTGACTGCGTGGTCCCGTATAGTTAGCTGACGAGGTCGTCAACGCCCTATAGTTACCTGACGAGGTCGTCAATGCCCTTGAGCACCCTGCCTATGGTGGCGTCGGCCTGGTTGTTGAGGTCCTGCATGCGCTACGTGAATGCGTGGTCCCGTATAGTTAGCTGACGAGGTCGTCAACGCCCTATAGTTACCTGACGAGGTCGTCAATTCCCTTCAGCACCCTGCCGATGGTGGCGTCGGCCTGGTTGTTTAAGTCCTGCATGTGCTGCGCGACAACTGAATGGTCCCGTATAGTTACCTGACAAAGTCCCCCTTCATCCACGTTAGCAACTAATTATCTGACGAGGTCGTCAACGCCCTAATAGTTACCTGACGAGGTCGTCAATTCCCTTCAGCACCCTGCCGATGGTGGCGTCGGCCTGGTTGTTTAAGTCCTGCATGTGCTGCACGACAACCGAATGGTCCTGTATACCTGACGAAGTCCCCCTTCGTCCACGTTAGCAACTAATTACCTGTCGAGGTCGTCAACGCCCTAATAGTTACCTGACGAGGTCGTCAATACCCTTGAGCACCCTGCCTATGGTGGCGTCGGCCTGGTTGTTTAAGTCCTGCATGTGCTACGTCCGCCGCTCGCCCAGCTCTAAGGTGAGCGCGGCCAGGCGCTTGTCTCGCTTCTCTTCGCAAGTTCTTCATTGCAAGTCCAATGACAGTTTAACTTGACCTTCACTGGTTGGGTTTTTATTGGCGGTCAAGCTATGGATCCTGGCTACACAGGAGTTGCAGCGGTGGGAACGAGAGGTGGGAATAGTCCCGTTTTTAATTCTTCTCTCGGGTCTCGTTGATGTCGCGTTGGCCTACTGGTACCTGACGAGGTCGTCAACGCCCTAATAGTTACCTGACGAGGTCATCAACACCCTATTAGTTACCTGACGAGGTCGTCAATGCCCTTGAGCACCCTGCCTATGGTGGCGTCGGCCTGGTTGTTGAGGTCCTGCATGTGCTGCGTGATTGCGTGGTCCCGTATAGTTACCTGACGAGATCGTCAACGCCCGAATAGTTATCTACCTGACGAGGTCGTCAACGCCCAATAGTTACCTGACGAGGTCGTCGATGCCCTTGAGCACCCTGCCGATGGTGGCGTCAGCCTGGTTGTTGAGGTCTTGCATGTGCTTAGGTTACCTGACGAGTTCAGTAATACCCGTTAATCACCTGACGAGGTCATCAACGCCTTATTAGTTACCTGACAAGATCGTCATCGCCCTAATAGTTACCTGACGAAGTCGTCAACGCCTTATTAGTTACCTGACGAGGTCATCAACGCCCAATAGTTACCTGACGAGGTCGTCAATGCCCTTGAGCACTCTTCCTATAGTTGCGTCAGCCTGGTTGTTTAAGTCCTGCATGTGCTACGTGACAGCGTGGTCCCGTATAGTTACCTGACGAGGTCGAAAATGCTCGTAATTACCTGACGAGGTCGTCAACGCCTTATTAGTTACCTGACGAGGTCGTCAAGCGCCCTAATAGTTACATGACGTGGTTGCAACGCCTTATTAGTTACCTGACGAGGTCGTCAACGCCCTAATGGTTACCTGACGAGGTCGCCAACGCCTTATTAGTTACCTGACGAGGTCGTCAACGCCCTAATGGTTACCTGACGAGGTCGTCAATGCCCTTCAGCACTCTTCCTATAGTGGCGTCAGCCTGGTTGTTTAAGTCCTGCATGTGCTGCGTGCGCGCACGCCGCTCGCCCAGCTCTAACGTGAGCGCGGCCAGGCGCTTGTCTTGCTTCTCCTCGCGCGCTTCGTTGATGTCGCGTTGGTCCACTGTGTGATAAGAAGAAACTTTTAAAAAAATCTTTATTACTGAGAAGGTAGTTAGGTAGGTATCCGAGAAGGGTGATATGTGATGCAGCTGATGTCGTCTCGCCGCATTTGACGTAACTAAAACACGGTCCTCCTACGCCGCTGCACTAAAACAGAAAATGTTAGATGTCGGTTCTTTTTAGGGCAGTTTTACACGTCCGAAATATAGCTTGCCCTGCCACTAACTACTTCGGGACAACTTCCGCTGGTGCTGGGAATCGGGGATAGACTGGTCTATTTGTTAAACTGTGCCTATAGACCAGGGGTGGCTAACCGGTCGATCGCAATCGACTGGTCGATCGCGACTATTAATCCAGTCGATCGTGGCAAGGCAAAAAATACTACATGATTGTGTACTAAACTATGCTGTTTCATTTAAGATTTCCAGAAAGTATGTAAGTAAGTGGTAGATCACCCAGGGTTTCATTAGTAAATAGTAGATCTTATGTCTAATCAAGTTGACCACCCCTGCTATAGACAAAGTAACACATAATAGCTTTGCTCTTGCCATATTGCCTTTCTATTAATGTCAACCCTGAGCGTTTATCACAAAATTGACTGGTGCAAGTTGCAAGGGCGACTAAGGCATGAGGCATAGCAAGGCACGCTGAGGTTGTAGTGGGGGGTAGATACTGGCACATAGACCAGGATCGCTATTCGTCAAAGAGTGCCACAGTCGGTCAACGTCCACTAGAGTATACTTGACATACGTGGTACATAATCATAATAGAGAAATGAGGAGATCCGCAGGAGTACCAAAGTGACCGACATAGCTCGCAGAATTGCTAAAATGAAATGGCAGTGGGTAGGGCACATAGCTCGTAGAGACGATGTCCGTTGGGGCAGAAAAGTTCTCGAGAGGCGATCACGAGCTGGAAGATGTAGGCAGGCATGCTACTAGGTGGACCGACAATCTGGTGAAGGTCGAAGGGAAGAGACTGGATGCGGGCAGCGCAGGACCGTTCATTTTGGAAAACCTTGGAAGAGGCCTTTGTCCAGCAGTGGACGTCATTTGGCTGAAACGATCGAACTGGTACATAAGACAAATCTATTGGTCAAGGAGTACCCTAAAAAGCCAATGTCTACTAACTGATCCTCTGTCGCAGTATCTCCAGCTCGCGGCGCATGATGATGGACTCCTGAAGCACCTCGCACAGCAGCACGAAGGTGGAGAAGTTCTCGATCTCCACGATCTTGAACCGGTTGATGATGCTGGCAACTCGGTCTGTGCCGGCGTATTCCTGGAATAGGTGTGAAGCAGTTGCAATAAAGTACGTAATGTATCGGAGTACCTGGATGTGCATAGTACAGGATCGGCTGTAATGGAAATCCTTGAGAGACGCCATTGTCTAGCTTTAGAATGATTTTAACTTATCATAATAATCATAATACTTATCTTTATTGCTTCATGTGGTACCTATGTACAAACAGGATCTAATAATACCTATCAGTTCATATCCAGAGATGGTTTTCATGGTTTTGGTTATTAGAACAGGCCTGGAGGAGAAATTATAATGATGATGAACCGGAGATGACGCGTTGTAAATAAGTCAAAGACATTAAGGACACATTTATTACATGTGACAACAGTTTTGGTATTTTTCCACTTTTCAGTATGAAAAAAAAAAACGGGTATTTCTATCTTTCTCATTCGAAATAGTTCTACTGCAAGAGAAAGACCTCTCCCAAAGATTTCTAGAGAAAGACATCCAGGCGCATCTTGCAATTTTTATTAGGTCATCGATGTACCTACTTATTTATCTAAAAAAAAATAAGAACTTCGTATTGCAAATTGCCCTAGCTCGTCGGTTTAACTGAAAATGTGTGATTAACCGCCTCTGTGGTCTAGTGGTAAGACCACCTGCTTCAGACACAGAGGTCCCGGGTTCGATTCCCAGTGGGGGCAGATTTTTCTGTTCGGTTTGGTTGGTGGTAGGGCTTGTTCTAAGTCCGCCTGGCTAGCTACCACCATCTTACCTAAGTCTGTCGCCATAACAACAAAGTTAACAGCATTGTTGTGTTCCGGCAGTTAGAGGTAAGATAGCCAGTTCCTCCGTGGTTGAGGATTCCGGGTGAAGCTCGCTTCGACCTTCGGCCTGATCATCACTTACCATCAGGTGAGATTCAGGCTAAGAGCTTCCTCGTTGTGGATAAAAAAAAAAAAAAAAAAAGAAAAAGGCCATAAAAAATCTATACTCACGAATATTTCTTCCAGCAGCGCGTCATGCCTGGCGATCTCCTGCTCGCACCGCTGGATTTCCTCCAGACGCTTTATCTCCTCCTTCTCATCAGCCTCGCAGATCCTGCGGGAGCCCTTCACTCGGAGAAACTCCTCCAACTTGGCGAGGTGGTTCAACTCGCCCTCGTAGGATTGCATCTCCTGTAATATTAAGGTTATTAGGTAATAGTTTCCACTGCTGGAGCACGACTGTCTAATTTACCACAGGCAAATGGATGATTTGGCATTTGGCACCCTTATGATGACCAGTTGGGTTTGGAAGGGCCGATTTTCGCATTTGTTCCTTCATCACCTTTTCCACAGGAAGAGCGGGAGTAATCTCATTCTAATCTGCAGGATCACATGGCATTTGGAAGTAGATAAATGGTTCAAGGAATCTGCCTTAACATCGATTAAGTATATTATGTACCTAGATAACTAATCTGTTTATAATAATATAATATGTTTTCTGAATAAAACAAAATAAAATAAAATAAATAAATAAAATAAAACACGAAAGTTACTGGATCAGGAGTTAGGAAGTAGTTGGCCAGATAAGGAGGTATCTATTGTATATTTTTATTTGTAAGCTTTGCGCATGCTTCGTCACAAGACAAAAACTGTTGTAAATTGTTATAGGTTCTCATGAAAGTGCAAGCGAAGTACCTGTTCTTATGAATAAAGATTCTTTAAACCTATATTCAAGGGTATGTCTCACAAACCAGTGGACAGAACTCAAGACTCAACTACAATAACAACGATCAATAAAATAGTACCGATATATCCCTATTGAGCTGGTACAATCCTTTCCACTTGAGCGCCTCCAGCATCCTGCAACACTCGTCGCGGTCTCCGAAGGCGACGGCAGCAATCTCGAAGATGTCCATCAGGTATTCCTTGCCTTTCACCAGCTTGCCGATGGTGCGGTTCCATTGTATGTTGAAGTCATTCCTGTAATGGTTAGTACATAATTATAACGCCATGCAATCTTCAAAAGGTTTGAACACACCTGCACGTATGCCGCTTCCAACGTAATGTATGTTGTTGTTGGTATACCGCAATAAATACCTAAATAAATAAATAATGACCAAGCCTAGTCTTTTAGATTCATTCTCAAGTTAGGGTGAGGTTGTAGTTAAATACTCGTAGTTATGCCTTTACATAGTGGAAAAGTAAAACTGAGCGCATTTCAAAACTAGGAGAATACTCAAGTGTTAGCCAACGTATAGGTCGTTTCATCCAAGAAGACGCACCCCATCATTCTTCCGCTAATGTTTGAGTGTTATCGGTACACGTTAAATTATCCGTGAGTGCACACGCACACTACACGCTGACGCTCGAATTGCTTGGATCAAACTCCCTGTACCGCACATGGTAGGGCGCGTCTTCGTGGATGAAACGATCTATACCTACTTATGTTTTTTAGATGTTACCTTTCTACAAGCAGCCTGTGTATCTCCTCCCTGACGCGTTTGTTGTCCGAGTTGACGACGCAGAACCTCTTGGTGGCCAGGTCCAGGCGGTTCTCCATGCGCCGGAGACGGTTGTTGGCGTTCTCGATCATGGCCAGCTCCTGTGGTTATCATCGTATTTTTAGGTACTGGACTATACAATATTTCACTTCATGAAGACAAAGAGGAACATCACTTTCTTATTAAGAAGGTGTTGATTTTATTTCGTCTAGCGGTGCTTGTAGCTTAGTGGCTTTAGCACTTTGGTGGCGATCAAATTAAGACCTACCGTGGCCATTCGCACTGGAAGGAAGGGGACCATGATGAGTCACTCCACAGACGGGGTGGGCAAACCCTGTAGCAGGAAGGGTTAAAATTCACATCAGCTTCCTTAGGTACTTTCTTCAGAAGTTCAACCAGCTGCTTCTTTGCCAGATAGTTGAGGCAGTCCAGTTTTCCTTCTAAATGTTCGTAATCCACAAAGGCCTTAAGTAAGAGAAATTAAAAGAACTCACGTCAGCTTCCCTGGGCACTTTCTTCAGCAGTTCCATGAATTGCTTCTGTGCCAGATAGTTGAGGCAGTCTAGCTTTGCCTACCCTCAGTTGAGGTGAGGCAAGACCTGTATTGGTGGGAATAAAGAACTCACGTCAGCCTCCGTGGGCACTTTCTTCAGCAGTTCCAACAGTTGCTTTTATATTTAATAGTTCAGGCAGTCCAACTCTCCTTCTAGATGCTCGTACTCCACAATGGCTTACAGTTAAAGAAGTTAAAACAGCTCACATCAGCTTTTTTGGGCACTTTCTTAAGCAGGTCCACCAGCTGCTTCTGTGCTAAGTAGTTTAGGCAGACCAGCTCTGGTCTGCCCATAACTGAAGTGAAGCAAGACCTGTATTAGTGGGAATAAAGAACTCACATCAGCTTCGGTAGGCACTTTCTTCAGCAGTTCCACCAGTTGCTTCTGTGCTAAATAATTCAGGCAGTCCAGTTCAGCTTGCTGTGCTCGCTCATCTCTCAGCTCTCCTTCCAGATGCTCGTACTCCACGATGGACTTCCGAGTGCCACTCTTCATCATGTTGTCTCGGAGAGCGTGCTGGCCTTTCTTGGCTAGCTGTGGGTGGAAAATGTTAATTGACGGTATCAGAGGCTAGTGTAGTAGTTTGCAAATGTTTTCGATAGGAAGATCTGCATTATACAATTGATGCATGATCTAGTTACATCTATATTTCTTAGAATTACCCATTGAACATGTAATATACTTATTAAAAAGAAAATATACCTACGGTGACGTAAGCTAGTTTAATTCCCTTTAAAACCGGACTGGACCGTTATTTTAGTCTGGTGACAGAAGATCAGACAGACGGGCGTTTTCCGAGGCCATTCAGACCCCGCCTTCTAAGTTCAGACTTTGACCTGTCATTAAATTTTTAACGAGTTTCATGTCCATGCAGATTTTGAAATAAGAGAGAAGGAAAATGCTATGGTTGTTATGGTAACTGTGTGCTAACTTTCTTATAATTATGTAAAGAGTTATACAGGGTGTTACTTTGCATTCTTGCCATATTTACAGAGGTTACTATATTACTGATACTGAACAAAAATCCGTAAAAAAATAATGCCCGAAATTTTTTTTTTTAATCTTGAGTATTTTATTTTATCGACAATCTGTTAAACACATCACTAATTATCGTAACGCATGCACATCACTTGTTGGCGATGGCGATGAAGACTTTTTTACTTTTTATTGTATTTTTAAATATCTATTGCAATCTATTGTCTTTAAAATGTCTTTTTGACACTTGTAAAAAACTGAGAAATTCATCAATCACAAATCACGTTTTATATAATACAAAAATGTCTGAAGTGTATTCAAACAAAGAATAATTTAATCAAAATGGTGCTTGGAGTGTCTGCAAGACGTCTTAGACGAAATGCTTGATGACGTACCCTTAGCGTTACACCAAATGCTCTACTACCAGCAAGATGGTGCTCCCCCACAATAAGGACGTCAAGTGCGCGAATAATTACGTTTGGTGAACAGTTGATTGGACAAGTGGTCCAGTAGCTTGGCCACCACGATCCTCGGACCTGACACCAATGGATTTTTGGAGTGACTTGAAACGACTGGTATGCGCAGAAGAGATAAACAGTGTAAACGCGTTACATGAAAGGATTGTTTTAGTGAAACTGTGATACAAAACGTTTATGTGTTGCGAAAACTAAAGCGAAAAACCTACGCTTCGCCGTGCTAGACTGTGCCTTCATCAGAAAGGAGGACACTTTGAACACTTGCTTCGCAGTACGTAAACTTTGTAAGTAGGAACTTATGAATAAATAATTAATTGTGAATAAGGTGATTTCATTTCATACTTAATTTATTAATTTGTAAAAATAGGGTACAATGTTAAAATTAATTAAAACCCTAATAATTATTACGTATTTTTGATGGTCCTATGCCCGTAAAGTAGAAAGGAAAATCTGAAATCAACTGAAGAGTATTTTAAAATAATTAAGTATTATGACTGGATAAAAAGGCTGGTACCCAGAGCCATAAAATTAAGAACTAGGCCACGCCCACTAGGTTTATTCCACTTGCACCTGTAGAACGTGCGAGACAAAATGGGTTTATTCCAATTTGTACTGAAAAACCAAATTTACTAAAATCTTAGTGTACTTTCTTTATGGGAGTCTCTTGTTTATCTTAAATAATAGGTATTGTTCCCTACTTTTATCTCTGTGAATATGGCAAGAATGCAAAGTAACACGGTGTATAAGGTGTACAATATGTAACGCATTTATGAGGTATTTATATTATTATGTATCATGACTCATAAGCAATGGTTGTGCTCAGTAGTGCTCTCCCTGTTTAGGCGTCCACGGAAGACCAGCGTCGTGGCATTATCTACTGAGATGCTACGACACCATGCTGAGTGGATACCTTTTCAGTATCATTGTAATTACCTTCTCATTAAATAATGTTAAGTATTGCAAGTGTATTGTCGATGATAGGTACTGAATAAACATTTTTTCTTTCTTCTTTCTTTCTCTCTTTCAAAATCAATTACTTGTTTTCAACCGACTTCAAAAAAGGAGGAGGTTTTCAATTCGACCCGTATGTTTTTTTTTCTATGTTTGTTACGCGATAACTCCGCCAATTATGAACCGATTTGAACAAATCTTTTTTCGGCGTATAGGTAATAACTCAAGGGTGGTCCCATTTAAATTTAATAATAGAAAAAACAACCCCCAAGGGTGGAAAATTGGGGATGAACTTTTTTATACGCAATATCTCCGCCGATTATAAATCAATTTGAACGATTATTTTTTTGTTGAAAAGGTATTATCAAAAGGGTGGTTTCATGCGAATTTGAAGAAAATATTTCACCCCCAAGGGCGGAAAATTGGGGATGAACTTTTTTATACGCAATATTTTTAATTTTTAGTTTTTTTTTGTGTTCACGCATTGAAGTCGGTTTTATTTTTTTAAAAAGTTAATTATTCTACTCACGTTGATGCACAGCAAGGTCTCCCGCAGCTCGTTGGCGAGTATACCAAGCTGCTTCTCCTGCGGCGCCAGCTGCGGCACGCCGCCCGCGCGTTTCTCCACGCTGCACATCGGCGCCATCTTTTGGAACTGGGGGTAGAAGGGTGGGGTATAGTGTAATAAGGAGGGTAGTTAATTTGTAAAAGTTAGTGTCGCAATATGAACGGCGAATTGAAGAGCTATAGAATGTTGATTATTATGGCTTAATATTAGTATTTAGCTTATATTAAAGAGCAAAGCAAAGTTACGGCGCGCGCGCACGCGTCATGGCAGGGCATACTCATGGTTATGGCATGATTTTTATTGTAGATTAAGAAAAATTGAAATTCGGAAATGAATTTTGGATGCTATTGCATAAATTATGCTAGCTTTTCCTCATACAAAACTTGAGGGGTGACAGTTTAACAAGTAAAAAATACCTAAGCACATTTCTGTCGTGAGCATCTTCTAGCTCACTCACTATCAGACAACTATTATACGTAATACATTTTGAACAAAGTAGATTTCTAAGTTAACTCGATCAGGAATCGAACCTGGCTCCCACTGATAAATTTATGTGTGTTAGGTACTACCCTCCGGTTGGTTCCCAGCTCCCTTTGATCGTGCTTTCAGAGTATTATCAGCAGCGTAGCGCTTAGAAAATAGATTTCCTATTAAACTGAACATTCCTGACTTACTGTTCTTTGAACATTGCTGAGCTCTGCTTCAGGGTCCACGGTCTTCTGTTCCACCTGTTGCGGCATCTTGGCTAAAATCTACAAATTCTATTATCAACTAAAATAAATTAAATACAAATTCCACAATATGATTCAGCTTTCACAAATAGACACTGACAGATTTTTTTGTGGTTTTAGAATTTGCAATGTTTTTAAGAAGTTACACTTTTTGGTTTTGTTAAAAAGATCTCAACATGATAGAGGACGAGGTTGATGGTTAAGTTTGCCGCGAATCAACATGAAACTCTTATCAATATGTTACGGTAAATGTGATAAATGTGAAAATTATGAATAATCGCTGGTTATTAAGAATAATTACCTCATGATTTGGTAAATGTGATTTATATGAGATCATTTATGTGGCCCAAGGGCCACCCCTGCAGCACCTTAACCTATTTTTCACTTTAAATCAAAACAATATGTTATGGGCATTATGGCAAAGTAATGTTACGCAAGAAACAGTCCAAACTGATTATGGCAAATTATATTAATATATTATGATATCAAAACGTTCAAAATTTGTGGCTGTACACGATCGCTGACACGAGCCGATGTTCTCTTTTATTATATTTGTTAGTACTAAGGTTACATTATTAAATAACCACTGATAAGTAAATGTGAATAATTTATCACTTTTACCTCGACTGTCGGTAATTATTCATAATAACCGGCGATTATTCATAATTTTCAATTTATCACATTTACCGTAACAAATATACAACATCCTGCGTGGACTCTACCACGATGCTAAAGTGGGGATTTTAAAACGAATGCCCTGTGGTAATTTTTCTGCCATGGTTTTCTGGTAGACGACTAAGAAGTCCAAGAACTATCCCAATCTTTGACATTTGAGTAACAGGAAGGTAAATACAACCCGGTCGAGTAAGCTGCGCATCTGGCAGCCGTGACGTCACATCTGGTATAGATGACCAACGCTGAATTGTCCCACCAAACACAATGACAGGGGGGCGCTACCATCGTTCAACTGTATGGTTTCCAACATGGCAAAAATCGGAACCAGCGATCCGGTATTGACGGTGGCGCCCCACTGTCAATGTCATGGATAGGACAGTTCAGTATTTTGGAACTATACGGGGCGAATGCGGGGAGGCTGGTTTGTGGGTGAGTGAGTGCGAGGGAGAGTCGCATTCCATCCAGCGAAATGCGCAGTTAGCACGATCGGGTTGTATCTAGTTTCATACATTCATATAACCTTTGCTTAAGTTATTACATTCTTAATGATTTTCAAATCAAATCAAATCAGTTTATTGCAATGAGGGTTTTTGCGAATGAAAAATCCGCCAGATGGCAATGCGTAGACGCGAGGTCCAAATGCTGCATGATTGGTTATTTTTGACATGACATTGACAGTTATGTCAAAATCCACCAATCACGCAGCAGTCAAACCCCACATCCACGTCCCGCCATCTAGCGGATCTTTCATTCGCGAAAACCCTCATTGATGGGTCTTAAATTGATTCGGAAAATTCGTTTAAATTTAATACTGTCCATTATAGACTAGGTACTTGCTATTTTCAGGAAAAGGTATTCGAGGTCGCAGCTTTTAAGGCTAGAATTATGAATTAAAATGCATCAATAAAATTCATCTTTTATTTATTATTTCCACAAACAAATTATTTTAATGTAAGTAGCTAGTCATAATAGATCTTACACTTTAAATTACAATAATTAAGTACTTAAAAGGGTGCTTATTAAGTACACTCGCACTTAACAATACAGAGACAATGTTAGGAATTAAAATGATAATATTTCTGGGCTCTATTATTAAGTACATATTTCTTAAAATAAATACTAAAGTTTTATATTGCACAATATTGAAATATACTTGGGTCATTCCACAAAAATATGTCAACTCTTAGTCCGCGCCACATTTCACATGAAATATTTGTTAATATTTTATTCCAAAATTGTTAAATAACAGCTCGCAATGTTCTTTATTCATCACCCATTTATATTTTTTGAAACTATTTTTAAAACATCTTAAATTCCTTTTGAATGACCCAAAACGTCATTCCCTAGGCATGTCCGTACTCCAAAAGTTTGTGTTTTGGGACCCACATTTATAGAAACATCAACTTTATCCTTTGTTTTAATTAACGAATAATCTATTTAAATGTATATTACACCAAATTCTATTAATATTTTGCGGTTTCAATAAACAATAATTTGATTTTCTTTAGTTGAAAAAGAGTCTACAGTTTTTAGCGTCATTCCCTCGCCACGCACTGATTTTATAATTTTGCGCTTTAATATGTATTTAGAGTGAATGACATTTAGTTGAGTTTAAAGTACGATACGAAGTTATCCTCAGACCATACTGGCTTTGCGGTAGCCGTTTTTTGAATTAGTGCAAACGTGCCAGTTGTTACCGAAACATGTGTTAATCCAGTCACTTCGTCAGTCCCTAGTTGAGTAGCTTTATTGATTATAATAGGAAATTGTATATAATTTAATAGTATTTACGTGTGGTTTTTTGGCTATTTTCGGCACATCGTATTAAGCATCTTATAATATAAAGTTAATCTGCATTTGTGTTAAGTTTTACTCCAAATCGTCAGTCCCTAGAGCGTCAGGCCCTAGCTTTAAACGGCACTTGGGACTAAATTACTAGTTAGGGAATGATGTTTTTTACATAGTGATAATAACAAAACAACTACATTATGTGTATTAACTTATCTATAAATGTTAAGGTTATAAGTTTTATACTTTATTAGAAGTCATATAGGAGTAATGTAGTATGAAAAAATTTAAAATTATAATTTCTCCTAAAATAAAGCATAAAGTGACTGGCCCTTTTAGACATAACATAATTAATTAATAAACAATAATTTACACTAATAAAGTATTCAAAAGCATCTTAAAAAAGTTACGGACAAAATGACGTCGAAAATATACAGATTTTTATGGAATGACCCACTTACGTAATTAATGTTTATTTCACAGACACAGGCACTCTTTAGAAATGTTTTAAGTGCCATTAAAATGTTGGTACTTGTGTCATCTTTTTAAAATAGGTACATAGTTTTAAATGTACTTACCTTCCTAATAAAATTTATAATCATTAGATTATCGTTAATAAATAACCAAAAGTGTGAAAAATTAAGATAGAGGCTCCATATGAAAGGATACTCTATTTATAAAACTAAACTCAGGGTTGTTTTATCCTGCGGTTGTTCTAAATATTTGAATTAAACCAATTGATTGGTTGAGTTTATGCTCAAGTTTTAATTAAGTTTTGAGCATGATTTCATTTCATTTCCATGACTGTTTTAAACATTTAGTGCAATAGCGAGTGGACAAATATTATACTTTGTAAGTACATAGCAAATATACACACAAAAGGTACATGCATTAACTTATATGCAATATATTTTAAAATATAATAGAACCCAGATAATACATGGAATGACTAAGAAGAATACTCGCCGTAGAACATACACTTTTGTGCTTACAGAATAGTAAATTATTATTTTTTAGTACAAAATGATATTCTGCTATTGTCATTTATTAAATTATTCATAATATTCTATTGATGAGGCATAATATAGTTAATGTTTAAAATATATTTTGACAAAGTATTTAAAACATTATTTATGTCTTAAAACATTATGATTAAATTAACAAACATGTTAAATTCAATAATTGAAAGAAACTCAGCAGAAATCTGTAGAATTAATACTTTAAAAAAATCAATAAGTAATTTAATTAGTTTCAGTCTTAACAATAAATTAATAAAAAATATGTCTTTCTCTTATATTTATACATATAATATTGGAAAATTAAATGAATTAAAACATTTTTATTAATGAAATTAATTTGTCTGTGCCGTATTTATTTCCCATGGTAATTGTATAATTTATTTAAGTAGTAACACTAACAATATTGCAGTATTGCCATTGTAGATATGAACATTAGTAAGTATTGTTAGTAAATATTCAATATTGAGCTTTAACAGTTAGAAATTAAGGCACAAGTGTAAAATAAGTAGTAATAAAATTTCCCTGGTAGATAAGTGAAATCATAATACATTTTGTATATTATGAGCATTACAATAAAAAATATTTATCAAGCCATTTCGCCACCTATCCTCTGCCCTAAGACCAGACATGTCTACACTAATATTAGAGGAAAGATTTGATTGTTTTATATAATGAATAGGCTCCGAAATTACAGGACCGATATGAAACAAAAATTCACCATTCAAATCCTGAATTATTTCTGATGAACATAGGTACGAAGTTCGCCGGGTCATATAAAGCTACCCTTATTTTAATTGAAGTGATCGTAGATAGTTGTATGATAATACATTGTATCTTGTCTTAGGGAGTCGTTCTATTACATTCATCAGTCGACGATTTAATTCGTCTATTGTGAATGCCTTTTACTTCCTATTTTGAGAAAAATCTCAAAGGCAAAGGCTTGTCAAAACAATTTATTGTATTACCCAGTAAAACAAATGTATAATGTATTAAGTACATAAGAAGGCACTGTGGCGAGTAATTATTATATTTATTTATTTCAACTGTACTTTGAGTTTTAGTAAGGATATTCTTTTTCTCAAGTGGCAACATTCCACCCTACCAAAAATGACAATTGATTTCAAACCTTGCACTGAAGGCTTAAAGCTGAAAATCTGTTGGAGAAAGGTTCATGTTGGGGGTAGTCTTGGTTTGCAGAGTTTTGAAATTTTAGTGTTTGCCAAAATGTTATTGCCACAAGAATGTCTTTACTAAATATATAGATAATAGTTTAAGAGGCACTTTTCTAGGTATAATGGTTCCAATTATGCTACTAAGTTCCATAATAAAAATAATGTTACCAGCTAATAATTACATTATATTTTACTTTAAAAATGCAACAATTTTCAATGTTGATTCAGTTAAATAAAAATTAAGTACAATTGACTCCGAAAGGCACGATTAAGGCCAGGTACTATTAAGGCACAGTACAAACTTGACATTAAATATTGCGAAAAAATTGATTAAATTATGAATTATTCTATTGAAAAATACAATTACTACAACATTATTTATGTATTAGGTACTAAAATTGTAGCAGATCATGTTCATTTCGCGTTTTATGGTAAATAATATGGCTATTCAAAACTTTCTTCTGTTATTTTTAATCTAGTCTAGAACTATAGTGCACCATTTCACTTAGAGTGACGTTAAACTATACATTAATGTATAATCTCATTTACTTATATTATACTTGTGTATTTACAGAAAGTAGTTTCAAAAAGCAATGGATTGGTTAGAAGCAGAGATGGTATATTTTATAACAGCATGTTATTAATAAAGATATTAATTAGTGATTCCTTGTTTAAAAAAAGAAAAGCAGGCAGTTGTCATTTTGGCATTCTGAGTTTTTAAAAATGGCGGAATCGTTATTTTGAACATCTTTCCTGTTATTGTTAATGATTTTTATTTTACTCAAACCAATTATAGATAAGTGAAAAAGTTAATGATTTTTCCATGTAATTAACACTATGGTGTCTGCAAAGAACTAAGTATGAATTATATTATTTCGTTTCTCATTCGTATCGCTATTTAAATTCGTTTTAAAATTGTAAATTACTGGACCTTCAGATACTCTTGGCTGTATCAGTCCATCATAACATCTGTTGTACCAAATCCGCCCTAACCGATCCAAGAACGTGTACCAATAAGTTGTATAATTTCACAAAAAAATGCCCAATAAAACATCAGAAAGTGTCGCTACATAAGTACAGTAAGAATCCAAGAATTACACGTACACTAACAATAAACGTTCTAATTAAAATACTAGCTATCACTGCAAAGGTGTACACATCACACGGTTTGAAAAGTAAAATGAGGACGTGGCCGACGCTCGTTACGGCGGTGACGGCGTCGGTCTGGAGCAAGATGGCGGCCGTGACGGGCGCTACGGCGTTGTTATAACCTCTTTTGTACAAAATTAAAAACAGGATCGCTGTGCTGACAGTGGCCGGGTCGTGGTGGGGGGAGGGGCGGGCCAGGAGGGGGACGCAACAGATCACCGCTGAAAAAATCCGAGGAGCCGCGACGTGCGCGTCGGCGGCGTCGGCTCCGGCAGCTTGCGCCGCTTCTCTTGTGACGTCAGCTTGTGCTTCATCTGCTCGTCGATCAGCTCTTGCATGTCCATCTGGAATACACAGTGCTCATTTAGTTCCTGGATGCATTTATTTTAGCGCCGTATTATAAAATCTCGATTTATAAAAGTATCGGTACCTAGGTGATTTGCGAGCAAACTTCAGATAGATTTAAGTAACTAGATTCGTTACTTAAGATAGATTCAGGTCTCTGGTTGGATGTATGCCGATATCCCAGACCAAAATCTTGATTTAGGCCCGATTCGACCAAACTTTTATCCGAGAATAACTCCTGGTATACTTAACATTGACAGTTTCAGTAAGTATGTGAAATTGTCAAAACTGATGATTTATCCTGAGATTTATATTTACTCTTGTTTGGTCGAATCAACCCTAAGTGTAGATTCAAGCTTGATCTTAGCTATTTTAAGTAGAACATTGGAAAATTGTATAAACTTTAAATAATCTATAGTTTTAAGGTTAATTTTGTATTTCTCTTGTAAGTGAATGTAATTCTTTTAGAGAAATAAATGTCTTAAACCATAAACCATAAAACGGGTGATGGTTAAGTTAAGACTACACACCTGCCACTGCTCCAACTGTTGGCCGAGGTCGACCTTCTGCCGCACGGCCTCGTACAGCTGGCTGTTGGCCTGCATCAGCTCCACTCTTGTCTTCGCCAGGGCCACCTGGAACGCAAGCACACTTGTGTTAATATTCCATCTCACATCCCTGTTCTTTAAAAATATTCTTTTTATCGTGCGTTGTCACAAATGAGGTCACGCACTTGGTGTTACATTCATAAGTCAGCATTGGATTCGGTAAGACAGCAGATTATGAATAACTTTGCGTTAGTAAGTGGGAGAGGCCACTTAGTGGATGACGCCTTAGGTACTTAAAAAACCCAGACCACGGCTCTCCACTTCTTGGTAGGATCTACCACACCCCCTTTTATGAGGGGCCAACAAGTTTACCCAGGACCACGGAGCTACGTCTGACCTTTGAAAAGCAGGAGGAGGCAAACCCATATAATGGTCCTGGTTCATCAAACCCATACAATGGTTGACTCGCGGTGGAAAAACCTATGAAAGATGGAGTAAACGAGTTCTCTAATGGGAGAGAGAATGGGTTTCGTTAGATTGACAACAAGACGAATGCTGGCAGCGGTTGGATAAAAAGCTCTCCTTTTTCGTGCATTATCGTGCTGTGAAGCTGGACTGCCAATGACTGAAATGATGATGAGTGGTGTAGGGTAGGATTATCCTTTTACCTCAGCAGCCTTCTTCCTCTCAATGGTCTCGTCGCGCTCCTGCCTGGCCCGCGTGACCGCCTCGTCGTTCTGGAGACTGTTCATAAGTCTATCGAGTTTCCCGAATCGATAGGGGACCATTTCTCAATGATCTGGTTATAGCTTGCAATGACTGGATAGACGCCACAGGCACGTTTGGCGTTTCTTGGAAGGTTGAAGTCTTTTCCCGGGCTGTCTTTAGGTGAAATGAAGAAAGGGATTGTTCTTACCTCAGCAGCCTTCTTCCTCTCGATGGCCTCGTCGCGCTCCTGCCTGGCCCGCGTGACCGCCTCGTCGTTCTGGAGGCTGTTGTAGTTGGCGTCATTGAGGAGCTTGTCTCGCTCCTCAGCCGCAGCACGGAGCTCCACTTCGGCAACGGACAGCTGGAAAAGAAAATGGAAGAGTTAGAGTTGGAATCCAACTGGATGGTAAGAATTGTGGGTGAAAACTAGTGCTAAAAATGCCCGCTTATGACTTTGGGACGGAGCCACAGAAAGTTTAGGCCGTTAACTCTTCTATAATTCATTCAAAAGTTGTTAATTCTCATCCATTGAGGAATTCATCGTCTGCGGAAACCTAAAGATAATATCTGAAAGTGAATATAGACGAGGATTAAATAAACCTTTATTTGAAGACTACGACAATTTTACATAACGATTGAAGCGATAATGACTGCAGAAATCGAAGACTGTCGCAGTCATTGTCCAACAATTAATAAGTGCATACCATTATTTTTCCGCGGCTAATCCACGCATTAATTTATGCATTAAGGCAAATTCCCACATTACCCGGCTGATGTGCGTATGACACGCGATGTGCCACTTTCTTTTTTAGCATTTGCCAGTCCATTGTTTCGTACAAGGTCGAGCGAAGATCAGATTTGTGAAAATTAGCGCTTGAAGAGGTTTCTTTCGTTAATTGGAAACGTTTAAGCTTGATTAAAGCGGCTTGATTGGTCTCTAATTATCACGGTGAACAGTTAGGAACTGTATTTATTTGTAGAGGTACTTTTCCTGCGTGTATAACAATAAAACATACAATAATAATACATAATATTTAATGTTCCTAATACACACAACCCAAAGGGCTTCCAGGCTAGAGGGCAAGCTAGGGTTATCATACATAGATTTCAGACGGAGCCGCGGACAAATGTCCAGTATTGTCCAGGCTAGAACAATAACTCGCGGCTCCGTTTGATTGGGCTCCGGAGGACATCGTGACACTGTCGAGTTTTAGTGGGAGTAGGTTCCGCCCTTCTAGGCAATGGGTAATATGGGTATGCAACTTCTTGCATTTGCCGACGGAAAAAAATCTTCCATCATAGATCATATCTGCTCTCAAGAGCTACTCTAAAGTGTTATTGTGATCAAGAGCGTTTCAATTAGTAGGGTTAATTAGTAATTGATTTATTAAGACCGATTTTTCGCATCAAAAGGGCCGAAGAAATCAACCATAGATACACCAATAAAAAAACCATAGCGTAAAATTAAGTATTATTGATCATGTTCCATAATTAACGAAGTACAAATTAGTGTACGCAACCATGCAGGCTAAGTATAAATAAATCCACTTATCAGGGATGATTTATTTCTGTAATTAACGCACTAAAACATAAGAAAAATATGTATAATTCGTTAATGTCTGATGAGTTGGATTTAATTACAATAATGCTAATATCATGAATGGAATTGACACATAATATTTCTGCAGTGAGTTATCAATCACCAACCCCTACTCTTCCCGCGGGTGTCGTAAGAGGCGACTTAGGGACTACACATCAAACAGAGAACGGGCAGCAGCGCTCTCTGAAAAACATCAATCTTTTAAACTGCGGTCTCCAACCCGCCTGCCAAGCGTGGGGATTATGGCAAAACCCTCCACTATAGTGGAGGAGGCTCATAGTCCAGTAGTGGACTGGAAAGGGCTGTTGATGATGAGTTATCAATCTTCAAAGTGATAGTTAAAAACGAAAAAAAAACTCATAAACCTAATTTATTTCTGCAATTAGGCTTTAAAAAAGCACTTTAACATGTACCAGTATTAACCCTACCACTGCATCAGGACAATAAATGGGCCAGTGCTGAGAAGAAGCAGCGCAAGAAACTCAGTCACTATTGTCAGTTAAAAATCGATCTAGCCACCTATAGCGTCTTCTTTTTCATTGGATGGAAGCATTTTACATTCTTTACCATAAATAAAAGTATCTAGGTTGCCATATTTTTAGCTGACAACTAAGAATAGCCCTTAACTGATTTCCTTGGCCTCTTTTTATATTAATGAAGTCAAAGTAGGCCCAAGGGCTCTTTTTACGTCAGCATTTCAGGCGTTCCCATTTAGTTTACTTTAAAAAAGGCTTACAATACACAAACTTGGCCTTCGAGGCAGAAATGGTGGCCACAGACTATAAACACAAGGTTGTCACTTTCAAGCATAACAAGGCTGAATAAGGTGATTCCTTTGTCAGAAAAAGTTGGAGTTTTGACAGCTGAAAATGGCGCGAAAATATTTTTACTGAATGAAAAATAACATCTTATGTAGGTAGTTTTTGATGTCAAATCAAACGTAACAAAATGACAAATCTATACTTCATTTTACAATGTTTGATGCTATATTTGATATCCTATTAGACAAGAAATGTTTCGATTTCATGCAGATAAAATAGGGTTATGTAGTTTTCCGGTATCTATTATATTTGACGAAACTTCAAGGTTTAATGATTGGCAAGGCCATGAGTTTGAGTAATGCCTTTGTATGAATAACAATATTTGACAATGAAAAGTAAGCAGAATTGGCTATTGTAGAAGTTAAGCTATGGGTTTTTGTGGATTTATTTACGTACATGTATACTTTTTGTTAGCAGTTTTGTATGTAAAATAAATATGTAGGTTGGTAGAGATTGCTAATTTTTTAATTACTCACGCACGAAGCCTTCGGTGGCAAAAAATCTAGTGCACGAGGGTAAAAATTGTCATGGATGTATAAAAAAGGAGGATAAGCAACAATGACTGAAATTCAGAAAAATACTGGTACCTACTTGTCTACCACAAAAATCTGGAAAAAATTGTGTAAGTAGCTTAATTCATCACTAGAATCTGTTTTCTTTGCTAGTGAAAAACTAAGCTACCGCCCAATTTTTTTCAGATTTTTATAATGGCTGATAGAAATATCCCATTCTCGTTACTTTTTGAACAACCCTATTAGTACAAGGTATCGCTGAAAGAGCACTAAACTAAACTCCATAATTTATTATTTTACAAGCAATTATTGCCGCAGTTAGCTGACGTAGGCACTTTCTAAGGACGTGATCCTGTGGTCGCCGACCGCTCGGCCGGGGTCACGGAGATCTTACGCCCGGATTGCTACACTCTGACGTCAAATACTTCGTGATTTTTATGTTTTCGTCTAGCAAATTAGTAGCTAGTTAATTTATGGACACGTGCTATGTTTAACGACGATTGACCTCTTTCTCGAAGTTGGACCTACCTAACTGGACTGTTTGTCCCAGGTAGGTATACATAATCCAACTCGGATGGGCAGCGTTCGGGAAGCTTCGCCATATACTCACGTCCGAAATACCGCAGTGTCTCAAGTCGAAAGTATTTGACCAATGCGTGTTGCCAGTGATGGTATACGGATCTGAGACGTGGTCGCTTACTATGGGCCTCATAAGAAGGCTCAAGGTCACCCAAAGGGCGATGGAGCGGGCTATGCTCGGAGTCTCCCTGCGTGATAGAATCAGAAATGAGGAGATCCGCAGGAGAACCAAAGTAACCGACATAGCTCGCAGAATTGCTAAAATCAAGTGGCAGTGGGCGGGGCACATAGCTCGTAGAGACGATGGCCGTTGGGGCAGGAAAGTTCTCGAGTGGCGACCACGGGCTGGAAGACGTAACGTGGGCACGCCTCCTACTAGGTGGACCGACGATCTGGTAAAGGTCGCGGGAAGAGCCTGGATGCAGGCAGCGCAGGACCGTTCATTGTGGAAAACCTTGGGGGAGGCCTTTGTACAGCAGTGGACGTCATTTGGCTGAAACGAACGAGCTATGTTTAACAAATTACTATTGTTGATTTACTTATAAGAAGAGGTCCCCTACGTAGCTTCGGTCGCCCAAGAATGGTCTGGTGTCCCAAGGATGTTTACTAATACGTAGGGGTCCCCTATGTAGTTTCGAACGCCTCTAAGAATAATCTGGTGCCCTCCCAGGATGTTGGGCTACCGATTTGAAGATGATAGTTGTTAGTAGGTAGTAACTCATGTCATGACATGGTATGTCAGGGGCCCAGGCCCCCTGAAAAAGAACCCTAGATACGCCAATGGCTGTAGCTGCAAAACTCAAAACGATTGCATTTGACGAATGGTTTTAAACGCTGTGTAAGTAGTCAGTAAAATATTTTTATTGTTACTTATTAACCATCATATTAATCATCATCATAATCAATAAAAAAACTTGCTAGTGTGAAGTGCTAAGCTAATGGATCAGACTTCAGGTACCTATAATAAATCAGCTATTTATTAAAAAGATTAAAAAAAGAAGATTAAAAGATTATGAGACCTGAAGCCTCATGACTCATTAATGAAAAAAAGGTTAAAGCTTGAAGATCATTATTAAGAAGGAGGTGATGCGTGTAACCGATCTCTTTGATAGTTAACTTTTTCCTCTTACTTGGCTTTTTTACACGGCTTGTGTGAGGTTTCTTTTTTAGAGGTACTTAGGTATTTAGTGCGCATAAAAAGGGTTGAACAGAAGGCAAAACTTTAACACATTCACAGTTTGATGTAAACTCACACCAAGATCTCAGGATAGTCACCTTACTCTTTCGTGCGCGTTTAGTGCGTCACTTGGCATGACACAAGTGTGGCCCTGACTTTAGGCAACCTTCAACTTATATTTTCAGTTAATTATTATTTTATTTCTTTGATATCTGATTGATAATCTAGCCTGACCTTTAGCAATGAGCAATATTGTTTTTATGTTCTAGTCCATTGGCCCTTCGTTAAAAATGAATTTCTGTAATAGTAATTGTTAAAAAACTAGGTTCTTTTAACATTGCTTAATTTCACGTGAGTATTGGATGTACAAGCATATTGTTTTGAAGTTAATTGAATCTATATTAGATCTTTGACTGAGTAGGTACACCCATAAAACATACAAGTTACATAATATTGACTTATTATTTTGCAGCGAAAATCGTTACACTCGATTTACCGTCGCTCGAGTGAAATTAAAATTCGACGAGGACTTATGGATTAAAATGATTGAAAATTTTAATTAAATTTTTTTATTTACACCCACTTGTCACATGGGCTGTTTAATTGAGGTAAGAAAACAATTACATATTTAATTTTGCCAGTCTTTTGTTTAAGAAATACAATACACAAAAAAAAATCTATTGAATTTTGCACAAAATAGTGCTTAATAGTTAGTATGTAGTCCAAACACATTTAATCTTGAATACTGATTCAAACTGACGTCATGCAAACCACTATTATCAGATCCTGCCTTATGCGACTATGGGCCATAAACATATCGCTTTATTGTTTTACATCCATAAAGGGTTGAGGTCAATTCGCCTAAACCAGATCTGGGGGATAACCACAAAAGCTACCAGCGTGGGCACTGTGTGGGATTGGTGACTCATTGATAAATAGATTAGTAGAACAATGGGGCCTAAACCATTCTATAATTTAGGAAAGTTTTAGATATCTATTTTAGGTTTTCCTGACCCAAAGATCTTCGTTGGTTGAATGTTTATTGGCGGCCAAGCTGTAGATACTGGCTACACAGGAGTTACAGCGGTGGGAACGAGAACTGGGTTAGACTTATGCCCTTCTGCGAAGAAGGGTGACCCCTTCTTCGCAGAAGAGCTGACGCTCAGAATTAATCGAGGCAGCTGTGGGCATGCGACGACACTGATTTTAAGTCCCCAATGAGGTCACTGCCGGCGAAAAAGTATGCTAGTAAGATGGCGGTTGGCCACCCACAAGGTGGACCGACGACCTCACAAAGATAGAAGGAGCTGAATGAAGAATAGGGTGAAAAAGAGAAATTAAAAGAGCTCATTCATAGCCTCAGTGTTAAATATATTTTTATTACTTCTGGTAGGTACAAAAATACGAAAGATTTTCAACGAGTAACTGAGCCATTGAACCGTGAGAAAGATAAGTAGCTTTTCCTTGTGTCTACGTGTTAATCAGTTTATGTTATTACCCTCATCTTTTTAGCGCGTGTTCCGGAAGGCTCGGATTACGGATTATCCGGATCCGTGGTGTGACGAAAGCAAATCGGATCTTAAGGTTTCGTGGCGGTGTAATAAGAAACCTATAAGGAACTGATAATCAAATAATAATTATTATAGTGTAACTAGCTGTCACGACGAACTCCGTATCGCCTATATTCATCAGAAATAATGTAGGTTTATAATGTTGAACGATTTTTTCGAATCGGTCCAGTAGTTTTGGAGCCTATTCAGTTTAAACTGTAACTGTATCTAAATTAATATTAATAAATAAACAAAAAAAAATCCTCTTTTTAATATTAGTGTAGATGTATTTGAAATATGACCAGTAGACCAGTTCAGAACTGTTCTTCTTTAGGGTAATACTTTGGTACAGAAAATGGGTGAAAATGAAAAAAACATTCACTTCAGTTTTTCACACTTTTACAATCAAATCCTTTTGTTTGCCCATCTCTAACTGCAAGTTTAAAAAAAATCTCTCAATACCATTACTAATACAACTCTATGTACAATCGACAGCACATTTTCGTTGCAAAATCACACCTATCACAATCGACACAAGACTCTACGGTGCAGCTTGATGTGCCATCAGTTCAACTAATAGAATAATCCGGTAACCGAGCGCACCGCTAAGTGAATATTAACCTGAACAGCCCGCGTAATACCATTGCGTTTGCGCACACCGCAACTCGGAGAATTATCGATGATAAATCGAGTTGGCGTAATGATGGAGATAGGGTTGCCATCTTAGATTGATAAGCATAGACAAGCTGCGGCATTTACGTCTATGTCTAAGACTTCTATGATGTATTGCAATATATATATGAAATTTTTAATATTTGGGTCACGAAATTGGGTCAAAAAGTTCGAAAAATCTTTGAAGACTTTAGAATGAAAAACAAAGTGTGGGCCTCCCACTCGTTGGACCGAAAATCTGACGAAGGTCATGGGAAGCCCCTGGATGAGGGTAGCGCAGAACCGGTAAGAAGTTGTGGAAATCCATGAGGGAGGGCGTTCTCCAGCAGTGGATGACATTAGGTTGAAACAAAGTCCTGTTACGAGTACCTACTGCCTGCCTTTAATGCCTCTAACTCTCGTATCTCTTTCAGGAAACTATAGGTAATGCCTGCTAAACGTTTGAAGTGACAACCCTTCCACAACGGTATTCAGATTGAATTTACCGCGTGTCGAACTACCGTCAGTTGCAATCCGAACGCGTTGGTGTAGCACCTAAATAGTTTGTTTCGGATAAAGGCCTGCACAGACTATGCACAATTTATCTACTATTTTGTCGTCAATTTTAGATCCCTTACACGGAGGAGTAAAAGTATCTCGTACAAAAAGTCCCCTGAATAACCGAGGACATCGAGGGACTAGACTGGACAAAAGATCAGGAATTTCAGAAAAAAATTGAACTAACGTGACGAGTAGCAACGCATACAGCGAAATGAATCTGTGTAATCTCAGAAATAAACAAAATTGACACCGTATGCGTTGAATCGGTAGCATAGTTCAACACTGTATTGTTTTCCTTGTAAAATAAAAATAAAATAAATAAATAAAATAGAGATATAGAGAGATGCCAACTAATGCGCTCAGTTCGAAACTCAGTGTCGCATTAGAAATTCACATACACAAAGTAACCAAAATATGTGCTCATTATCCACTGCGGTATCAGTACTCAACGTTCGAATAATCTTTAGTACTACGCAAGCAACGTAAACTGTTTACATTTTGACGTCGCTGCTGTCATCATTACTGTTACGAGCAAGGTGATCTGTGGGTCTAGACAAAGTGCAAATTATAATCACAAACCAGTCGAAAAGTGGTCGAAAAGCCCCTTTTTTGTATGGAGTTTTGACGGATTCGATTTTCGATTCGATCAAAAAGTGCGTTTTGTCTAGGGGGGCTGTTTTTGGGCATATTGCGACACCAGTCCCGCCCCCTTGTCACATCTCACTTTAATTTCTGTGATCTGTGGTCCGTAGGTGGTAGTAGGTAATTTCTTGGCGGACATATTTTTTTGCGATTCAAAGTTTTTTTCTGCGCAGACCTTTACGCTTTATCACGAAATGTAGAGATAACTTTTTATAAGCAGCGACGTTATATCTCGTAGCCAGTTAGAGCATAACGGCCTAGCTCAGAACTGTATTTCAAGAAAAAAATATTTTGTTACTGAAACAGGTTTTGCCAATTTAACAGTGTTTTCCGTATCCATAATGGATATTTATCTCTCAGTTAGCATCAAAGCGATCACGCGAGATACAGATCTAACGAAACAAACCAGTTACTGCGTAACGGTGTTATTACAAGCAAGAAAAACATTTTTTCAGAAGATTTTGCTTATTGCAGAATTAATGTTACATATTTCTATATTGATTATGCTTCGTGATCACAATCTCACCCGAAGAATCCAGATCCGATCTGCAATGGAGCGAACATGCCTCGAATCGCTTATTAATATTACAAAAATTTTTTGCTTGACAAAAAGTTTATTAGTGGTGTTAAAAACTATGATAATAAAAACGTCGGAAGAGATGCTGCAGTAGTAATTATATTTGTTGAAAAGAAATTATTATCAGTTTATTTAACTGTAGTTCTGACGGTTAATAATATTGCATTCTTTTGCCCAATTACGCTGCTAAAAAATCGCTCCATAATGACTTTTCGTCTGTATCTGAGTCTCTCAAGTTTTGAGGAATGGCGACGAGAAATGGGATAAGCTTTATGATTTTATTCCTTTGCCTAAATCACCGAAAATAAAAAGCTCACCTTAGAAGACAGTTCCGCGATGACGTCGTTCTTCTCATCGATCTGTCTCTCTCGCTCCAGTGCCCTTCTGGCGTGCGCCGCGATGGAGTCTCTCACTCTAGAACCTTCCAGAGTGGCGTAGGCGGCGAGAAGTGGGATAGGCTCTATGATTTTATTCCTTTGCCTGAACTAACTAAAATAAGCTTACCTTAGAAGACAGTTCCGCGATGACGTCGTTCTTCTCATCGATCTGTCTCTCTCGCTCCAGTGCCCTTCTGGCGTGCGCCGCGATGGAGTCTCTCACTCTAGAACCCTCCAGAGTGGCGTAGACAGCCTATACGTTCACGGCAAGAAGTAGGATAGGCTCTATGATTTTATTCCTTTGCCTGAACTGTCTAAAAAAGCTTACCTTAGAAGACAGTTCCGCGATGACGTCGTTCTTCTCATCGATCTGTCTCTCTCGCTCCAGTGCCCTTCTGGCGTGCGCCGCGATGGAGTCTCTCACTCTAGAACCCTCCAGAGTGGCGTAGACAGCCTATACGTTCACGGCAAGAAGTAGGATAGGCTCTATGATTTTATTCCTTTGCCTGAACTGTCTAAAAAAGCTTACCTTAGAAGACAGTTCCGCGATGATGTCGTTTTTCTCATCGATCTGTCTCTCTCGCTCCAGTGCCCTTCTGGCGTGCGCCGCGATGGAGTCTCTCACTCTAGAACCTTCCAGAGTGGCGTAGGCGGCGACGGCGTCCGCGCAAGCCGCGGCGAGGGCCCCCCGTCGGAGGGTCTCGCCCTCCTCCCCGTCTAAAGACGTGAGGGAAAGGTCTGAGTGTAGCCCTGTGGGAAAGAAAAGGTGACATTAGAAGTGGCGATGAACAAGGCTGCCAATGCTGCCATACGACCGGGTTTTCTCGGATTTGCCCTATTTTAAGGGAGTACGAGGAGTTTATTTTTAATTCTAGTAAACAAAATCTGAATTACAAATGGTAACCGATAACAGAACAATCGGCTTTTTCTGCCTGAAAAAGAAAATATTTACACAGCGAAAGGAAAAAGGCAACTAGCATAAACTAAACGGGTTTATGCTGGTAGCCTTTTTCATAAGTGCCAGTTTGGATTCGTATTTGAGGCTATATTACATCTTGAACATGATATGAAACTTGAAAAACTCGACTGTTTTAAGTAGGACCTGAATCTATGACCTTTATTGAGACATGGATATAATTATACAAATTTTAGAATCTGCCAAATCATACTGAAAAAGTGAAAACCTATGCATCTTTGTTATAGAGTAGAAAGAAAATGCAAGACCAATAAACTATCTACATATTTATTAATGCTCTGGAACAGTCGGTACAAACAATAACAGAACATAACGCAGTTACGTAAAAGAGTTGCGTGCGCGCACACACTGCGCCCTTGCCCGTAGTCGGGTTGCGGTTACGAAGGCTTGGAGATGGGAAGTATTGGGTTGCTTGGGTTATGTGATGGAAGACTACTGGATCCAGCCAATCGGGCGATGACGGAACGATACGGAGGTTTTGTGGATATACCGTCAACAGCGCTTTTTAAGTCATCGGGAGTCCCACACACCACTGCTCTCCGGGAGCAGTGACAGCGTGCAAAGCATTTCCTCCGCGTCAAAAAAAGGACGACAAAATTTTATTAAAACTAGGTAGGTACGTGGCCTATTTGAGGAAAACGAATTTGGTTGTACACCGCCATTGTTTTCTTTCATGGCATCTTAGAATTAGTCCAGTCATTTAAGCTTAAATTAGGTAAGAATCTCGGAATTCGAGATACCCAGCTGTAAGTCTGTAAATACTTGTATATTGACACCCTAAAAGTTGTCTCAAAACCTACATATGGTAGGGTGTAAGCAACTATTAAATTTTAAGGTCAAAGGTCACAAAAATCGGTTTTTTGCGCTTTTTTTGGAAATATCTCATTTCCTATGGGTTTTTTGCTATTTGTATTTATTATCAATATTGTAGAATACTAAATTCTCTACAAATTTTGTTTTGAAAATTTTTTTATACGGTGAACCGTTTTCGAGATAGAGGGCGGAGAGCGCGCGGTCACTGCATCACTTCAGGTCAACTTAAGTGGTTTAGGTTTTTCATACAAAAGGATTTTCCCGCTAATTCCCGTGGGAATTTCGGTAATTACTTGTTGTAAATAAGCTTTAAGTTTACTAAGGTACCTACATGCCAAATTTCAAGCGTCTAACTTCCGTTAAGCGTTTAGATTTTTCATACAAAAGGATTTTCCCGCTAATTCCTGTTCCCGTGGGAATTCCTAAGTAAACTATAACCTGCCCAGGTGTATGAAGAATAATTGTACCAAGTTTCGTTAAAATCCGTCGAGTAGTTTTTGTTTCTATAAGGAACATACAGACGGACAGACAGACAGACAAAAATTTTACTGATTGCATTTTTGGCATCAGTATCGATCACTAATCACCCCCTGATAGTTATTTTGAAAATATATTTCATGTATAGAATTCTGTCCGTCTGTATGTTCCTTATAGAAACAAAAACTACTCGACGGATTTTAACGAAACTTGGTACAATTATTCTTCATACACCTGGGCAGGTTATAGTATACTTAGGAATTCCCACGGGAACAGGAATTAGCGGGAAAATCCTTTTGTATGAAAAATCTAAACGCTTAACGGAAGTTAGACGCTTGAAATTTGGCATGTAGGTACCTTAGTAAACTCAAAGCTTAGTTACAACAAGGAATTCCCGAAATTCTCACAGGAATTAGCGGGAAAATCCTTTTGTGTGAAAAATCTAAACCGCTTAAGTAGACCTGAAGTGATGCAGTGACCGCGCGCTCTCCGCCCTCTATCTCGAAAACGGTTCACCGTATAAAAAAAGTTTTTAAACAAAATTTGTAAAGAATTTAGTATTCTACAATATTGATAATAAATACAAATAGCAAAAAACCCATAGGAAATGAGATATTTCTAAAAAAAAGCGCAAAAAACCGATTTTTGTGACCGTTGACCTTGAAATTTAATAGTTGCTTACACCCTACCATATGTAGGTTTTGAGACAACTTTTAGGGTGTCAATATACACGTATTTACAGACTTACAGCTGGGTATCTCCAATTCCGAGGTGAACTTACTATAATGACTGGACTAAATCTATTTTACAGATAATTGAAAACCAATTAGGTTTTCTGGGCAAAAATGAAATGTTCTTTCACAAGTAGTGCCTTGAAATTATTGGTTATTGGTGTCAAATACCCACCCAAGTTAATGGAAAAATTGAATTTAGTATCATGGTGATTGTTGGGTGTATCTTCTTTAACCTAATTTCTAAGGTGTGGTTCTAGGTCCCCAGATTAAGGGCTCTATTAACTCAAGGCTAGCTACTGCATCATAACTGTTCCACCTAATTGTATAGGGTTATATGATTTATTCCCTTCTCTATAAGTTATATTTTACCACGGTCAGTTGAGATCACGAAAAGATTAGTGGCATAAGTTACAAACTTACATGACTTGATTGTTCAAGATTATTGCAAATCATAGACTTTAATCCATAATTTTCCGCGCGACCCCTTTCTAATCTTGATACGAGTCAGATTATGAGTAACAGGCTTTTGCCCGAGGCTTTGCTTGAGTAGATTTTGGTTCGCACGATCCAAAAACTACTTAATTTCTTACCATATAATATGAATCTTCATATCACAAATTTGAGAACTGATAGGTTGTACATAAACTCCTGCTTCACCCCCTTTTAATGGTAAATTTTGTCTTCAAGGTCCCTTCTTTCTTTATTCCTTTACCTACTCATGTCGTATTTCTAATCTGTTTTTTTAACAAAATTCATTTTTTATGCAGAACAAGGCAAGTATATGAACGCAATTATACTTGATGTTAAGTGAGATGCAGTCTAGGATGGTACATTACTGCTGGTACTATTACTTAATCTGTGTTACTGCCCAGTAGAGGTGCCTACCTATCCAAATGGTACTACGGTTTTGGCGTAACCTAACAAATAATAAAACAGACAGAGTTACTTTCGCATTTATAATATTAGTTTGAATATGCCTACACTCACTGTCATTTTCCTTCGCTTTCCAATACGGTGCAATGTATGACTTTGATGTATGACCATACAAATGTTACGAGCTCTTTTCCAGTAATATTACGAGGTTAAAACGAGACGTAGGTAATCTTGTGCAAGCTGGAAGTTCTAATAATACAGTTTAGACTTTAACAGTTACTTAGGTTAAGTTCATACTCATTTTATGTAGTTGCGTTAGTACTTAGTCCATACAGATCTACTGTGTCCTGGCACCCAGCACTAAGGCGCGTATTCACAAACATTACTATGAGGTCTCACAGTGCGCGTGGGCGCACAGGGTGACACATGAATCAATCACAGAGCACTATTCAACGTTGTGCGTTCGATTTTCTGCTTCACTTAAGCAAGCATCGTTTGTGAATACGGGTGTTAATGTATGGAAATAATGTAAGGTAAGTAAATCTAAAAAACGCAAAGATGCTTGTTTTGTTTCAACTACAGCAGATTATGTTGTTCTGAAGTAGTGGTGGTACACGTTATATTTGGGACGTATAGGAAGAAGCCTCAAGTAGGCATGAAAACTAAAAAATAAACTAACTAAAGGAATGCTAAATTTGAAAGTAGCTATAGGTGCACTGACTCAGGCCTGAATATAAAAATAAAGATTTTAATCTGAATTGAATCTAATCAGATACATGCTATTGATAAGATCTAATAAACTTTATCAATATTATCGACATTATAGCTAGCGGCTAGCGAAAGTAGGCTGATCAATTGCAGATAGTCAAATACCAAAGAACTGCCCTAGTTTTAATACCCCTGTAGGTGTTCAATCTGAAAGTTTTGGGTTAGTTTTAATAACTTAACCGCCTCTGTGATCTAGTGGTAAGACCACCTGCTTCAGACGCAGAGGTCCCGGGTTCGATTCCCAGTAGGGGCAGAATTTTCTGTTCGGTTTGGTTGGTGGCAGGGCTTGTTCTAAGTTCGCCTGGCTAGCTACCACCATCTTACCTAAGTCTGTCACCATAACAGCAATGTTAACAACAACATTGTGGTGTTCCGACAGTTAGAGGTAAGATAGCCAGTTCCTCCGTGGTTGAGGATTCCGGGTGAAGCTCGCTTCCACCTTCAGCTTCGGCCTGATCCGTCACTTACCATCAGGTGAGATACAGGCCAAGAGCTTCCTCGTTGTGGATTTAAAAAATAGGTAGTGTTCCAGTTGATAGTAATAAACTAATAAAACACTGAGAACCAGCGATAATAGCCAAACGGTGAAGGTGGAGTTCGAAGAATGATTCTCGAGATCCGAGGAACGCGGGTCAAAACCCGCCACTGCTCGACTATTTTGGTGAACCCACCCGTAACACAAGTATATTTATTTAGCTTACCACGAAGGGTTAAATCAAGAGATTACACGACAGTATTTTGCTTGAAATGACCAACTTTTGTAGATCTTTAACTGGCATATAATGAGCTTAATCCTCGTTGTGGATTTAAAAAATAGGTAGTGTTCCAGTTGATAGTAATAAACTAATAAAACACTGAGAACCAGCGATAATAGCCAAACGGTGAAGGTGGAGTTCGAAGAATGATTCTCGAGATCCGAGGAACGCGGGTCAAAACCCGCCACTGCTCGACTATTTTGGTGAACCCACCCGTAACACAAGTATATTTATTTAGCTTACCACGAAGGGTTAAATCAAGAGATTACACGACAGTATTTTGCTTGAAATGACCAACTTTTGTAGATCTTTAACTGGCATATAATGAGCTTAATATGCCAACCATACTCACAAGTTAACACTAACGCAATGACTCGCATGATTACCCTCAATGACTATGACCACTATGGCTGTACACTGTACAGTAAGTATAGTTAACTGTGTTGCTATGACATAACTGGGTGCTAACCACAATGTAACATTACCTTAAAACCGCAGGCTTTTGTTCTCGGTTTGCCTTAGTTGGAAACCAATATCAGGCTGTTGCTATTCTAGAGATAAACTTTAGCTTGTTCGAGCTAATTGAAACAAATCCTTATAAAGCCTTATCTTGCTCATTATTTTTTGGCAAGCGCCGCACCAAACTCGGCCACCACTGTCTTACAATCACAAAAAAATTAGTGACAAATCGGTCAATGACCTAGTAGGTATACATTTATTTTATACCCTTATTTCGCCCTCGACGTGGGGACATTTAAAACCCTCATAATAAATACTCTATTCCATATCTAAGTTATATGTTATGGTGTACCGGTATGCAGATGACAGCATGTGGAGTTAGATAAGATCCTCGATTTTCCTCTGGCTAATTAGTGAGGGACGTCTAGGTATCGTCTAATATTTGATTTGGGGCCGTCCATATATTACGTCATTCTAAATTAGGGGGGGGGGGGGTTGGTCTGCGGATGACGGTAAATGATAGATAGGGGGGGGGGGGTGTTTCGAAATTGACGTCATTCTTATTTATTTATTTATAGTTTATTGTTCACGTACAAAAAGATTATTTCTAAAAAGAAATTTCTTCCAGCACACCTAGTAAGTAAGACTGCAAATGTGAGAGGGAGCTCTAAGAGCTCTAAGGCGCGTACAATACTAAAATAACTCATAATAAACATACATAATGCAACATAGATGTACACAAATACAGTAATAACTACAGATAAAATAATCTAACAATAATCTATATCTATACTTATAATGAATCTGTAGAGAGGTCAATTCTGTACATGAAATACAGGGTGTTAGGTAAATGGGTATATGAGCCGACACTAGCCCATGTTAACGTGGGCATATAAATGGTATGGTGAAGTAAGAAAATTGATATCTTCATTTTAATTATTTTAATTTTCATACAAATCGGATTTAATAAAATTTATTTTGTATGAAAATTAAAAAATTAAAATGATGATATCGAGTTTCTGACTTCACCATACCATTTATATGCCCATGTTAACATGGGCTAGTGTCGGCTCATATACCCATTTACCTAACACCCTGTATATTTTCAAAATAACTATCAGGGGGTGACTAGTGATCGATACTGATGCCAAAAATGCAATCAGTAAAATTTTTGTATGTCTGTCTGTATGTTCCTTATAGAAACAAAAACTACTCGACGGATTTTAACGAAATTTGGTACAATTATTCTTCGTACTCCTGGGCAGGTTATAGGATACTTAGGAATTCCCACGGGAACGGGAATTAGCGGGAAAAATCTTTTATATGAAAATACTAAACCGCTTAAGTTTGACGCTTGAAATTTGGCATGCAGGTATCTTAGTAAACTTAAAGCCTAGTTACAACAGGATATTGCAAAATTCCCACGGAAACGGGAGTTAGCGGGAAAAAACATTTGTATGAAAAAATCTAAACCGCGTGATAGATGAAAGGGGATGAAACGGGATCCACGCGTACGAAGTTGCGGGCGGCCGCTAGTATTACATGGTACTTACAGTATTATACATATAAACCTTCCTTAAGAATCACTCTATCTATTAAAAAAATAAAATATAAGGTGATTCTATAACCAAGTGTTTTAATTTTGTCAAACTGGTAATGACGTCAATTTTGGGAGAAGGGGGGGGGGTCATTAAAAAATGACGATAGGATGATTGTAGGGGGGGGGGTCTAAAATCTGAAAAAATCGATGACGTAATTTATGGACGGCCCCTTTCCAATAAGTTGTTGAAAAGAACCAGTCATGAAATTGCAATAAGTATCGAAAATCTCAATGCGGAATCAATAGGATCAACCTAAAATACATGGTTTGCAGATTGCATATTGAATAAACAAATTCCGGATTTAACATAATAATGTTAATGCCAATTTGATTATGTTAGCATATTATTATGCAACCATTTTGTAATGCAGCGAGCAAAAACTTTTCCTCTCGGCACACGGCGCATCTGAAAGTAAACATTGTCGCTTACAACGTAATGTAGCTGCACTATAAGCTACGCAACATTGATTGAAACAAAAATGACGAACGATAGATATTTCAAGTTTTTTAATGCTCATAATATTAACCCCTTTAAGAACGCTATGTTTATGCTTGTGTTTGGAGAGTCCTCACCACAATAGCCCAGCGGTCATCGGCTATCGATAGGGTTCCTCGACTTTCGAATCGTCAGACCGTTGACAGTGGCACCACTGATACATTACATGAATGCTAAGGCGCAGACCATCGATTTTTCGTCGGCCGATAGTTTAGTCGGGCAGTTGATCAGTATGGGCAATGGGCGAATGCTAAGCCTAGGCGCAGACCATCGATTTTTCGTCGGCCGATAGTTTAGTCGGGCAGTTGATCAGTGTGGGCATGTATAGAAGTGCGCACATTACACCGATTCGATTTGGCCGATTGTTCATACAATTTAAAATCGGGCTCGGCCAACTAAAAATCGGTGGTCTGCGCCTAGTCTAAAGCTGGCAAACCAGTCTTGTTGTATTATGAGATATCTGGCATAGCCCATGCCAAGCTACGGTATCGGCGTCCCACGAGTTTGTGGACGCCTACCTTAAAACAAGTGCGGTCTTTTTTTTGCGGACATCATAACCACCAACCACGCTGTAACCGCCCGTTTTTGCGCATGGAATGTAACCTTAGATGTAACACTATAAGTTCACTCTTGCATCGTCACTACACAACAGCTTAACCGACGTAACACTACCTTGAGACCTTAATTCTGCACAGACAAAAACTACTTTTTCAGAAAAACCATTTTGTAGAAATCGGGTTATTCCGTATTCGACCCACGACAAACTCAACCCACTCATTATTTTCCTTACTCAACCCAATTTTGTTCCTTACTCTACCCACAACTAATTTTTAATTTTATGTTCCTTATTCACCCCAAAAACATTCCTAGCTCAACCCATTTTAAAACCACTTAAAAAATATAAGATTTTTATGTACGGTCAGAATAAAAATATATTTTTTAGAAATTTAAGCTCAGTTAATTTTTGTGTTAAGATCGTGCTATTAAATATAACTACAGGAGTTCTGATACAATAATATATTTGAAAAACGTTTTTCACAAAAGGACACAAATAAAATAATGACTACATGCAATTAGAACTATAACTTTTCATAACAAAACAAAAAGTAGATACATTTTTAAAATCTTATAATAAAAATCACAGATTAAAGAGGAACCATTAACTAACATAATTTGAATCTAATATAAATCTACTATAAATCCACTATAAATCTTAATAAAAGTATTCATGTGGACGGATAACTAATCCCGCGGTATAAGTTTTGAGCGGTATGATTTGACCAAAGTTTCTAAATTACCTTAAAATAGAATAAAATCTACGATATATTTAAGTTAATCAACATTTTTAAACATTTTCTAACAAAACAAAATATAGGCCGATTCGCAACATTGTCAAAACAATTAAAACCGGTTTAAGGGTGAACAATGGATGGACAAGCCGCTTGGCAAGCGGTATCGGTTACTCATTTGCATAGATAACAGTTAAAAAGATAATAACTCACACTTTTACCTTTAACAACGGTTTGTTGAAAGTGCAAGTTTTCCCATATGTATGTTTGTATATTTTATCAAACATGTAGGTGATGTTTTTTTTAAATAAAAATAAATGTACTAGTATGTATTTATCATAATTAAATTTCTGGACAAATAGTAAACGTTGTTTTGCTATCCATACTTGTTTTTGGTATATTTACTTTGGGTTGAGTGAGGAATGCATTTGGGTAGAATAACGAAAAGGCCACGAAAGTGATTTCTTGCTTTGGTTTATTTTAAAATATAGTGACTGGTGTTTATGTTTTTACAATATTTTAATAACTAATAAATTATACGTGGTAAGTAGAGATCAGTACATCAATAAATAAATAAGGGTATTTTTGTTATCTGTCTGTATGACTGTATGCATGTCTGTATATCTGTTTGTTAGATAAATTTAATCTGAAGTTTGAGTTAAAAGTTGTACAACAAAAATACGAGGCCCTCTGGCCTAAATAAAAAAAATATTTTTGTTGAGGGACTGATAATCAGTTAGAATTCTTTTTATTGAGGTATTGATAATCCGTTTTTTGCTTCTTTAGCATTTCAGAATGCCACCAGTATCACCCTTAAAACCAATTGCGTAGAATCTTGTAACTTAATAGGTGACGTAATCGGTAAAATTTTATCTTGTATTTAAGTAGGTACCTATTTATGTTATGTTATTGCTATTTATCTATGAAAATAAGACAAAATATATGTTTTATAAACACTTAAGAGTCATTTACAGTAATAAAGTTTGAAAAAATTATTGCTGTGAAGTACAGAATCACTTTCGTGGCATCAAAAAATTCAAAACGTTAAAGCTTCCAAACGAGACTCACTATTTGACTGATTTACTGAGTATACAATCTTCACATCAAGCGCTACAATTTTTGTTTACAAAAAGTTGAAATAAGTTAGAAATAAAATTCGCCACGAAGGTGACGATGAGAACCGTGGCGATGAGAAATACCCACCTACGTGTGTGATATTCGTATCCCTAGCTTGCGCCTGTCCCCGATGGACTGGATTCGGCTTGTTACTAGGAACGCTTTTTGGTGTAGGTTGGGAAGTTGAATGTGGCGGTGTAGGGTGCACTAGAATTCTTGAGAACTCGGGGTCGATGTCGGTGTCTGGGCATCTGAGAAGCGGGCTCTGGGNGAAGTTGGCTGAAGCGGTTTCCATGTAGATGCCCGTTTCCATGGCCGCTTGCGAGTTTAAATGGTTAATGTTGCGTTGGATGGGCCTGGTGTTATGATTTGAGGGTGTTATTTGAGGTGTAATGTTGTGATTCGGAGGTGTCCTAAGACTGTTGTTAAATGCTCGTTTTCGACACTCGGAGATGACATGCCCAGGCTTTTTGCAATAATTGCATGTTTTTTGAGGCTGATTTGAAAGAGTTTTATTTATTGTCGGTCTGTTAAATGTTGGTTGTTTATAACCTGAATGAAGTGCCTGCCTAGCGCTGTTCATTTTTCTAACTTTGTCCTCTTGCATGGCGAAGTTGCCAGCATCAGACAGGTTGGAAAATTCTTTTGTGCGAAGCATAGTCCCTATGTCAGAATTAAGCCCATTGACGAATACGCTTAAGGCAGTTTCCTCCGTAGTTATTTTACGGTCTGGCAATGAGTTGTCTAGGACTTCCGCGGTTAGTTTTTCTAGGATCTTGTTACGGCACAGGTCGACCCTATGTAAATATTCGGTTACCGTTTCGGTGTTTCTTTGGAACATCGATTGTAATTCTAAATGGAGGTGTGCGAGGGTCTTAGTTTGTGAGAACTTTTGAATTAAGAACTGTTTTAACTCACACCAGTTTCCATGTTGCTTAGAATGGACGTCTGAAGAGTAAGGCCCTGTTATTTTATTTAAGACATATATTAACAGTATCTCCTGTTGCGGGATGCTAGATAGTTTGAAGGCAGAGTCGCAGGAACGAATGTATCGATATACCTGACTTGCCTGACTTGTATCGAAATCTGGGATTAGTTGCAATAGAGTTTGGAGTGGGACTGTTTCCGCGGTTTTAGTGTCTACTACTTGTTTTGTGGTCGACATATTGGAAATAGTTTCTAATTGATCGGGTGAAATATTATGAGGTTGGAAAAGAGTTAGGGATTTTGATTAGAACAGAGAGCAAAGTATTAGCCACTTACCACAATAACAGCATACAGATCTTGAGCATGGTTCGGCAAAGTTGTGTTGAAAGCCTTCGGCTACCGTGAGTCTTCTTCGGCGATTCTTGTCCTTTTGTGGTGAAGTCTTCACGTTTTAACTTTGTCTTCTTGTTTACTCGCGATCCTACCGACTGCGCCAAATTTGTTATACGGTAAGTTTGAAAACACTTTTAAAAATAAAAGATTTATTGAATTTTACACTTATTAACTTGATTACAAATGTTTGGATTTAGACTTAGATTTAGACTTAGATTTAGTACAGAATTATGATGTGACTTGTGTCGATGTAGAATTATAACTAACTGCATCACAGGATGATTGGGGTTTTTATACCCTGATGTCCTGAGACTTTAGGCTTAATGAGTACACAAAACATTAGGTAATGATCTAATTACTTAATATCGTACAAAGGTTGTGAGTTTTGTCAATAAAGTAATTGATAAATGAGTGTACAGAATATTACTAATCGTGAGAACATCAATTAACATTAATTTAGATATCCTAATGATTACAAAGGTTGAGATTAATAAATATAATTAGTAAGTTTAAACAAACAACACATTAAGAGTTTTGAGAATAGTAAACATAATTAGTAAGTTATACAAACAATATTAAACATAATTACACAAACAATGTATTAGGAATTTATGATACACAAGTTTATAGAAGATAATAATTNAATTAGTAAGTTATACAAACAATATTAAACATAATTACACAAACAATGTATTAGGAATTTATGATACACAAGTTTATAGAAGATAATAATTATAGGTATATTGGGTATGATATAACAATAGGTATATTGGGTATGATATAACAGTATGTAGTAACTTTATCACTTTAACCAGTCTAAGTTCACGGCACTTATGGAAACAATATTTCGAGTCGAAGAAAAAACTATTTTGCCCTTTTCTCTCAACGATCCTATTTATAATATTCTTCAAGGCTTTTCCCCTGACACCAAACTTGTTATCAGAAATAGATCTCATTAATCATCACATAATATACATCATAGGTAAGTAGGTACAGTCGACAGCAAATCAGTTTTTTATTTGCAAATCAGTACTTATTACAAATACCTAATACACTAGAGTATTTAAGGGCCGTCCATTAAGGGGGGTTTGAAGGGGGGTATGACAAAAATCAAAAATGTTACAAGGGGGGTGTATTTAATTTTTTTTTATACGCGTACAATATGATTTTTTCATGATTACGCCAATCAAAAATAACCTGCAACCTTTCTGTCTAAACATTTTTATCATGGTTTTTTTGTAGACACTAAAATTACACGTGNATTAGGAATTTATGATACACAAGTTTATAGAAGATAATAATTATAGGTATATTGGGTATGATATAACAATAGGTATATTGGGTATGATATAACACCTCCCCCCTTAAAATAAAGATTGGGCATGTGTGCCTGATCTTTGGAGATTGTTGAGGTCGTCGTCTTCGTCTTCTGAGATGCACGATGTAGTTGTTGGGACTCCAATTGTGGTCATCGGGATGGCTTGGACGTGGGTTGTTCTTCGACGTGATGATGAGGAACCGAAGCAGTTATTAAATATCTGGACACAGTGGTTGTTGTCCTCGAAGGGTCTACGGTTCATTCGGAATCGTAGGCATTTCTTGAATAGTGCATATAGCACGAGAAGTAGCATTAGGGTGCCAGAAATAAAAGAAAACCATGAGAATCCGTTTTGGTTTCTTTGTATGAAAGGGGTGTTCTTGATCTTTTGTATTTCATTATTGTGATTATCAAGCTGATGCTTGAGGGTATTGAGTGAGTCCAACGGGATCTCGTTAATTGAAATAGGAAGAAGATTGGGGGTAGTAAGACTTTTAATGTCTTCAAAGCAGTCATCTGTTTGAATGTCAGGAACTATGATAGGGTAAGTAATATTTTCTTGTTTAATTTGATGCGCTGAGAGAGTGCTGTACCCAGTGTGGAGTTTGCAATTTTCTTGAAGCGTGATGATTCCAGATCCTTGAATATTATGATGTGACACTTGGCTATCACACTGAAGAATACATTGTGTCACGTTGGTCAGTATGTAGATCCATCGGTTGTCGGCTAGTGGTTGGAACGTGTTGATGATTGCCGCGAATGTTGAAGTGGTGCAGCTGCTTGGAACTTTGTTGGAGGCGCTGAACAAAACTTGAAGTTCACATATTGGGCGAGTATCTGCATCATAAACGACGAGGTCGCTGCAGACGCTTCGTTTCTCTGCGTAGATTTTACAGTTGTCCAGTGAGCTCGTAGAGATGTAGTGTTCGCCGCTGGGGTTCGTAGCTAAATACTTGTGCTCCGGAAGGATCGTTGTGTGGAGTGAGGAATTGGGATGTTGGATCGGGATAGAGTATATATGGTATAATTTTAGGGCTTCTGATTTTACAAGTGGGAAGTCTAAAATATATACTAATCTATTCGAGTAGACATATGCAGAGAGTTGAGATGAGTCTAGGATATTATTTATATTATTAATCGTTACAGGACTAACTAATTGTTTGTTAGATCTAGCGTGGTTTGAGAGAAGAAGTTCTTGATAAAGTCTGTCTAGTGATATTATAGAGGGATGAATAATATTTGATTTAGCAAATAAAATACTAGTGAGACAGTCGTTGATTTCGTTTTCTAAGCTAGTTACTGATTCTAATATTTGGATTGAGATTGAAGAAATATCTTCACTTACTCTAATGTCGAAAATTGTTTTTGTAGTTCCATTTAAGTATTCATTTAACCTTTCGATATTTTCGTTTATGATTTGTTCATCGTAAGAAATTTTAAATATTGTTTCATTAAAGTTTTTTAAGGTTGATGAGGTGATTTGTAATTGCTTTTGCATTAGAGATGTTAAATCGAGTTCGCGTTTTTCAAGCATATCGATGCATTCGTTATAATGCTTCGCATCTTTAGCATCAGGAGTACCTATGAGATATTTGAGTAAGGAACTAAGGCCATCTAGAAGTTCTCTCTTTTGACGCGTGTTCTTGCCAAGGTACATGTTGAGCTCGGATAGACGAGAGTTAATTTTATTTAGGTTTACCTTTAAATATGACTTAGTTGAAATTACGGTGGGGAAGTTTGGATGTTTTGAAGATAATTGATCAAATTTAGATGATAGTCGTATTAAGGATTCATGGGCGATGAATAGGGGTTTTAGGTCGCGATAAATGATCAATTTCCAAGTGTCATCAGACACTGATAAAGTTCCTTCCTCTTCATAAAATAATCCGGCATGAGTTGGCAGGGGTTGTGTTATTGTGGCAACGATTCCCGTGGTTGCCCTGAAATAGACAAATTGATATCGATTGAGTTAATGTCTGAAACGCGTTTGCTTTTAATATAATTTCTAATAAAGACATAGGTTTTGTAGAGAATGATGTATAAGATTATTTTTAGAATTGAACAAATGACGAAACTAATATAAGGATTATTCATAAGATTTCGTATGTTATAGGGATTAAGGGGTTGAGCCATCGTAGATTTGACCCTGTAACATTATAATAAGGTAAAATTGGTTTTATAGTAAGGCGTAAGATTTGAAATAATTAAAAATTTAACTTATAAATGGAATTTAAATTGAATTGAGTTTGTAAAAGTAATGTTGATAATACATACTAAACTTAACTTCTAATAAACTAACTTATCTGCCTCGACCATGATTTTTAAACTAGGGTTTCATGCATGTGATATGGTCGGAGTCTGTTTGCATGCACTAGTTGATTACGGTTGGCTTTCTTTATGAGATAGTTGTGATTGAAACCAACACGTATGACCTCGTAAGGTCCTTCCCATTTGGAGTCTAAGTTATTAGGGTTCGGGACACGTAACATGACTTTGTTTCCTACTTGATACAAGGCTATGTTTTTGATTTGACTGTCGTATCGATCTTTAGCTTTCTCTTTCATTGCTTGAATATTTTTCAAAGCGGTGTCTCTAGAAACCCTGAGTCGTTCGTTTAAGTCCTTTAAATAATCGCAGGCTGTATAGTCTGGTATAATTTTCATTGAATAGAATGGACGTGGCTTGTAACCGAACAGGAGTTCGTGCGGTGTATAACCGGTCGAATTGTTAATCGACGTATTATGACACATGATAGCGAAAGGGATGATCTTATCCCAGTCTTTGAGACGACGGTTGTGATACATTCTGATATGATCACGTAAGGTGGCATGAAAACGTTCAAGAGCACCGTTCGTCTGAGGATGGTATGCAGTGTTGAAAGTGTGGTTAGCACCAAGGAATCTGGTTAATTGTTTGAGGACGTTGTTCGTGAATTCCGTACCTTGATCCGAGTGGAATCTTCTGGGAATGCCGTAATGCTGGCAGAAATGGAGTAGTTTTTTAGCGACTGTTATGGCTTCTTTGTCGGGAATAGGATATGCTTGGACGAATCGAGTTAGATCATCTTGGAGGGTTAAAACGTATTTATTGTTATTGTCGCTGACGTCAGAATATGAGACAAGGTCTAGGGAGATTCTTTCGAATGGTTCAGTGGATTGAGACGTAATAACCATAGGGGCTTGGAAATTCCTCCTCTGTATTTTATTACGTTGACAAGTGGTGCATGATTCTACGTAATTTTTTATATCGTTTGTCATACCTTTCCAGAAATATTCATCACGAATTTTTCTGGTGGTTTCCACGATACCGCGATGGCCAGAGAGGGGTTCGTCGTGATATGTTTTTAAGATGTTCGGGATTTCTTCGGACTTGGGGTATTTGATGTTATCTTGGCAGATTATGATATCACAGTCGTATACCTCGGCCAGGTAGGCTGTGATACGTAATTGCTCGTTACCATTCAATTTGCAAGTGGGATCCTTTTTTAAATCAGGGACATAAAGGCATTCGATTTTATTTTGTTGAAGACAGGATAATAAGGATTTAAAATAACTTTCGGAATCCCAAGGATCAAAATGATTGGGTCTTGTGGGACAAAAGAATAAGTTTTGGTTTTCGTTAGAAATTAAGAGATCAGTATCATAAAGAGACTTAGTTTTATTCAAATAGGGTTCCGTTTGAGAGCAAGAGCGTATAGCTTTATTAAAAATTATGTTTTGGTCTGTGAGTTGGCACGATATGGGGACGTATATATTTTTGTGACGAGGATCTAGTAAATTGTCAGGTGAGGTTTTTAATTTTGGGCTATCGATGGATCGATCTTGAGAATTATAGTGTTCAAAATTCATCTGTAGGTAATCAATTGAGTCGGATTGGATTGAGTCGTCTAACGTTAAATCAATGATATTAGAGTTCATAATCGGTGGTCTTGATAGTGCATCTGCGTTTGTATTAATCTTCCCGGCTTTGTAGATGATCTCGTAATCATATTCCTCCAGCTTCAATCTCCACCGAACAAGTCGACTACCTGGGTCTTTGATAGAGAATAGCCAGGTGAGAGGTTTGTGATCAGTTACGATCTTGACTTGCGTCCGAATAGATAGGGGCGGAAATGTTTTACGGCCCAAACGATTGCTAGGAGTTCACGTTCTATCGTGGAGTAGTTTGATTCAGCTTTATTTAGTGTGCGGGAAGCGTACGCGATAGGTAAGTCTTTACCAACTTCACCTTGTGAAAGGATGGCGCCAATGGCGTGAATAGAGGCATCTGTAGTTAGGACAAACTCTTTGGTAAAATCGGGATATTGTAATATAGGAGTAGTAGTGAGGATCTTTTTGCAGTTATCAAAAGCAAGTTGTTGGGATTCACCCCAAACGAAAGGGACGTCTTTCTTTAGNCTCAGGAGTTTAGAAGGCTTGTTAAAGGTTTTGTGATGTTGCTAAAGTTTGCTATAAAGCGTCGATAATAACCTGCGAGACCTAGGAAGGATTTAATATCTTTACATGATTTAGGGACTGGGAAATCGTTGACTGCTTGGACTTTCTCGGGATTAGGTTTAACACCTTCATTAGATATGATATGTCCTAGGTATGCTACTTCTTTCCTAAGGAATTCGCATTTATCTGGCTGTACCTTTAGGCCATATGTTCTTAGTCTATCGAATACTTCGGTAAGTTTCTGTTCGTGTTCTTGGAGGCTGGAAGCGAATACTACGATGTCATCTAAGTAAACAAAGCATCGCTCGCCTTGTAGACCGTAGAAAACGCTGTCCATAGCACGTTGGAAGGTAGCGGGTGCGTTCTTTAGTCCGAATGGCATTCGCAAAAACTCGTAGTGTCCGTATGGAGTGTTAAATGCAGTCTTAGGAATGTCCTTAGAATCGAGCTCGATCTGGTGAAATCCAGAAGCGAGATCTAGTGTAGTAAAGTAGATGGAGTGTCCTAGTTTGTCTAGTATGTCTGTGATGTTTGGAAGTGAGTAGCTATCGCCGACTGTAATATCGTTAAGTTTACGATAATCTATTACGACCCTCCATTTCTGTTTACCAGAAGCGTCCGTTTTCTTAGGGACTACCCAGATTGGGCTGCTCCAAGGTGATGTACTAGGTCGTATTATATTTTCGTTTAGCATTTTATCTACCTGTGTTTTTACTTCCTGTTGATGTACGTATGGAAATCTATAAGTTTTAGTATTAACTAGCGGCCGCCCGCGACTTCGTACGCGTGAATCCCGTTTTTCCCGCTAATTCCCGTTCCCGTGGGAATTTCGGGAATTCCTTTCTTAGTGCACCTCTACGGTACCTAAGCTACGTCCCTTCCAAATTTCAAGTGCCTACGTTTAGCCGTTTAGGCTGTGCGTTGATCTGTCAGTCAGTCAGTCAGTTTCTCTTTTTATATATTTAGATTGGTGTGTCTGATGTAGTAGGGATTGTATGTTTCGTGTGGTTAGTGAATGTTAGTTTGTCACCTTCGGTGTAAAATATGTCAGTGTAATTTAATATAATTTTATCTAAGGATTCGCACTCTTCTCGATTCAGGTGTTCACGTCGGATTAATTTATCTACCTTTTCGTGGGTGTTCTGATTATTTTGATTGATGTAATTGATTTGAAAGTGGCTTTGAGATTCTGTGTAAGATTTAGGATTAGAAATAGTAGGCATAGAGATGTATTTATCTTCATTACTCGAGTTAACACAAGTTATTAGGAATTTGTTATTTTGAATACTAACCAAAGCGTTCGGGATAGTAAGATGTTCATCTATTGACTGCTTGTCAATGATGGCGGCGCCGTCAATGATTTCTTTGCTAAAGCAGGTAATAACAGTTTCAGATCGTTTAGGTACAAATTGTTTATTGGTAATTTCTTTAGGTTCTTCGCCTAAAAAGAAAAGTTTGTATGAAGTATCGCGGACGCGCATAGATTTTGATTGGATGTAAATGTTTACGTTGAATTTGGACATAAAGTCGTTGCCTAGGATACCGTCTGCTGCTATATTTATATCGGCAACGTGAAATTTGTGACTAGGGAATCTATCAAGAGAAATGTTAGACGTTCCGTGCGTTCTGATGGTCGAATTGGTGTTTGATACTCCAATTATAGAGACTTTATCCCTAGAATTAATTTGATTACTACCTATTTTATCTTTGCGAATAACAGAGATGGCGGCACCTGTGTCGATTAACAATACAAGTGGTTGGCCGTCGACGTGAAATTTACAATGTAGCAGGTTTTCGTGAGGAATATTAAGTGATTTAATATGATATGGTTGAGTTTGATCAGATTTCGGAGTTTTTGATTTAGGAATTGATTTGGAATTACGCTTCGATTTAGATTTAGCAGATTTAGGGTTTGATTTGGAATTGGTAGGGTTGATTTCGGATTGAGTTTGTGTCGAATTAGTGGAAATAGCGTTAGGAGTTAGTGAAGATTTAGCAAGTGATTGATTTAATTGAGTTTGCATGGATTTAGTAGGCTCAGGTTGGTTTGATTTGAATAAGGTCCACGATTCGATAGTCTGAGTACCAAATTCGCGGGTTTGTCTACGATAGACTGAGGGTTCTCGCTGGACCTGAGGTGTGTTGGTGTTCGCGTCGCGTGTTGTACCTGGGTACTTCTCATTTACACTCAAATTTGATGGTCACACAATAATAGTTCATAAACGGTATAAGTTAGAACTATAACTTTGAAATCAGATGATAAAATATCTATTTAGCTACATACAATATAAATTTTGTCGTAATAGAAGCAAAAATAATACGAAAAAAATCACATGAAACGATAAAAAACGGGGTGATTTTTCGCGTTCTCATCGTGTCACACCTTCGGTTGCAATGAAACATTTGGTTACTGCATTCACAATTTTCATTCAATTTGTGTGTAGCATATATACTAAAATTATCGCAATTAAATATACTTTCCACACAGTAGTCAAAAAATATCTTCTTATAATTATTTTGAATTGAGAAAGCGAAATACGTTGGTCACACGATTTTAGGTACCTAAAATTTTGAGTAATAATACAAGATTGCCGTTAAACTGAACACCAGCAACCAATCACAGTATTCTATTCGGTTAACGTTAGTCGCGCTCCGGCCATTGGGGAGGTGAGATAGGTCGATCGTCGCTCCGGGAAAAAAATACGTAACTTTTTGTGATTATCTATAGACATACCGTCGCTTGCTTGAACAATATTTTCTACCTCTAAAATTTAAACAATTTAATTGAAACTTTGNAAGATTTATTTATTTAAAGTTTATTTCGGTAACTTCTACACATTTTTAATTACAAGTATTTGGGGCTTCCTATTAAGCCACCAGTTTTGCTTGTATTAGGAAGCTCCTCTCTTGTATAGTAAAATTACAAAATAAGTGATAATGTTAGCAAAAGTATTGGTGTACAGTGTTGAAATACTTTTAGGTTTTATTTTGAACATCGATTTTATTTCAAAATAAGCTGCAATGAATTACACATAATATTCCAGCCCCGTCAAAGAGGCAAGATGGCGTCATGGGACGACAAGGACGACACCAAGTCTCGCTTCTCACAATACTCGATGTCGTCAAGCGTGATCCGCCGCAACCAGGGCCTGTCGCTGCTGGATAACCGGTTTGAAAGGGTATGTACTTTGAATTTATGCTTATTAGCCTAGTGGTAAGTGTAGTGTATAGACATTTGTCTCGAGCGCATACGTCACAGCCTAGTCGGCGGTGGGGGCATTCGGCGTCCGACCGTGGTGCGGGCAGGTCGTGCTGTGTGCGTAGGCGAGCCAAATAATAATCTAATGGCGGAGATAAAGGTGTACAATACAATGGCGACAGGATTAAAAAGGAGTGCATTAAAAAAAAAAAAAAAGAAGTGAGTAGGTACATGTATAAGTCAAAGTTATAAATTAACTCACGGAACATTATTAATTTCAAACAAAGTATCTATTTAGATTGTGCTTAAATATGAAGTGTTTACTTTATATTTTCTCAGCCACTAAAGTGTAAATGTGTGAAGAGTGATATTCCCGTTGTAATAATAAAGATAAGTGATGGTGTTTCTAAAATTATTTTATCGATCGGAAATAACGAAAATACTTTTTGTTGTGTGTGTGTTTTGCAGTAAAACGATTCTTAATATTTTACGTTAGTAACATGTACCTACATTAAGAAGTGACTATACATATAACACACTCACGAAAATAAGCGGAAAAGTAATAATCAATAAAATATTAAAATAATTTATTTTATACTGAAAGTTAATCTGGTCTGCGCATAGAAATATGACAGGAATTTATGACATAGTCATAAAATATGTTATGGGCTAGGTAAATATCTATTTTAACAATCAAATTACCAGCAAAAGTTTAATTACCTATCCAGTAATACAATTACGTAAAATACAGCAGATACATGCAACGTAATTAACTAGAGGAATGCTGGGATCGATCACTATCCAATAACGGTATTTATTTTTAAATTATTGATTGAATTAAAATGTTTGATGCAATACACTCAAACCAAATTAGCAGTACCCATTTTGTCTATGCTTAAAATTGGTTAATGCCATGGAAATGAATTATTTAATTACTAATTGTTGTACAAATCTAGATTAGTATAAACATGTTGGTGATATTTTAATATAAAATAAATTACCTTTTCCGCTCGATGGCGTATGGTGACTATAGTCACTATTAAAAATAAAGCATTCCAGTGCAATGACATATTAAATTGTGATGTGAGGCATTTAATTGCGAAGACATCATAAAGTGGGTAGATAGGACTTGATTGCAATTTTTAGTTGTATCAGTGTACCTACCATGGAAAAATCATTTTTGTCAAGAGTAAGTACGGCTAAGTAGACTTACGCCCGTATTCACAAACGATGCTGCTTAAGTTAAGCAGCAAATCTAATGCAATAAAGTAAATGCAAATCTAATAAAGCTCTGTAATTGGTTCGTTCATGTGTCACCCTGTGCGTCCACGCGCACTGTGGGACGTCATAGTAATGTTTGAGAAAACGGGTGATCGCATCTTATTCTTTGGAAGAGTTCGATTGTGACGGGTAGACAGTCTCCGTTTCAGTTATATTTTCAACGCAACTGTGACTTTTAACAGAGGTGGTACTGAAGCAGACTAATTTATTTATGCGTCTCCCTAAGCACTTGACATTGGCAGAATTACTGCGGCAATAAAAAACGTGGGATAGTAAAAAGAAAAAAAAAAAAAACAGGCGGAACAAGTGTTACGATGTTAAGTTCGAATAGCGTCTATGCGCTTATAACGACTTTTAAACATTGCAAGTTTGCTCCTGTCTGAGGTAATATTTGTTTCTCACGAAATAAATACTCCCGACGTGTGTTCAGTAAAGTTAACTTACCTAACAAGTAACAGACAAAATATTAGTAAAAAAAAAAAAAAAGAGATAAGTCTATCTGGCAAAGGAGGTTAAAGCAGATCATTAGTAAGTGTCACTTTCTGAGATACAAATAATATTGATATTAATACATAATTGTTAAAACGCTTATGTATACCTATTTAAAAGAGACAATACGTAGTAAGGAGCATGCCGCGCGACTTCTCAGGCGTCCTCTTCTTCTGTCACTTGTGTGTTCCAACCTTGGACGAATAAACCACATGACTAGCGATAGATATTTACTTATCGCGTGACCTTTAGCGAGTGACAGAAGCCTTGAAAGTCCATCCAATTGGGTTTCACCTATGGTCCCTATCACAGAACACAAAAAACTAAAGAGAGATGTGACAAGGGGGCGTGGCCAGTGTCGCAGCAATATGCCAAACAGAACACATTGCTCGCAACAGCAATGTGCCATGCAGTTGACGTTTTATTTATAAATAAACAGTTTATATTGCTTGCGTAGTACAAAATATTATTCGCACAATGAGTACTGATATTGTGTTGAGTACAGACGTTGAGCACAATGAGTGGATAATGAGCACAATCAAACTAAAAAAAATAATACAATTATCACATCGTATCATAATTGACTACGTATGTAGTGGTGCTGTATGCTATGTACGTACATTACTGTGGCAACGAATAATCGTACTGAATGCAATGTGTGCATTCTGTGCATGACACACACTCTTCGTGAAGTATTGTTTTTATTTTGATTACTTTGTGTGTATGAATTTCTAACGCGACACTGGGTTTCGAAATCAGCGCATTGGTTGGCATTTCTCTAGATTTATATGGAAATGGGAGATATTCAGATAAGTATATCGTTCGTTCATTCCCCAAGGATTTCCAGAAAGACCGGTCCTGCGCCGCCGGCATCCAGGCACATAATTATGTAAGCATATTATATTATGTATTATAATATAATATCAGTAGAGAAAGTTCAGCTATCAAGTGAGAAAATCATACATTTCTCAAAATAAATCAGACACTGTTTAAAGTTAGAGAGGAGAGATTGAATAGTCACCTGGAGCTCATACATAACTCGAAAGGGACTATTCATTCATAAACATGCTGATGATGTATGGAATTACATGTGCTCCTGCAATATTCCATGTAGGTAACCCTGGATGGAGATTCTACACTTGTCACATACTAATTTCGAATTATCGCAACACTGAAGTTTATTAATAGGTACTTTAGAGATGGTACGATTATACAAACTCCACTAGATTAAAGTTTTCTAATCGTAAATACAATAAATGCTTCTTAAAATTAAGTTTTTATTTATTTTACATTGCTCATACAACCCTGACGCTTGAGCGGTGACGTAGATCAATTCTAAACACAAAAAAAATGCGCTCTTGTGAGCGTAGTAGTAAGGTGCGATTTCGAATGCACCATGTGCGTTGGATATTTTGCATTATTATTATTACCGTTAAAATGTCGGCATCTGATCCTACACAAAGGAGTGCAATTTCTGTTGCTACTATTATGTATTCTGTGGTTTTATGTATAAATAAACAGTTTATATTGCTTGCGTAGTACAAAATATTATTCGCACAATGAGTACTGATATTGTGTTGAGTACTGACGTTGAGCACAATGAGTGGATAATGAGCACAATCAAACTAAAAAAAAAATACAATTATCACATCGTATCATAATTGACTGCGTATGTAGTGGTGCTGTTTGCTATGTACGTANTGTGTGTATTTCATGTACAGTATTGACCTCTTTACAGATTTATTATAAGTATAGATTTTAGGGAAAGTATAGATATCATTAGGGCTTAGGTCGGGGCTGTACGGCGGATGGACTAATAATTCTATGTTTTCTTGGTCTAAAAACCCTTTTGTTCAGTGCGCGGTGTGAGAACTCGCATTGTCGTGATAGAGGATGATGCGGCGGTTGCAGTTCTCTTTACGGAGTTCAGAAACGACCTGTGGCAAACAAATGCTAGCATACTAATCTGCATTAACCGTTCTTTGTCCCCCAAGAGGAATAGTCGCAACATGGCCGGTTTTGGAGACAAACGTAGCCACCATTTTTTTTGCAACACTCCGTGAACGAACTATTTTTGTTGGCTTTAATTCATTTTCGAACACCCAAACTCGTAACTGGTTTTTTTTTTCGGGTTCGTACGCGTATATCCATGATTCGTCACCTGATACGATGTTGTATACAGCATTTGAGGATCCTGCATGTAATCTCCCGAGAGTTCTGACGCACCAAGTAACGCGAGCCGCTTTTTGCTCTTCACAGAGCGAATGCGGTATCCATCGGGAAAACAACTTTTTTACACCTAATTGTTCATGCAAGATTATTTGTATTTGACTCATGCCAATGTCTAAAGTTGCCTGAATTTCGCGGTATATCACATGTCGATCTTCTTCAATCAGCTTACGCACAGCATCAACGTTTTCTTAGGTGACTGCAGTTTTTGGACGACCTTGACGGGGATCATCACTGAGCTTGACACGTCCACGTTGAAATTCAATAAACCAGCGATAAATTGTGGTTTTGGATGGGGCTTCATTACCAAATGCAGAAATCATCCGGTCAACACACTGTTTTTGTGTTAAACCACTTCAAAAGTCATAATAAATCATCGCTCGTGAATTTTCTCGAGTCAATTCCATTTTCTCAACGACTAAACAAGTTTGACAAGACCTTGTGATACGACCGAGAATCTTTTTTTAAATAAATAAATGGTATACGATTTTTAAAACCCTGGAGTTTGCAATTAAATAGATTTTAATATGACTGGAACAGTGGAAATATTCCATTCCCGATACTTTTAGTGCAGCCCTCGTACTACCAGCCAGTTTTGTGGTTATTGAATCAGAGTGAAGCTCGCTTCCACTTTCGGCCTGATGACGGATTAGCAAGCTGAAGTGGCAATGTGCAGGGCACATAGTACGCAGAACTGACGGCCGATGGGGCAGCAAAGTTCTGGAGTGGAGGTCGCGTACCGGAAAACGCAGCGTGTGACGTAGTACTTATTATTATTCTGTGGTGTGACGTCCAGTCACAAGGTGGACCGACGACATCATAAAGGTAGCAGGAAGGCGCTGGACGCAGGCCGCTACCATCCAGGCAACATGGAAAGCATTGGGGGAGGCCTATGTTCAGCAGTGGAAGTCCTATGGCTGAGTTGATGATGACAATGATGATGAATTTAATTCGCAGATGTTCGCGGAATACGACGACACAGAGCTTGGTGCTTTAGACCTGGAAGAGATCGAAGGCTTTATGCCTGACACCCATGATATGCTGCTGCGAGCTGCGGAGGACTTCGACCAGTCCCGGAAGCGGTACCAGCTCGATAAGGAGAAGGAGATAGCCAGGTGAGATCCCTTTTTACGCCTAAGACAGTTTCCATATCTAGACTCACCACCAAGAAAGCTACCATATCCAGAGACTGCGTTCAACTCTATTTTAGACTTGCTTGATACATCGTCCAATGTTGGATCCAGTAGAAAGAACGAAAAGAAAGAAAGATACATTATTACAGTAGGGCGTAACCATCACCATAAGCCGAAAGCTCCACTTTAGTTATTATTAATTATTAATTAGATTATCACACTGCACCGCGGTCCGCGTGGCTACATATAACGAATCCCGCGCGTAAACGCGTTGTCAGTGTGTTATGCCGCGCCTGTTTTCTATACAAACTGAGGTACTTGCCTATAATTATTAAATCTGTCGTCCCGCGTACCGCGGCGGAGCGCGGTGCAGTGTGATAATCGGCTAAGGGTCAGATTTTTAGTATGACCCTTATACCCTATGATAATTCCCTCCTGACACAGTCGGGTAAAAAAATATTCATTTCTTTCATAAGTTGCGTTATCCATCTGAATTTGTTTTGATCCAGCATCCTTGCAAGATTGCAATATCATAGGCAGCAAATTAAAAAAAATCTTGTTCCTTATTCCCAGGATACAAAGGCTACAAGAAATATCAGAGGAGTCCGAAGACGACCTGGTGACTATGGAAGTGGAGCCCAAAGAGAAGTGGGACTGCGAGACTATTCTATCAACTTACTCCAATTTGTACAACCATCCTAAACTCATTGAGGAACCTAAGGTGAGATTGCCTTCGAAAATTAAGTTTTGCTAATGAATTTTGAACTTTATATACTACTATAGTCTGGTCGCCGAACACGTAGAATTTTGTCCAATGACCCAAAGCTACCCATCCTTATCGCTCGCGCGTAATTATATTGCTGTCGCGACTGTGCGACGCGCGCCCGCAGTGAGTGTGCCAATTAAGCCAAATTCACACTCATCTTTTTAATTCCCAGAAGCCCAAAAAGATCCGAATCAACGTAAAGACGGGCATGCCCAAAGACGTACTTGGCAACGACAACAAACTCACAATCAAGTCTTTGGCCAAGTTCAACGCACAGAACGAAGATACAGACAGCGCTAGTGATGACGATGGAAGAACGCACGCGGAATCCGTGCTTAGCACTTTGAGCGTACTGTCTATAAGGTGAGAATATCTAAATAAATATTTTTTTAATGTAAATGTGTTGTGTTGTGGCTATTTAGTTTAGTATGGAATATTGAGGGTTTTACTCTAAGAGTAGGCGCACACCGTTGATTTTAGTTGGCCGATAGTTGTGCCCGATTTTAAATTGTATGAAGAATCGGCCAAATCGAATCGGCGTAGTGTGCGCACTCCCATACATGCCCATACTGATCAACTGCCCGACTAAACTATCGCCCGACGAAAAATCAACGGTGTGCGCCTACTCTTATGTGCAGTCAGCGTCCAATAATTCGTGATACGCAAGGTAGCCAAAATTCGCAACACGTCTTTGTTACAATTGCAATAAGGTTGCGTTATCAACTTCTTGGTCACTTTGGGTGTCACGAACTATTTGACGGTGACTGTACGAAAGGAATATTCCAGGTATCCCCCCCAAAACTAAATGGGAACACTCCTGGAAGAGTTCCCGAGAGTGGCACATTGCTACATAAGAATTTTCAGTTGCAGTTTAATTTATTTTGAAAATGTTTATCGCACGTTTACACTTCAGTAATTCATTAAAATATAACGTACATAATATTTTTTCTGATTCTTTTATTTACTTTGCGTAGGTAAATGTAACATAATAAAACCTATTTTTATTCCAGACCCAAAGACGAAAGCGCAGAAGAGAAGAAAGAAAGAAAGCGCCTCCTCAAAGAATACAGAAAGGAAAGACGGATAGAGAAGAAGGCGAACAAAGAAGCGTTCAAAGAAGAAAAGAAACGCCAGGAGAAGATTATGATGAACAACAGAAATAACATTCAAGGGAATAAAATATGTTAAAACTGTTATAATTATCTTGTATGTCTATAGTATATTTTATTTTTAAGATATTCTATGTTTTATTTGAGAATCAGAAGCCTTTCATTATCATCATTCATTTAGTCTCCACTATAGGAACACGACCTTATTCAATTCACCAGAAGCAAAAACAGGGCCGGGTCTACCATATGGCTTTTTCGGCTTCAGCCCAGGGCCCCGTGGATTCAAGGAGCCCCCAGCTAAGTCAAGTCAAAGTCAATAATTAGCTTTTTAAAAAAATAAAACCGACTTCAAATGCGTGAACACAAAAAAAACTAAAAATTAAAAATATTGCGTATAAAAAAGTTCATCCCCAATTTTCCACCCTTGGGGGTGAAATATTTTCTTCAAATTCGCATGAAACCACCCTTTTGATAATACCTATTCAACAAAAAAATAATCGTTCAAATTGATTTATAATCGGCGGAGATATTGCATTTGCGTATAAAAAGTTCATCCCCAATTTTCCACCCTTGCGGGTTGTTTTTTCTATTATTAAATTTAAATGGGACCACCCTTGAGGTATTACCTATACGCCGAAAAAAGATTTGTTCAAATCGGTTCATAATTGGCGGAGTTATCGCGTAACAAACATAGAAAAAAAAAACATACGGTTCGAATTGAGAACCTCCTCCTTTTTTGAAGTCGGTTGAAAATAGACGATACTGCGAAAGAGTAGAGTAGTTGAGCCCCTAAGTAGTATTAGCCCAGGGCTCCCTAACTCACGGACCGGCCCTGACCAAATGCAGGATCCAACGTACATTTCCTACCAGGTGCCTTGGCTAGACAGGTTGGGGGAGCCTGATGTTCGCATTTCTCCCTTAGTCGCCTCTTACGACATCCGCGGGAAGAGTGGGCGTGGTCCTATTCTACTCTGCCACACAGTTACCTAAAGTCCGGTCGCCGAGCACATAGAATTTCGTCCAATGTCTGCGACGGGCGGCTGCAGTGAGTGTGCGAGTGCGACAGCAATATAACAACACGAGAGCGATAAGGATGGGTAGCTTGGTACGTCACATTTGGCCAAAAAAAGTGGCACTAAATTCACTGAAAAAGGGGAAACTTGTTGGAAATAAAACTTCAATTTATTTAACACCAAATAATACATTATATTGATTTAAAATTACCTTTATACTAATAGTCCATTTAATTCGATCACGTACATTCTCATACTTAAAGCTACTTTTGATAATCACAAAAATACAAAAAGTAATACAGTTTAATTGTAAAATATAAAATATAATTATATCATTATTTGAACTACAACTTATTGATAATAATATAATAATAACAATAAACTGTTCTACAGTTAAATTGATAACATTGAATCAAATTGCAGATCTTAATTAGTAAGTTCTATTTTAAAGTTAGAAATGCATAATAACAAAATTGCGTTTTATTTACATTCCACAATTTTGGAATCTAATCCAAAATACTATTCCGTTGATTATGAAACTTATCATCAAAGCATAAAGTTCACTGCTGTATCAAGACCCTCTAATTTACCTGAGGCAATTAATACATGTGGTACAAATTACACTGGTGTACTGAAATAATAACTTTTTGTACTAAATTACTTCAACATTCGTATAAATTAATCTGATGCTAAAAATGTGTTAACAAAATATAATATTGCACGAGAATTCCTAAAATGATCGTACTACAAAAATAACGCTCAATTTCCAGTGTTGTCTGCACTAAAAATAAAAGTGACATCACATGCTTGCCAGTCACAAAAATACCTTCAACAAAAGTTGCCAGTAATAATAATTAACTTTTAAAAAAAATAAAACCGACTTCAAATACGTGAACACAAAAAAAACTAAAAATTAAAAATATTGCGTATAAAAAAGTTCAACCCCAATTTTCCACCCTTGGGGGTGAAATATTTTCTTCAAATTCGCATGAAACCACCCTTTTGATAATACCTATTCAACAAAAAAATAATCGTTCAAATTGATTTATAATCGGCGGAGATATTGCATATAAAAAAGTTCATCCCCAATTTTCCACCCTTGGGGGTTGTTTTTTCTATTATTAAATTTAAATGGGACCACCCTTGAGGTATTACCTATACGCCGAAAAAAGATTTGTTCAAATCGGTTCATAATTGGCGGAGTTATCGCGTAACAAACATAGAAAAAAAAACATACGGGTCGAATTGAGAAAAAGTCGGTTGAAAATGGATGAATATCAGCATTTTTTAAACCTAAGATAGAACTAAACCGTCGTATCCCAGTTGGTCTGGGTCAGGACACTCCATCCTGCTTTTGACGTGCTGCAGCGTGTTGTGGAAATGAGTAGTGATCTGCTCCACTTCTTCTGATTGGTCCAAGTTGGCTAACTCTTCGCGGATCTTTTGGATTACCTGTTGAAATAATTGAGCAGTTAATTTACGTCCAGATTTAGAGGCACACATCTTTAGGTTTGTAGTTAATCCATCTGACAGAATTTGTAAATAATAATAATAAATACTCTTTATTGCACACCACATAAAAAGAACAGAAAGAAAAGGAACACATAAGGTACAATTAGGCGGTAAATATATTTTTTTTAAATTTTGTTTCTGACATAGTACCTACCGAGTTACCAAGCTATATGGGCGATGACACGATAAAAGGAGTGAATCATTTAACCCCAAAGGGCCCGAAGCGTTCCGAAGAAGTGTCAGACTACACACATCACCCACCACTCAGTTAGATTCGGTTTGCATCGTCATCATCCTTGCAATGTCCATGTTTCCTAGTGCGCCGACACTCGCGAGGTTGCACGAGTGTGTAAATATGCGCTTCAAACTTCGGTTAACTTTGTTGAAGATCCTAAACGAGTTAAGATAGCATCAACATTACTCACAGCGTCAATAAGGTTGGTGGTCAAGCTCGCGTTGCCTCTCTCCCGTAGTAAGGCGTATCTGCCCAGTAGCTCAGCTAACAGCTGCGCTTGTAGCCGCTTTCTTCAAGCAGTCAGCGCTAGACGCCTCTTACGACATCTAAATATCTAAAGTCTAAAGTTTGAAGACGAATGCCCGTATTCACAAACGATGCTTGCTTAAGTGAAACAGCAAATTGTTGGTGTGTGACCCTGTGCGTCCACGCGCACTATGAGACCTCATAGTAATGTTTGTGAATACGGGTGGATGTCTCTGACTACACAACTCAGCTATCTTAGGTCCAATTGATGTCATCTCGGTTCACCTATATACTTAGCAGGGTAAAAAAACTCCGACACCGCGATGCAGGATTGTAGGCGCGGTGGTCTTTACCATAGTAACTCCTGTGTCAGCGCCATCTGTTGGTTAAGGAAGCATTACTCACAGCGTCAATGAGGTTGGTGGTCAAGCTCCCGTTGCCTCTCTCCCGTAGTAAGGCGTATCTGCCCAGTAGCTCAGCTAACAGCTGCGCTTGTAGCCGCTTTCTTCAAGCAGTCCAGCGCTAGATCTTACATTAAACACACAACTCACAGCGTCAATAAGGTTGGTGGTCAAGCTCGCGTTGCCTCTCTCCCGTAGTAAGGCGTATCTGCCCAGTAGCTCAGCTAACAGCTGCGCTTGTAGCCGCTTTCTTCAAGCAGTCAGCGCTAGACGCCTCTTACATCTAAATATCTAAAGTCTAAAGTTTGAAGACGAATGCCCGTATTCACAAACGATGCTTGCTCAAGTGAAACAGCAAATTGTTCGTGTGTGACCCTGTGCGTCTACGTGTACTGTGAGACCTCATAGTAATGTTTGTGAATACGGGTGGAAGTCTCTGACTACACAACTCAGCTATCTTAGGTCCAATTGCTGTCATCTTGGTTCACCTATGACCTATATACTTAGCAGGGTAAAAAAAACTCCGATACCGCGATTCAGGATTGTAGGCGCGGTGTTCTTTGCCATAGTAACTCCTGTGTCAGCGCCATCTGTTGGTTAAGGACGCATTACTCACAGCGTCAATAAGGTTGGTGGTCAAGCTCGCGTTGCCTCTCTCCCGTAGTAAGGCGTATCTGCCCAGTAGCTCAGCTAACAGCTGCGCTTGTAGCCGCTTTCTTCAAGCAGTCCAGCGCTAGATCTTACATTAAACACACAACTCACAGCGTCAATGAGGTTGGTGGTCAAGCTCGCGTTGCCTCTCTCCCGTAGTAAGGCGTATCTGCCCAGTAGCTCGGCTAACAGCTGCGCTTGTACGCCGCCGTCCATACACTGCTGCGCCACGCGCGCCGCTTTCTTCAAGCAGTCAAGCGCTCGGGATGCGTCGTTTAGGGGCCACTGGAAAGAACATTCATTATTTTAGTTATTTTTATCGTTAGTCGGTTGACGACCACTTCAACTCCTGTCTTGTGTATAATCACTATGAGCAAAGTAGGTATAGTGATCGCTATAGTAATTAGCCAATACATAGTTATTGGCAAACTTGCCTAAAATGAAGAGAAACAAGCCTAATGGAAGTTAATAAGAGAGGAAAAGAGACAAATATTTTTTCTGAGCAATACGTAGTCAATGTAGTAAATACTATGTATGGGCTAATTACTATATCAATCCCCCTACTATAAGTCAAAGGCCAGTCAGTGCGAAACGGCGTCGGGTTCCGCATATGATTAGTTAAAATTGAACCTCTGTTTATCACCTATTGCCATTAGTAAAAGCGAACAAAAACTGCAAAAAAACCTATATTTTTTGTTATAGCGGCAGCAGCTGTGAATATTTTTTTTTTTTTTTTTATCCACAACGAGGAAGCTCTTGGCCTGTATCTCACCTGATGGTAAGTGACGATCAGGCCGAAGGTGGAAGCGAGCTTCACCCGGTATCCTCAACCACGGAGGAACTGGCTATCTTACCTCTTACTGCCGGAACACAATAATGCTGTGAACATTGTTGTTATGGCGACAGACTTAGGTAAGATGGTGGTAGCTAGCCAGGCGGACTTAGAACAAGCCCTACCACCAACCAAACCGAACAGAAAAATCTGCCCCCACTGGGAATCGAACCCGGGACCTCTGCGTCTGAAGCAGGTGGTCTTACCACTAGACCACAGAGGCGGTTAAAGTTTATTAATATTTTCGGTTTATGAGGAACAGCAGACAATGAAAATAGTTTGATTAATGATTATTAATAGAGTACGGTAGCTTTAGGGATGTTTCCTGGGTCAAAAAGCAAGAGTTTTAATTAGTCCGTCAGTTAACTTATCAAAAAATACTCTACACGTATTTTTCACTTTTTCAAACTAATGAAAATTTTAAGAGATAAAGCGCGCCAAAGTTCATAAGAAGAGGCCCGTGACGTCAGTGCGTGCATAAAAGTGCCGCACGTTGTGACGTCGTGCGGACCTTCAACGCACCATAACTATGTAATTATTTGTTAGATTGGCAAATAAAAATATATGTGTCCAATATTTTTTGATATTAAACATGACGGACTAAAAAAAATTTTTTAGGAAACTAGCCTAGATTTGAAGGCGCCCTATCTTTCAGTAATATTCAGCCTCAGCAACGCCTATATAATAATAAAGGTCTGCGCTTACCTGTGTGCCGTCCTTAGCCCCCTTCCAGAAGAGATGCGCGCACAGCGCCACCGCGCGGCTCTGGTCGGGTTTCTTGAGCAACTTGCTGGCCGCGAGAGCGCATTGAGTCCGCATTGGCTCCGCGTTTTCCGCTCCTGGTGGAAATATAATTTGAGAATATGTAAATACAAACCAGCTTTGATTTTGCTATGATTTCAACTCTGCTATAGATGTTGACGAATAATGTATGTTTATCTCACTGAACCCTAAGCGGTCTCATGAGACCGCGGTACCAATTGATTCTATTGGGTTTTGCACAGCTAGAGATTGCAAAATCCGGATTTTTCTTAAATCCGGTTTTCCGGATTTGTGTTACGTACAAATCCGGATTATCCGGATTTTTCGAATATTGGGTAAATTTTTTAAACCATCAATTTAATTTAAATAAAAAGTAGTTTTTTTTTTCAAAAAGATGTAACAAGTATTTGAAGAAAAGCGTTTTATTTTATTATCGCGCATGGAATTTATTCCTCTTTTTTTCGGTTTGCGCTACAAATTTCGAAATTATTTGAACCTTGCATTATTTTTTTCGTTTTAGTACAACTGCATTTCAGAATAAAAACTTGCTTGTACCTATAAAATATTTTTTTAAATTATTTTTCTTGTGTCGACAAAAAACCTATACAGCGTCCAGCCCAAAACTCCGCCACAAGAGTGGCGTTGTCAGTAGCCTTCATTAAATCTTCCTGCTTGCAGTTGTTTGGGCAGGCAGGGCACGACCATCATGTGCTTCGTCGACTGGGGAACAAAACCACACTTGCACTCCAAGTTTGATCCACCCAAGAATCCCCACCTGACACCTGAACAGATTGTCTTGACTACGGCAGACCTGTCCGAAGTCTATAAAGATTTCCAGGTAGGCCAGGGAAGCTCATTTTTTTATTATAATTTTATTTTACACTTTTAAGTTGTATTTCAATCTCAGGGCCCTGGTCATTATTTACGACCAAAGTGCTCGGGAAGACGAATCCAACGAACTCAAACTCTATAAGTTTCTGCCGTTTCGGTTAGGAGTTCCTATGGCCACCTCTTGACTTCATCATCAGGACCCTGAACATCATCTAGCACTTATGTGCTTGAAAAGACAAATCCAACAAACCCAAATTTGATGAGCTTCCACCGTTTCGTTTAGGAGTTCCTATGGCCACCTCCCGAATCCATCATCAGGACCCTGGGCATCATCTAGCACTAAAGTACTCGAAAAGACAAATCCAACGAACCCAAGTTCGATGCGATTCCGCCGTTTCATTTAAGAGTTCCTATGGTCACCTCTTGACTCCATCATCAACCCAGCTAAATGGTCGGCGGTATAGCTAACAACCTGTTTAGAACTCTTTTAAGGATTTCTCCACAATCACCCCCATTCTCATACAATGACATTTTGAGATGAATTAATGTAAGCAAATCGAGATGGATTAATGATGGGCGAGGTTGAAGATCTCTACTTACACTTGGCCTGCGGATGAATATGGAGAAAACAAAGCTTATGTCCAATGTCCATGTTGCGCCCTACCCAGTTTCGGTTGGGAGATCAATTCTCGAGATTGTTGACAAGTATGTCTACCTCGGACAAACGATTCAGCTGGGTAGGTCCAATTTCGAGAAAGAGGTCAATTGTCATATCCAACTCGGCTGGGCAGCGTTTGGGAAACGACGCAACATCTTTTCGTCCAAAATACCTCAATGCCTGAAGATTAAGGTCTACAACCAATGTGTGTTACCAGTGATGACTTATGGTTCGGAAACGTGGCCACTCACTATAGGCCTTATACAGAAGCTCAAACAGAAGCTGTGAAATTTGATTTCACAGCGTGCTATGGAGAGGGCTATGCTCGGTGTTTCTTTACGAGATCGAATCAGAAATGAGGAGATCCGTAAACAAACTAAAGTCGCTGACATACTAGCCCGACGGATACAAGCTGAAGTGGCAATGGGCAGGGCACATAGTACGCAGAACTGACGGCCGATGGGGCAGCAAGGTTCTGGAGTGACATGCAATAAATAATTTGAATTTGGAGTGGAGGCCGCGTACCGGAAAACGCAGCATGGGACGTCCACCCACAAGGTGGACCGATAACATCATAAAGGTAGCAGGAAGGCGCTGGACGCAGGTCGCTACCAACCAGGCAACATGGAAAGCATTGGGGGGGCCTATGTTCAGCAGTGGACGTCCTATGGCTGAGATGATGATGATGATGATGACTTACACTTGCAAGGGATATTTGCCGATTTAGCTGCTCTTTAAAACTCAGCGATATGGTGTGTCAGAATCAGCGTCTCGTATAAAACTCACTGGCCGACTAGCGAATTCGAATTCACTTACGCATGCGGCATGCATGACGCGTCATTGTGCAAGCACAGTGCAGGTGTGAGTGTTGTGCGACGAAGTGCGGGTGCGTTCAATCAAAACTTCGCTTGTTTTGCATCCATGTTGCATCAAATAGATATTTTGGTTTATGATTTTATGATAAAATTTTTAGGGTAAAAATATTCGAAAAAACCGGATTTCAAAGTCAAAATCCGGATTTTTTTTATAGCCTCAAAATCCGGATTTTTCAGATATTTTCGAATTTCGAATAATCCGGATTGTAATCTCTAGCACAGACCGTCCCATTCGCATTTCGTCACGAATTCAAAAATGGTCCCATTCGCAAAATGATCACACTCATGACTCCGTTAAAAGTTGTTAAACATTTTCAACCTACAAGTTGAACTATTGTTTAAAAAATGGTAGGCTTCATAATATGTACTTGAACGGCTACTATTATTGTAATAATAAATTGTTAAATAGCATTCAGTTATCATTGTAGCATAAGACTAACCAAGTCATTTAGCTGTAACGAACAAAGTCTGGAAATCATCATCAATAAATATTAGTTTTTTGACTTACCGAAACATCATCAATAAAAATTAGTTTTTTGACTTACCGAAGCAGTTGATCTGCTCAAACGTAGCTATAATAAGTGTTATAGCAGCCAACTGCGCCTTGCTGTCCGATATCTCGTCTTCATACAGCGAGAAAGCTTGCGATAGGTACTCGTAAGCTATCGTCTCGTGGTTCGCGAATCCTATCTCGCTGATCGCTAGCGCTCCTTGAAGATATAGCCTGGGGAAACGTGTGTTAAGTTAATGGGAACTGCTTTGCAAATCTATACTCTATATATATAAAAGAAAGTCGTGTTAGTTACTCCACTTATAAGTCAAGAACGGCTGAACCGATTTAGCTAAAAATTGTCAGGGAGGTAGTTTAGAGCCAGGAGAAGGACATAGGATACTTTTTATCCCGTTCGAAATTAAAAAAAAGTCTGCTTATTTATTGCCATTAAGGCGGAACAAAGTCGCCGGGTCAGCTAGTAATATTATAAATGCGAAAGTAACTCTGTCTGTCTCTCTTTCACGCCTAAACCGCTGAACCGATTTTGATGAAATTTGGTATAGAGGTAGTTTGGGTCCCGGGAAAGGACATAGGATAGTTTTTATCCCGGTTTTTGAAACAAGGACGAGCGCGATAAAGTTTTTCTGACAAAATACCAAGCGGGCGAAGCCGCGGGCGGAAAGCTAGTTTTAAATAACTTGAAAAAATCGAACTGTCTAAGGCGGGAATTGAACCCACGACCTTCCGCTTGCCGGGCGACTGCTCTTCCAACTGAGCTACTTAGACACTGGATGAACCCGTCGAAATTTTCAATTGTAATACGCTGTTACGGCCAGCGTTTGTTTCATCAATGTTGGGTATACCTACCCTTAAACATCTAACAGAAATGTTGTTGCAAATATTTAACTGTCAGTTAAGATAATGGGAACTGCGTCAAGTGAATTAGAATCCTATGGTAAATATATAAAATACAAAATACGGTACCTCAAAGGCAATTCAGCTAGCTCAGCTTTGGCCAGCATTGTGATGGTCTGGTGGCAAAATTGGAAGATCTTTTGGCATTTCTTCTCCCACATTTCATCCTGAAAATAAAACACGTATTTAGCAATGAAAAAAAATTAATTTTAATAATGTATGGAACTTAAGGTCAACACTGTGACACATTAGTTCAAACTGGTGCGATTTTGATACTAAAAGAAACAAAAGCCACTACAAGAAAACAATTGATTTAATTAAGAATGAATTTGTGAACGTACAGTCAGCGTCAAATAGTTCGTGATACCCAAAAAGTTCATAAGTCTTGTTACAATTGGAATAAGGCTGTATTGTCAACTTTTCTGCTTTATTGCTTTATTCTATTATTTTTATTGTAACAATAAAATATAATAAAGCCGAAAAATTTGACTGACAGGGAGACTATAACCGAACCCTCTTTAAAAAGAATAGTTACTTTTTCTTTCTCATCTAGTATAGCAACATGAGCTAATGTCTGTTACCCAGTCTTTTCAATAATTACCTGGTCTTTCAAGTCCTTATAGGTGAAGGCAAGCCTGTAGGCGTGAAACACGATGGGCGGGAAGGTGTGTTGTATGCGCCTAGCCCCGCCCCCTTGCAAAGCCAGTGAACAGGACACTACAGGGTGGAAACGATAAGTGATCTCACTCGATTATTTCCAAACTACACAAGATATCGAAAAACTGGTTACTGATCCTGAAAGTGCTTCACGAGCTCTATCTAACGGTATCAGTAATAGGTTACGAAATCAACTGGATCTATCCGAAAATTCAATGTTTTCAGCCTTCATACTAAATGTATGCCAGCCACACAATATTAAATGCTATTTTTTTTTAATTAAATAATAAACACATAAAATGAACTCGTAAATTGCATTCTTATTTAAAAATATTCATGGAAAACATTGGTTCTAGGCTTTACTTGCTATAATATTATCAAGACATGAGTGCCATGACTATGGCAGTACTAAATGTATGGAAGTTGGAAACATTGCATTTTTGGATAGATCCAGTTTATTTTGTTACTTATTATTGGTACCATTAGATAGAGCTCGTGAATCACTTTCAGGATCAGAAACCAGTTTTTCGGTATCTTGTATAGTTTAGAAATAATCGAGTGAGATCACTTATCGTTTCCACCCTGTATAGCCTAGCCCTCTTTAAAAAGAATAGTAACTTTTTTTTCTCTACATGTATTTCGTTGCGGGTTCAATGACAGTCTAACTTTCCCCCGGGACAAACTTGACCTTCACTGGTTGGATTTTTATTGGCAGTCAAGCTGTAGATCCTGGCTACACAGGAGTTGTAGCGGTGGGAACGAGAGGTGGGAATAGTCCCGTTTTTCTATAGTCGCGACTGTGCGACGGGCGGCTGCAGTGAGTGTGCGAGCGCGACAGCAATATAATTACGCGCGAGCGATAAGGATGGGTAGCTTGGGGTCATTGGACAAAATTCTACGTGCTCGGCGACCAGATTTTACACGTGTGTATCCTGCAAGAGTATAGCAACTAAGTTAATGTCTTTTAACCAGTCTTTACGATCCTTACCTGGTCTTTCAAGTCCTTATAGGTGAAGGCAAGCCTGTAGGCGTGAAACACGATAGGCGGGAAGGTATGTTGTATGCGCCTAGCCCCGCCCCCTTTTAAAGTCAGTGAACAGAAGATTATAGCCGAGCTCTCTTTAAAAAGAATAGTAGCTTTTTTTTCTCTACTCGTATTTCATCGTGGGTCCAATGACAGTTTAACTTTCCCCCGGGACAAACTTGACCTTCACTGGTTGGGTTTCTATTGGCGGTCAAGCTGTAGATCCTGGCTACACAGGAGTTGCAGCGGTGGGAACGAGAGGTGGGAATAGTCCCGTTTTTCTATAGTCTGGTCGCCGAGCACGTAGAATTTTGTCCAATGACCCCAAGCTACCCATCCTTATCGCTCGCGCGTAATTATATTGCTGTCGCGCTCGCACACCCACTGCAGCCGCCCGTCGCACAGTCGCGACAGCAATATAATTACGCGCGAGCGATAAGGATAGGTAGCTTGGGGTCATTGGACAAAATTCTACGTGCTCGGCGACCAGACTTTACACGTGTGTATCCTGCAAGAGTATAGCAACTAAGTTAATGTCTTTTAACCAGTCTTTACTATCCTTACCTGGTCTTTCAAGTCCTTATAGGTAAAGGCAAGCCTGTAGGCGTGAAACACGATAGGCGGGAAGGTGTGTTGTATGCGCCTAGCCCCGCCCCCTTGTAAAGCCTTGCGGGCCGCGCTTAGGATCAAGTACTGTTGGTCCGCCGAGTCCGACTTGAAGTGGTGGATGAGTCTGGAATGGACAATGTGCTTTAAAAATAGCGCTTTTTTTTTTTCAATCAAAAGATGTCAAATACCTACTTGCTTTGCTTTTAATTAAAAAAAATCAAAATTTCTACTCCTACATAATAGGGATGTTTCCTGGGTAAAAAGCAAGAATTTTAATTAGTCCGTCAGTTAGCTTATCAAAAAATACTCGACACCTATTTTTCACTTTTTAAAACTAATGAAAATGTAAAGAGATAAAGCGTGCCAAAGTTCTAAAGAAAAGGCCCGTGACGTCAGTGAGTTCGTAAAAGTGCAGCACTTTGTGACGTCGCGCGGAACTTCAACGCACTATAACTTTGTAATTATTTGTTTGATTGACAATTATAAATACACGTGTCCAATATTTTTTTATATTAAAATTGACGGACTAAGAAATTTTTAGGAAACTAGCCTATTAATGCCCGCGACATTCACCAGTAGGCCTAGGATATGCTTCTATCGTAGCGCGATAGAAGAGAAGAAGTAGAAGATTTTAACGATTTTACGCGATAAGCCTACACATTTGTGGCCTAAAATCATCGATAAGATTTTTTCACGGCGCGCAACCTAAACCGGCTGGTCGTCGGTTCTTCAGGTGGGAGTACAGGCAACACTACTTTTGATCCGCGGTCGCCACTTGATAACTTTGCCACAACGGCTACGACGAACTATGTCTCTCGACCACTGGCACTTAAATTTGACAAAACTACAGGCTATGTCGGCTACTTTAATTTACGATTATGTACTTTGGTAAGGAAACTCTAAGCATAGCAAACTCTATCACCCTTTGAGTGTCCTTGAGCCTTCTTGACACATATGGACCACTGGAATCGATAAAATTTTATGCATGTTTTTATAAAGGAAAGCTATTTAAATCGTACCTTGCTAGCAGTCCCTGCTCTTCCATAAAGTCTTCCATATCCGGTTCCTCAGTAGGCTGGTCGGGCTGGTCTTTGACCAACACGTCTACCATAGACAATACCGCCTCCACCTGATAGAAACATAAATGATTTTAAGTATGGGAAACAGGACATTAGGGTAACGCCTGCTTTAATTTTGGTCTGTCACAGAATGACTTTATCCATTCATATTCTATAGAACCTTATAGCTATAATACGTTCATCAGGGATAGGTAATGTAGAACTCGATGTGATATTTGTGATGGGTGCTATTTAAAAAAAAATGTATTCTATGCGCTGACGATTACACATATAGTTCCAAAATACTGGACTGTCCTGTCGATGACATTGACAGTGGGGCGCCACCGTCAATACCGGATCGCTGGTTCAGATTTTTGCCATGTTGGAAACCATATAGTTGAACGATGGTAGCGCCCCCCTGTCATTGAGTTTGGCGGGACAGTTCAGCGTGGGTCATCTATACATTGACGTTATATTGCCGCCATTGACTTGACAACGACTAGAAAAAAATGACACTACAAATTAACAAATGACAGTCGTAAAAATGTCGAGTAATTATTTATGAAAACAGATGACTTTCAATGTCTCAATCAAGTCGTTTGAGAACAAAAGACTTCGATTCGAGATCGACGCAATTTAAAGACGACCTTTCCTGTCGTTAAAATAAAACTTTACACTTTTCAACGATACCTGCACCAAGTTATGGATATACTCACATCTTCAGGAGTAGATATGCTAGCGTCAGATTCCAGTACAATATTAGCCAGGTGGAGTGCTATCATGGTCCGTCCAGGGTGGTTCAGATGTCTGATCAGGGCTGAGTATGTGGACAACTGCACCAGGGTCAGAATGTTCTTGTAATGGTCTGCTGGCAGCTTGAGGTTCTTCATCAGTTTCTTGAAGACTGGCTAGTGTATTATTAGTATGGATATACTTACATCTTCAGGAGTAGAGATGCTAGCGTCAGACTCCAGCACTATATTAGCCAGGTGGAGCGCTATCATGGTCCGTCCAGGGTGATTCAGATGCCAAAAGAGAGAACCAGAGCTGCTTCGAAACGCTGCTTACTTAGTTTCTGATCTCGCTCGCTCATGCTGGCATCTCACTTTGCGTGAGAGGGATGGCAACATTCGAAAGTTAGACAAAGTATAAGACACTGTATACTTACATCTTCAGGACAATATTAGCTAAATGGAGTGCTATCATGGTCCGTCCAGGGTGGTTCCGTTGCCTGATGAGGGCAGAGTATCTAGAGATCTACACTAAGGTATGTATACTCACATCGAAGTCGAACCTTAATTTCGAACTCCTCCTATGTTCTTCTGATTAATTTCGTTGCGGGTCCAATGACTGTTTAACTTTCCCCCGGGACAGACTTGACCTTCATTGGTCGGGTTTTTATGGCGGTCAAGCTGTAGATCCTGGCTACACAGGAGTTGCAGTGGTGGGAACGAGAGGTGGGAATAGTCCCGTATATACTCACATCTTCAGGAGTAGATATGCTAGCGTCAGATTCCAGCACAATATTAGCCAGATGGAGTGCTATCATGGTCCGTCCAGGATGGTTCAGATGCCTGATCAGGGCTGAGTATGTGGACAGCTGCACCAGGGTCAGAATGTTCTTGTAATGGTCTGCTGGCAGCTTGAGGATCTTCATCAGTTCCTTGAAGACTGGCGTGTTGTGTTCTAGGTGGGTTTTGCCGCTGTTGGTGTGAGAGATTATTATTATTTAGTTATTTGGACTTTACGAGGACACCTTCGAAGACATCATTTCTTAGTAAATAGCTATTCTGAAAAATAATTGACTGCAGGGAAACAATGCGTCAAAGCTTTATTTTTTTCACTTTAACGCGTTTTTTCCCTTCTAATAACCATAACAATGCGATCGTAAGAATTGACAACGTTACGAGAGCTATGAATCCTGGCATTTGAACTTTTATTGGTTTGACTTTTAAGTGAATATGGTTTAAATTGTGGTGGCAATATATGGAACAAAGCCTTACAGGGCTGAGCTGATGCCCATAACTTTTCAATAGTAATACAGTAACCTAAGTAAATGATTAAGGTACACAAATGACTGGTAGGTATTTGTAATTTTATTTTTCCTGCATTCAACTGATTCTACACACAATTTGGTTTCTTTTTTTACTCGATCTATCTCGATTTAAACAATCTGATATAAATTATCTTCTTTCCCGTAAAAAATGTAATAATCACACACTAGCTTGCTGGTGAGATAAGCTGAACTGTACTAAACTATTGTAACATCTACCTTGTTGTATTACCTTGTCTCGGTGAATAAATGATCTTTTATCTTTTTTATCTTTTTTTATCCCTCACCTGTTCTGGTGTATATCCTGGCATATCTTATCCGTGTGTGCTAACACGCGGTCGACGTAGTTGAGTTTGTCCGGGTGGCAGCGCTGGGCTAACTTCAGTAGTGCCAACTGCAAGCTTAGCATGTCTTCGGCAGGCATATCGGTGCGACTCTAAACATAACAATACAATTGTTTTTAAGACATTATTTTAACACAATGAGGGTTTTCGCGAATGAAAAATCCGCCAGATGGCAATACGTACACGCGAGGTCAAAATGCTGCATGATTGGTTATTTTTGACATGACATTGACAGATATGTCAAAATCCACCAATCACGCAGCAGTCAGACCCCACATCCACGTCCCGCCATCTAGCGGATCTTTCATTCGATTCTCATTATTTTTCATAGTATCAGGTTGATGTTACAGAAGAAAAAACGAACACTATGTTTTACGGCTCTGGTTAAAGGCTTTTCAAGCCAATAAAATAAGCGTTATGTTGATTGGCGAAAGGAAAAGACGAAGAAACTGAAATGATTTAAGAAAAAGCGCGAAAGCTTCTATGTTTAGCATTTCAATAATATTACGTATCAGAAATATTTGTTGCGACTTCTTGATGACATGTTTTTGTACTTAGTACAAGAAAATGGGCAGATTCATGAATATCAATCTTGTATTACCTGAGTAATGGCAGCCACTTGGTCTGAAAACACTTCAAACAATTGGACTTCTTGCTCCTTGCCGTCTTCCATCACCACACTTAAGTTGATGTTGCCCTCGTTTCTCTGGTAACAAAATATTAAAATAATGAAGCTAACATCAATAACATTAATTTCAAGACACAAAACTGCTTTAAAAAAAAACAATTTGGCTTTCTTACCGGGAAAAAAACCGGGATTACTCAACCTTTACTGGTTAGGTTTTATTAATGGTCAAACCAGGCCTGTTCATCTCCGCGAGTTTGCATCGAAAACAAAACACGCGGGACGGCACCTACTGGGATATTTAATCGACAGGACACTCAAGAGCGAGCATTGACTCACGCACGTGTATTCTTCATCCATTTGCATTGTATAGACTATAAACTATGTATGATGGAAAGTAGAAAAAACGGTGGTGTAATAAAATTAATTCTGTGCAGTATTTTAACTGCCTGAATAATGATACAAACACAAAATATTATTCATGCATAGTCATGTATTTCCTCCGCCATTTTCCGCAGTTTGGCACTTCACGTCACACATTATTTTACCGCCCATTGGAATCCGCGCAGTACCGATCACTGACGTATGTCAAGAAAACGGTGCTTGACTCTTGAGACAAGCTAAATTACACCATATTGTTGACGATATTGGGCATTCATTTTTTCAAATAACTTCGCGAAGAAAACCTTCTGTACATAGTACTTATTATTATTCTGTGATCAAACTGTAAATCCTGGCTTTGCAGGAGTTACAGTATAACCAAAATCAGTGATGGGATAGGGAGATAGGATTAGTCCCATACGATTTCCACATGTTATTTCAGCCAAAGGACGTCCATTGCTAGACAAAAACCTGCTCCAAGGATTTCCACGACTGCTCCTGCGCTGCCCGCATCCAGATACTTTTGCACGACCTTTTGTCGGTCTGCCGGGGGTTTCTACTGCTATACTTCTATTGGAGGTCAGTCACCGGGCTCGCTAGCGACTTTATGAGCATGATGATGATAATGGTGGTGAATTTTGTGATTATTATGATGATAATGAGAAAAAACAGACAAACTAACCAGGCTGTAGGTAGTCAGCCGCTAGATGAGCTCGATGATGATATTCATGATGAAGACGTTGATGATGGTGAGATGATAACAAAGATAGATAAACTTATCTGGCTGTAGGTAGTCAGCCGCTAGATGAGCGCGATGATGATATTCATGATGAAGAAGTTGATGATGATGATGATGATGATTATGATGATGATAATGATGACAAAGACAAACTAACCTGGCTGTATGTCGCTAGTCTCTCGATGAGCGCTATGATGATGTTCTTGATGTTGACTCCAGGCTGCAGCTCTGCGCACGACTTGAGGAACGGCTGGAGATTTGCCAGGTGAAACTCGTCGGGGAACACCTGGATAGAAAGAATAGACGATTGAGGTAACTTGAGTCGACTATGAAAGCTCACAGGCAAGCGAAATTATGTCGGTGACTGCTTGTGATAGTGGTACAGTCCTCTCAACTTAAGCTGAGAATTGCATTTGTGTGAGTGCACACCGATAGTGTAGAGTGGCAATCGGCTTGAGGCGCGGCGCGTCCCGCGCATGGTTTAAACCGGTTTATACTAGTTTATAGCAAGGCGCGTCCGCCACGCGTCACTTCCCTGCCGCTCACATACTTCACTTCACCCCCGGTACTGGTAGCAGATAGACGTGTAATTTTATGTGATTGTGTTCCAAATATTAGTGAAATGGCTCCTATTGTAAGTGAATTTTCTGTACGAAAACCATTAAGCAGCCAAGTGAAAGAAATTTTATGCAAATTGAATAATTATTAACACAGACTCTGACTCTGATGAGTCATCAGACGAGAGTGAAGATGAAGATGCAATGAGCCGGAGTAGAAGAGTTATAAGATTCAGTCATTATGAGGTCGAGAAATGTACAGTTGGTCACATTGTGTTTTATGGACTTCCTTTTAATAAAACATTAATTTTATTTGTATGTGTTTTACTAACTGTACTTTTGGCGATCACTCACACAAATGCAATTCTCAGCTTAAGTTGATAGGACTGTAGGCGACGGTCAGCGATTGTAGGCGACTGTCGGCGACTGTCTCCGACACGCGCCTTTCGCTATCATGACATGATACGACGTCGCCGACTTAAGTCGCAAGTAGTCGCCAATATACTGTCGCTGATCTGTGAGCTCCCTAAGATGAGAAGTTCCGAGCGCTAAAGCTATGTTAACTGAGGGAACTGTATTGTGTTGTACGAATGGATTCACCGATTCGACTACTGGGTTCACTACCCAACCTCGAATCGGCACAATTGAGCTATCGTCACCTGCATTTCTCTTTCACTTCATTCTGCGTCGTTGTTGGACAATGAACTTTATTATTGTTAGTGTTCGTAGGTCCCCATAATTGATATTTACTGTCCGTGGCGTGTATCTTTTCTTAACCTCGTAAGTCCTGTGTTTTTTCAACAGCAGTATTCATATCTGCCGGATGTACTATACCAAGTACAAACTAAGAAATGTGCTTCAGAACGAGATAAAGTATTGACGGTTTTACATAGTTTTTTAAGTGTTACCTTATGTTTTGTATTTTTTACTGTAAGTTTAGCATCTCTATCACCTGTTTTAAAAGAAAAATATTGAAAATAGTTTGTACTCCTGTAAGTACGTTAGGCTTTTTACAGTGTAAAAAAATAATCTAATTAAGATAAAAATTTTATTTAAATATTTAAAATAAATCATATTTTTCTTCTAAACGTCACTTAAGTAAGCAATAATTATAAAATGCAGTCTTTAAGACAAAATTATTTGGCCTTAGCGTTTTATATGGAGAATTTCACCAAAATTAATTTTTCCATACTAATTTTTTGTGATTTTTTAAAAAAGCATAAATTTAAATTTTATGAAATTTTGTAGATAGATTGAAACAACATTAAGCTATAAAAAAATTAAGACATTTAAAAAAAAATGGTATCTGTATAAAAATATATTTATTTTTGTTTAATGGAAACGAACGACAATTAGGACGAGCTGTCTTTGAAAATTAAATTCTAATTTAAAAAATAAAATTAAGTTTAACATTTTATACGCAAAAGTAAGCCCTTGAAGTCAAATTTCAAATAAAAAAAGAATGATGGACATAGCTATACAATGAAAGAAATTAGATAGTAATGAACATTGAAGAAAAAAACGCTAATTTCATACCTAATACAACTTTCATACAATTATTTGTTTAACCAACGCCTAACGTACTATATCAAGTACAAATTATTTTGACTGTTCATGAACCTCCTAAAATACTAAGTTTCTTTTTAAATTTTGTTTAATTTATAGAAACTATAGTTTATATTTACTGATACATTTAAAAAACAAGACAAAAAACAAAAGATTACTTTGATATAAACAGATAAACTATCCTCGTGCCCGCCGGCAATCCGACCGCGTGACCATTTTGAGAAAAAAATACACTGACACTGACAGTTGACGTTACCTGTCTACTGTGGCGGAATTGACCATAGAGTATTGAATGAGTATGGTCGTATCATTTTTGCCATTGTAAAAAAACTACCCGGTAAATGGGGAAAGAAAAATTTGTACTTGGGTAAGTACATTAGGCAGTTACTCTTGCTATGTAGTTTAAATGTCGGGTCTGAACTACTATGCTTAGTTTGTACTTGTACAAGTACGCGGGGACTTACGAGGTTAAATAGTTAATACCATCACTTTTTTTTAACCTTTGTTTTGTCATCCTGTCACCCTGTCATCCGCTTCGCAATGGAGGGAAGTCGAACCTTATATCCTCCTCCTATATTCCTCTGATTAATTTCGTTGCGGGTGCAATGACAGTTTAACTTTCCCCCGGGACAAACTTGACCTTCACTGGTTTTTATTGGCGGTCAAGCTGTAGATCCTGGCTACACAGGAGTTGCAGCGGTGGGAACGAGAGGTGGGAATAGTCCCGTTAGTCTCACCTGGATGATGCACTCCATAAGATACTCTTGCGCGATGGCGTCCCGGCAGCTGACGACCTGCTCCAGGATTCCAGGCAGCACCAGGCGTCTGTAGTCTACAGTCGCCTGTAGTCCACAGTCGCCTGTAATCCACAGTCGCCTGTAGTCCACAGTCGCCTGTAGTCCACAGTCGCCTCCAGTGACCTGCATGTCGCTAGTCTCACCTGGATGATGCACTCCATAAGATACTTCTGCGCGATGGCGTCCCGACAGCTGACGACCTGCTCCAGGATTCCAGGCAGCACCAGGCGTCTGTAGTCCACAGTCGCCTGTAGTCCACAGTCGCCTGTAGTCCACAGTCGCCTGTAGTCCACAGTCACCTGTAGTCATCCACAGTCGCCTCCAAGGACCTGCATGTCGCGAGTCTCACCTGGATGATGCACTCCATAAGATACTCCTGGGCGATGGCGTCCCGACAGCTGACGACCTGCTCCAGGATTCCGGGAAGCACCAGGCGTCTGTAGTCGTCCACTGTCACTGATTCCAGCTGGGATAGACGGACCAGGTTTGTACCGACTAGAATGCGCAGTTCGGAGCGCTCGCGCTCACGGCGTTCTTTGTCACTGTAAGAAAAAGTTCATTCAAATTGGGATGATGACGGTAATGAAATCGAAATTCTATTTAGTCCATCAGACAGATAATAATAAATAATGGACACGTATTTTTAATTTTTTTTTCATAATCGAATACATTTTATATTGAGTTGAAATTTCGCGTAAAGTCACTTTTGAGTAAGCGAAAAATCTACATAAGCGCGACGTGATGCGCCATTTTAACTCGATGTAGCACTGTTATTATTTAATTATGAAAAAATAGAAAATACGAGTCTAACGGCCGAATACTGAAACGCCATTTAAATATTTGACGGCTTCTCAAATAGTTAAGCAGCTCCTAAACTTACATTTCGCATACTCAAAACAATATCTGAGCAGTTCTCAATTTTTAAGCACCTCTCAAATTAACGGCCGAATACTGAAACGCCATTTAAATATTTGACGGCTTCTCAAATAGTTAAGCAGCTCCTAAACTTACATTTCGCATACTCAAAACAATATCTGAGCAGTTCACATTCTTGTGAAAACCACGATCATCTGCCTCTGCCTTATGGTTTGATTTGTGGATAAGTATGTGAAGTGTCGATTTGACCAAACAAATTATTTGGGATATAATGTTTGGCAAAATAAAACATTTGCTATATAAACATTTGCCAAGTAAAATTTGGCCAAATGATAATTTGTCCAAATGAATTAGTTGCGAAAAATACAATTGCTATAAGTTCATTTGGGAAATGAAACTTTGGCGATAAGTTGTTTGCGAAGTGAAATTTGGCGAAAAGTAATTTGGCCAAACGGAAGGATACCGAGATTTATATATAATAGAAACTAAAAATAAACTGTTCTATGTTAAGTTGATTGATTATATTTCCATAAAAGACAATACATAACTAAACGATGCTGCGTGTAATGGATAAAAGACGTAAAGTTATAATTTGTGTAAATGAAAACATACTTTTTTTGGTAAATGTTGCCATTATGTAAACATTTGAGAGCTGCTTAGCTGATCACGGCTTCAAATCCGTTGAGTAGCGTTTGAGAATACCATTTAAAATTGAAGGATACTTAAATTTAGGAGCCCGTCAGCTGAGTGACAGATTTGAGTAGTGTTTCAGTATTCGGCCGTAATATTTTCGAATTGTCTATCTGACGGACAAATAATTCAAATTTGTCATCTAGCCTATTCCTTGGTCACGGTCTCATATTGAACGCTATACGCGGCATACGTCAGCTTCAAACGATCCTATCGACGTCTGAACGCTGATGTTAAAGTCTGAAGGCGACCACAAAAACCATTTAAGCATTATTGTGACGCGGCTTACGGCATGATGCTATACTCGGCCTACGGCGTTTATAGGAGGCCATGCCTAAAAGAACCACACACACTTCCGTGGATGTCGTATGGACAAATGTGAACTGATTTATATGGCTCGATGGCCACCCTAATTCGTCGCAAGAGAATAGGTAAATCCTCCATTTGTCTATAATGAATTACAGAGCGTTGTGCTTCTGTCGTAGAGACCAAATGGGTTGATGATGATGATATTATTAATATTCAGAGAAGTTACACACGTCTCGAATGTAGCTTGTGCTATCACCACTCTCGATTTTCGTCATTACAAGCGTTTTCAATATTATTAACAAAAAATTTTAAAGCGTTACAAATAATGCTAGCGAAAAATACGCGGGAAGATGCCCGCTCTCTGGACACTAAGCTAACCTATAGACTGGTTAAATGCCAAGTCGAAGGTAACGTTGTGGTCTACCAATGTTCAGTCAGTATAATGGCATTGAGGATCAAGTTACACTATGAATAGACAGAGACGTTTGTTTTGCGGTAAATAGACTCTATAATATCATCACTGAGCGATTTTATCTACACTAATATTATAAAGAGGAAAGATTTGTACCTATTTTTGTATGTTTGTAATGAATATTCTCAAAAAGTACTGGGCCGATTTAAAAAATTCTTTCACCATTCGAAAGCTACATTATCCACGAGTTATGTTACTCGTCTCGGCTAAATTTTATTTTGGAAAAACATAGGGTTCAGGGGTCCACGCGCGCGAAGCCGCGGGCGGAAAGCTAGTGTTTTATAAATACAAAAAAGTTTAAGTTCTTACCGTGAATGACCTTGGTGCTGCATTCTGACCCAGAGTTTGTTCATTTCAGCGAAGTTCATCAGTACGAAGTCAATCGCGTCTCTGACCTAGAAATAAAGTCTTTATTTATAGGAAAGTGTGACTTTTACTCATAGTGAGATGCCGACACAAGTGAAAGCGACAGACAGTAAGGCTGGTGAACTTTAGTAAGTAATGGATGTGGTTTCAGCAGAATAGTATAAGCCCAAACTTCCTGTGGATGTCGTATGAGGTGACCAAGAGAGAAATATGCTAACATCAGGTCTCCTTAACCCGTTGGGAGTGTAGTCCAAATTCTTCATTCTTCATCATCATCATTTCAGCCATAGGACGTCCACTGCTGAACATAGGCCTCCCCCAATCATCTCCATGTTGATCGATTGGTAGCGGCCTTCCTGCTACCATTATAAATGGCGTCGGTCCACCTTGTAGGTGGTCCCATAAAATTTTTCATTAGCTTTTCATAAATTGAGGGTATTTTGTAGCTGCAGTAGAGGTGATGAACTTTAGTAAACTTATACAGTGAAAACTCACGGTCCCCTCATTTTCGTTCTGGGCTTCAGCTGTGTCGGGCAGAACGTTCCTGGTGCACTGTAGTAAGTAGTTCCTCAGGAAGAGGCCGCGGAGAGGGTGTTGCACTCCGCGACACATCTCCACCAAATCCTACAACACATAATAAGACATTTAACGAACCAGAAAGAAAGAAACTGGCAATTTTTGTTAAAGAATAAGAGTAGGCGCACACCGTTGATTTTTAGTTGGCCGATAGTTGCGCCCAATTTTAAATTGTATGAAAAATCGGCCAAATCGAATCGGCGTAGTGTGCGCACTCCCATACATCCATACTGATCAACTGCCCGACTAAACTATCGGCCGACGAAAAATCAACGGTGTGCGCCTACTCTAAAGCCCAATAACATTTCTACTGCGCTATGAATCCGAGCAAAAAATTCCATCTCAGTTTTAATCAATTTCTATAAAACAAAGTAGTGTTTAGTCACACCATTTGTAACTCAAGTACGATGGAACAATTTTAATTATCTCTGATTTTTTTTATTTTGCTCCACCAAGAAAAGTAGAATAATTGGGTATTTTCCACCACTCCCCAATAATTCTAAAGCACAACTTTTTTAAAAAGGCACTTCATCCTGGTCTTAAAAACTTAATTAATTTTAAATTACCTGTAAATTGAGATTTTTGGTTGCATTGTAATTGAAAAAAATAGTTTAATTAAGTTGACAAAATAGTGACGTAACTTGCTTGTTTCAAATTGCCTTACAAAATCTATGGGAGTCTCATTTTGTCAGTTTTAAAAAGTACGACGATCTCGTCAACACAACTATTAATTTACCTTCAGCAGATCTCTCCTCAAGTTGGTATTGGTCTTAATATACACCAGGCCCACAGTGATGAGCAGATACAGTCTTGGCACGATGTTGCCAGCGTATTGGACAAGCTCGTACAAGTCCGCCACCTTCCGTCCCTTCTGGAACTCTTCGAGGAGGTATAGCTCGAGGTGACGGAGCTCGTCTGTTATTGCCATGTCTGTTTATTGTTAAGGATTAAATCTATACTAATATTATAAAGCTAGTTTGTTTGTTTGTTTGTTTACTTTAACGCACTAATCTCAAGAACTGCTGGTCCGATTTGAAAAATTCTTTCAGTGTTAGAAAGCCCATTTATCGAGGAAGGCTTTAGGCTATATACCATCACGCTACGAATAATAGGAGCAGAGCAACAATGAAAAATGTTGTGAAAATGGGTTTTCACGCGTACGAAGTTGAGGGCACAGCTAGTTGTTCAAACAAACCATTTTAATTTAAACTCCCAGCCCTGGCTAATCTTTAAGGCCTTGCCACACTGGCGGATTGCAAGCGTTTTCAAAGCGGAGCGGCGACGCAGCGAACACGCTGCATCGCCGCTCGGCTTTGAAAACGCTTGCAATCGCCAGTGTGGTTACTCACTTATAGAGAAAAATAATATTTTCAAAACAAAATCAAGCTTTATGCTTGAAAGTGAACTGTGACTATTTCATCTCCATTTCTTTATTTCCATCCCTTTATTATTTGTAAAACGAATTAGCATATTATTAAAATTTCCAAAGGTCTATGCCCTAAAGTGCTAAAATCATTCACAGATACATTTTTAGTAGAAAATCTATGCTAGAACATAGACTAAACTGTACTTGTATGTTGAATAAGTATTAATACTCATTGAAATAAATCAATCATGCATGATCACAGTAACTCTATATCCTGTATCAATATCAAGTAGGTAATTCCATACTCTTGCCTAGTTTGACATGATTGTGATGAAATTAATATTTTGAATGGGGATGTTGCCTGGGTCAAAAAGCAAGAGTTTTAATTAGTCCGTCAGTTAACTTATCAAAAAATACTCTACTCGTATTTTTCACTTTTTCAAACTAATGAAAATTTAAAGAGATAAAGCGCCCCAAAGTTCATAAGAAGAGGCCCGTGACGTCAATGCTTGCTTAAAAATGCCGCACGTTGTGACGTCGTGCGCAACTTCAACGCACCATAACTATGTAATTATTTCTTAGACTAGCTTTCCGCCCGCGGCTTCGCCCGCGTGGAATTTTGTCTGTCACAGAAAAACTTTATCGCGCGCGTCCCTGTTTCAAAAACCGGGATAAAAACTATCCTATGTTCTTTCCCAGGACTCAAACTATCTCTATGCCAAATTTCATCAAAATCGGTTGCGAGGTTTAAGCGGGAAAGCGTAACAGACAGACAGACAAACAGACAGACAGAGTTACTTTCGCATTTATAATATTAGTTGGGATTGACAAATAAAATTATATGTGTCCAATATTTTTTGATATTAAACATTACGGACTAAAAAAATTTTTTTAGGCAACTAGCCTATTATGATTATACAAAACTCTAAATGAAACTAAACTTAAGCCTGGGTTGCACCAACTTACTTTGACTACAACAAATGTCAAGTCTGTTGAACTCTATACAAAACACCAGTTATTATAGTTAGGGTTAAATTTAAGGTGGTGCAACTGAGGCTGTCCTTCATTGTTTTAAAAGGATACAAAGCTCGTAGTAGCTCTTAGGCGACAACAGAGACGTCCTCAGCTCTCCGAGCATCGTAGACGCATGCTTCAGAGCGTCCATCAGCTTGGACTTGTCCAGACATCTCTTCATTTGAAATGCCTGTAAAGAATATCATAAAAAAATAATGCACCTACCTAATTATTGGTTAGAAAAGTATTAAATTGGAAATTATGCAATTGAATTTAAGTATACTTGATAAGTAGCAAGGCTTCCTTTAGCCTTTTTTTTTAGTTAAGCTGTGTTAAGTTTTCTTTTTGTTATGGTGACAATAAAGGTTTATTTATTATAATAATGAACTATTATTATATTTCCTGTTTTATTATAAATAAGCAAAACACACAGTCTTATAAGACTTCTATTAATTTATCTAAAGAAATGTAAAACGTTATTTATTGCACCAGAGCTATTCTTCCAGACAAGGTTATGCATTTTTATCAATAAAATGTTTACCTACTTACACGCCTACTTCTACCACTGGATATCAAGGAGGTAGTAACTGTATTTACCTGAACTTTGACAACATTCAAAGCTTCTTCCAGAAGCTTCTCCTGCTCCTCCACGGGTGAAGCCTGGTTCGTCATTTGTGCCTGCACATAAACAAGCAATTGATCACTATAAAATACAGTTCCGGGCACGATAAGAAGCACTTTTGTAATCTACTAACAGTGGACCAAATATACAGAAAAGGGTGGTCCATATGCGCCATTTGAGCTAATACGGTGTTGGTTAACAGTAGTGCAGTTCGGTAACGCACCTGAGTGTACAGTAGCGGCAAGCGAAAGCTGCTGATAAGCGAATTCTCATAAAATTTTACGAAATCGTAGGTGTTGTTGATCGCCCTCGCTGACAGATTTTTTTGACATATGAAATGGTTTGACGGGTGTTTGACGGGTGTAGCCGATGTTACCATAAATAGTATCTAGATTTCTACAAATTATTAATATTATTGAAAAATATTTTCTATGTTGGTGATTGAGTCATTAGTAAACTTAGTTTATCTAAGTGTTGAGTGCTAAAGTTGATATCTTTATAATTAAACGCTTGTGTAGGTGATATGAGTAATCATTGATAACACACACAGACACACTGCTTACATTGAAGAAGTTTTTTATCATCAAGCCTTTATTTCTATATTTACTTAGTGTAACTATCATGATAAATTAAAATTTCAGCCTTTTGAAAATAAAAATTCTTGGTCATAAAAAAGCCTTGGAACAAAAATAG